AAGCCAAATATAATTGCTTTAGTGAAAAAGCATCTTGAGTGAAGAGAGTCCCTTTGTGTAAGCCTTTTTATAGAAATGACTCTCTTGTGTCTATGATAATCAAAAAAGACATCGGTTCTATGAAAGCCCTTAAACTATGCCTTGAGCTTACAGAAATAAATTTCACAACATAATTTTTATCATAGTGACCCTAGTTCAATTTAAGTACAAAATGTTTATTGTTTGACCCCTTGAACTGCAAATTTAAAGCTTTGTTGTTTGAACCAAATATATTTGTGTGATGCTCCATATTGGTGCAAGGTCGTTTGACACTTGAGTTTGCACAATTAAGGTTCATCCATTCTCTATGATTTACAGAATTCAAAAGGTCACAAAGATAACAGCAGATTTCTCTGACATCCATAGAATTATCTATAGATTATGTATAGATACAAAAGAACAAATCACCATTCTTTTTTATTTTTAAGGCACTTCAGACATCTGAAGCTGGAATTTATGGATCCACCCGATAATATTGCTGTACTGCTCGCTTGTTGGTGCAGACTGTTCTGGTAATGATTAAACTGATGATGTCACTTGTATAAGAAAGTGATTTCAAAAATTTACAGAAAATCTTACAAATGAAAGCAAAGGCTTCCAAAGCAATCTTGAATTATGTTGTTTTTATCGTAATCAGAAGTCAACAAATTACATGGTGGAAAATGTGTGGGAGATATGTCCTGATGAACAACCATTGTTGTTTATGGCAGATTCTTACTAATGCCTAGGATAAGAAAGTACCAAGCATTATTCTGTACCCTGCAAACACCAGATTTTACAGTCTGAGCACACTTTCAGCTCTGCGAGGAAAGGCATTTGAGCTCTTAGCAACCAAGCCATACATGACATGACATACATACATGACTTTAGTAAAATATATATAGAGAGTAGCTGACATACTCCTAGAGAATAGCTGAACTCCAAGCTGACATAGAAGTTGCCTGAACTTTTAGGCTCTGAGCGTAGTGTAAAATAAATGCGAAAGCATATTTGCCTTTATTTTGAATCAATATAAACTTAAGAAACTGAGATTATATCATCATCATTACATTATTCAAAACAAAATAATCTACTTTGCTCTTACTCTTTATCGACATCGAATGAGCCTAATTCAGCCTCGCTGCAATGATCTGAGTCGTCGTCGCTACTTTCAGAGCTAACACTACTTTTGTCACAATCTGAAGAACTTCCTTCGCTTGAACCACTATCACTGGCATAATTCTTTGCATTTCCACAAGTCGCTTGTGCCATTTTTTGCTTTTTAAATGAAAACTCCACTGTATTGCCGTAGCTGAAAAGTTCGTCATCACTGTCGACTTTCCTTTTTGAGCCCTCCGCTATAATATTTCTTTCCTCCATTTTGCCTTTAAATCTTCAATGTTTTTTCTGTGCAACTGCCATTTAAAAATCGAATTAAAACTACTTATTCAATGCCTTCACTTGATAACTGTACAACTACAGTAGTATATCATACTGTATAACATAAATGTTTTGGCGCGCAGCCCTGAGTCAGTTCCAGACTCCCAAAGGCATACGATGTACGGTCTCGTTTCGGATATTACTCTAGATGATCATTCTGTGATAATATCTACTAACCAGGCAAGACTCAGAATGCAGGTAGGGATTTTGGTTTGACACCATACTTTCAAGTTGCAAAGGTACTCTTGATGCAATTTTTTCAACCTGCTAATGTTGATGTTTTTTGAAAGATAAAAGGTTTTGAAAACTCCGCTGTATTTTGAAGGTTTCCACCGCCAAAGTTCTACTTTAAGTAGTTCCTGATGGAGAAACATTGAAATCACATGTTTTCTCCTCACACTTCAGTAGATAAGTGATCCTTTACTGAACCAAAAGTTACATAGACTAAAATTCTTACCATTTTAATCCGAATCTTAAATTGTTTTGAATTAGAAGTTTGCAAAATACTACCAGAACAAAATGCTTCAAAGCCCACATCAAAACAGTCATAGTGGGCCGGAGATGTACGGCTCATGCAAATTGTACGGCTCATACAAAATTACCCTAAGTCATTCCCCTCAAAAAAATATAATCATGCTAAACCAGGACTCAAATTTCAGGTGCGGATCCAGAAAAATTATGACAGATTATATTTGAATGGTTTCACATTTTTCCCCTGGGAAATTCCATTACATTCCTAGGTATCTTTGCCCCCTAAATACCTACCCTATTGTCTTAGCTATAAAAATATGTCCACTGCGAGCATCTTGTATCTATCAGCAGATTTTGGGAAGGATGCTTCGGAGGGGGCTCTGGGGGCTCAGTTCCAATTGTTAAAATTCAGTTAAGTTTTAGCGAGGGCTCATTTTGTCAGCAAATATTAAATCAATTTTCCAAAAGTTATCAGCTCCCTAAATCATGCGGAATATCTATTGACAAACTTAAGTATTCGGTCAAATGAACATAGCTTGTTGATATTTTCATCAAAGGTCATAGAAAGTATTAGAATTTATATCACAGAGGTAGTTGAGAATTAGAATTTACATTGCTTCTCTAAGAGGCATAATGGGAGAGAGAGCGATTTTAACATGTTACCTCTCAGGATTTTCTGTTTACAAATTTTTAAATGTTTACAACTTTCTTCAATTCAGCTTTTCATTTCACCAACTTTTTTATCAGATTATTGTATACACGTAAACAAGCATTGTCAAAGATATAATAACCCACCCTTTGATCTTTAGCCATGCCCTTTTGAGAATTGGCTAGATCATTGTTTTCCAAACATGCTATATTCTCTTTGTGCAAATATGCCTGTAAAATTATTGTAATTTTCAATTTTATTTATAGAGAAAAAAAATTCTACAGATGTCTGTTTATTGGTTGCCTTGTAATGAGTTTTCTGTTCATTTGGTGGGATGGCTCTTTGCCCTTGTAGGTTTCTTTTTGTTTTCAACAACTTTGCTTTGATTTTAGTATATGTTGCTTTATTTATTATATTTTTGAAAATTTATCGTTCTTTTTACCGAACTCTATTAACTTCACTTAAATGCAAAGTGCATTTGTTTCCATTGCACATTTCAGTTCAACTAAGTGCAACCCAGTCAGAATCCAGTGGAACCTTTATAAGCTGCTTGAAGCTTCATATTTTGCAACCTTGAGCGGTTTTTGACATGGTTGAAAGCTAAAAATAGCTTTAAATAAATGGATGACTGGGTTAAGATTTTCTTCTGTTACACAACCTTGAAAACTCTTTTTAGTTTCAAAGATACCTTTGTTGATGCTGATCGACTACATTGAAAATGAGCACTGTGACACAAATAGCACCAACAATAACTTGATTGCTTCATGCAATCAAGATGTTTCGTGATGTTTTCAATGTTTAAACATTTTTCTCTTTATATTTATCAGTGGCGTAGCGTGAGCTGTTGAAGTGGGTATGTGGTATTGGGTGTGGTCAACAGGCAACGCCCCTGTTGGAGACCAGGGGGTGAACCCCAAAAGCTGCAGTTTTAATGCCAGTTGATTGGTAAAATCATGTTTTTATGCAAAAAATGTCTACCATTTTAAAAAAGAGTACCTGAAACACAATTCTAAATGATGTTTATACTAATGAAAATATGATCATTTTTTCACAGTCATCATGTTGCGTATATTATAAAATAGATGAAATATATACATTTCGTTTAATGTCTTCAGCCAAGGAATGATGAAAAATAGCATTAAAAATCTCATATTTTGCTTTTCTACAGTCTACTCATTGCACTTGTTCTAATCCAAATCTCAATGAATTGCACTGAGATACATCAACATACATCTGGTTCTTTATTTCTCAGTACCTGGCCACATGACTTTCTTTACTGAACAACTGCATTTGAAACAAGCTGAGATCAGTTGCTTTCTTTTCAAAGCTCGATCCTCAACTCTCACAGCCAAAAATGGCAGCAACCTTCCATCACCATGATAGATTCTTTGTTGATACAACCATTCAATTTATATTTAGCAAAAGATTGCATCAAAAAAGGGGAAAAACAACTATTTTAAATCAGGGAATGCAGTCAGAATTCCACATTCCCAGAAATGAGATTCCCTGCAAACAAAGGTTGCTAGCCAGGATCCACTGATTTCAATAGAAAGTGATCTATAGAAACAGGGATACGAAGTACTCATAGAGATTACTAAGTTTACAAATTTTACAGGGCATGTGGCGCATTACTAGCATGCCTTGACACTACACTACTGATATTTACTAAAACATAAAACTTTGTGATTTCTAGAAATCTGACCGGTTTTTGAAACCTGTCAAACGGGTCTGGATTAGCGCCTGAATTCTATGAAATTTATTGATAATTTCAAAATATATAGAATTACAATTATTGTAAGAAATTAACAGTTATAAGGAAAATTGTATGCAGTGGTAAAATCAAAATTAATTGATAAAGGACAAGTAAGTGTGATAAAACTTAGTTTAAACAGCCTTCAATTCTAAAGATTTCAAAACTTTTTATTTCAAATGATAGGAAATACAGGGTGCATTTCATGCCAATATGAAGGAGGGGCAGTTGGTAGTGGGGGCTCTTCAGTCTCCTGGAAAATTCGATAAATGCTCTTTTCAGTTACAATGGTTGTAAAGGTTTTTAAGGATTTTTACAAGATTGTGCTAGAACAGTTTACATGAATCTAGGACATGTGGGCATTTCTCTGCAATAAACTTAAGAGCCTTGGTTACATATAATACATAGCTTTTATTGCATTGTAAATAGATCTTTTCGCATTATTACGGGCCCCATCGGAGCACACGCCCCGGACCTTATGCCCCTTTTCACCCCCCTCTCGATGCGCCCCTCGTTCTTAATTTCCTATCAATTTCGAGGCTTGTGTTCTTATACAAATTTTCTTATAACAAAGAGTGTAGTTCTTCCGTTACTGTTAGCAGCTCTTTTGGTATAGTCTTTCGCGTTATATTTGTTGGTGTTTCTAAGTGTGTAGTCTTATAAGATTTGCCAATATTATGGGGCCGGGCTGTAAGTTAAGAGTTAAGCCACGCCCTAATCACAACTACGCCCTAAAGCCACACCCTATTGTCGGCAAATCTCAACTGTGTACCCCCCAAAATTGTTTTGTAGCTCCGCCCCTGATTCCACACAAATCAATTTAAGTTGTACATTTTTCATGCAGGCATAGCGCCATTGGGGGGCTAGGGGGCACCCACTTTTACAAGAAAAGAATTTTGTACCGCTTTTTCTACCATTGTTTAAAACAGTGTATAAAAAAGAGGACGAGCTTTTTATCGACCTAACTTCCATTTGAACCTGTTCAGTTTTTAGCTTCGGTGTAACCCTTTATTTGATATAAATTTAAAATACCTATATGGCAACCTGGTACTAGACACTTTGAAACTGTCTTAGCCTGATTGAAAATTTTAAATCTTGCAATTGATACAAAGTTTGATACAGATTCACCATCTTGCCCCGGATAAAGAAATTTTGCAATTTAATGAACTTTTTCTAGAGTTTTTGTAATCTTCCTTCACTGGGGATTAGAAACGCAAATATCTGAAGAGAAGTGTTTTTTATGTTACTTTTGACAGAATAGATAGATGGATTAGCTGTAAAAGGGAGCTAAGCCATAATGATAGGTGCAACAGAGCCATATCATTTAGTCTACTTGAAATAGAGTTTTCAGGGTGTTGGCTTTCAAAATAAAAAGTCATTAAACTGCAGTGACATCAATGATTATCGTTCAAAATGAATACAACAATTGGTTTTAGTTCTTTGTGATTTAATCACCTAACCAGTTTGCAGTGGCATAGATAGATGGAGGCCAGAAATCCCATGTAAAGCTAAACTGCAATTTTGTCCAAAAATCTATTTCCTATATTGTCAGAAAAATAACATAGGTTGTCTATTTTTATCTAAGTATTAAGTTTTGAGAGGAAAGATTTTAAAACTGAATATAACAACTTCTTTTGTTGATCTGAATCAGATTGACAATCTGTTTCAATAAGGTATGATACTTAAAAATGTCATTGTTTAGGAGCTATGTAACTTAACTTTCAATGAATGAAGACTTATCTCTTGTTTTATCTCAGATCTGATGTTGTTATGTTATGTTCAAATATAGGAAACATGCTTGCTATATTTTTTGAGAAACTTTAAATTCCTTGCCCCTCCTATGAATTTTGCTATCTACACCACTGCCAGTTTGATAACCATTGGATTGCCACAGCTTAATACCTTTATTAAATGTTTCAATCTCTGCAACATCGACAGAAAGGTTTTTTAAAACTTAAAAGATTTGTAGATCAAATTTCAATATTTTAGCTAGAAGAACGGCTAGAAAAGAGCTCAGTAGTAATTTTTTCAAAGCAAGCAGGCGAAGATATTTCAAAATCAAGATTTCTGTATTTCTGTATAAAGATTTAAATAGACAATTCAGTCAATCTTACAAAGTTTCTTGTTTTCTAGATTCAATGATGTATGGAATAGAATGTTTCGTTTCAACTCATCACTCGTTCTCTGGAAACATCAAAACGCACTCTAGTGACTTTGAAGTAAGAGAAATGGATATGAATGGTGTCATCGCCGATGGCGAAGAATCAATTTTAAATCGGGAAATTGAAAATTCAGACTACGCTGATACACCAATCAGTGATCAACATGCGTCTTTCACAGGACGTTCTTCCAAGATAGGAAGCATGAGTCAGATGGAACAATCATTTGTTACCTCCGAGGTATATAAATTTGATGACACACCTAATGTTCACCAGAGTATAAACCGTATGCTGGATAATTCGTGCATTGGTGGTCATAAAATCACTGGGCAAAGACAGGCAATGCATAAACAATTTAAATCTGAGTTGAAACAATCTCAGTTGACGATAAATGAAAACCCTGAGGAGGTAGTTAAGAGCCTTATCAGCAAATCAGACTTGGACCATTTATACCACATAAGCAGTGACAATGAAGGGGAACAGACTGTTAATATTGGTGTTGTAAATGACAAGATTGACAGGACAAAGATGCACCAATGTATACGATATTTGTTTCCACACCTGAGAACCTCGGTGATCAAAAATGATACTGGAGACACTGTAATCACTGTTTCCAAAGATTTCATTTACAAAGAGTTCTTGGAAGCGGGAATGAGTAAAGAATGCGCTGATAGGTTTTTCAAATTTGTCAATTGTCAAATGGTTCTGAAAGACAAAAGCACCTTCATCGCACAAATAAATGGCGACAAAAGCCAGCGTACTAACATCCATCGTTTGATAAGATTTCATTTCGGGTCTTTCTTAGAATCAAAAACATTTTCTGGTGATAATGGTACTGATAATAGCATTAATGTTAGGTTTAGACAGAAAAGACCATCACATACCTCTTTTCCATCACATACTCCAGGAGATGTCTATAGATTTGTCTTATGTAAACGTAATGTCGAAACTTCTGATGCATTAGCCAGACTATCTGTTGCCTTCAAGACAAAATCTATTAACTTTAGTTACGCGGGTTCAAAAGACAAGAAAGCTATAACTTACCAGAACATAACAGTTCGAGATATCGATTTTGCAGATCTAAATAAGATTGCTAGGCAGTTAAAGGGAGGAGATCTTGAGGTAACAAATATTGTTAGAGTCAAAGAAATGCTACGGCTTGGCGACCTGCGAGGGAATGTTTTCAAGATAATTGTTCGTAACATTACATCTAAAAGAGGAGAGCACCTCTCAAGTTTGATAGATACAGCTGTTAATAATGTGAAAATGAATGGCTTTGTTAACTACTTTGGCACGCAGCGGTTTGGCTTTGAGGAGAGTACTGTTAGTTCACCTGTTATTGGTTTAGCAATGTTAAAACAGGATTTTGTTCGAGCAGTTAGCTTGATACTCAGTCCGACTGGCCAATGTCCTGATTCTGACGAGGCTAAAAGGCATTTCCAGGCTACCAATGATGTAATCGCTACGCTGAAAATAATGCCAAGTTGGAGAACAAGAGAGATAACTATACTCAAAGCTCTCAAACAGCATGGCTTTTCAGACAAAGGCTGCCAACAGGCATTGCTAAGTCTTTCCTACCACGTAAGGCTCATGTACGTGCATAGCTACTGTAGTTTGTTGTGGAACAGGATGGCAACAAAGAGACTACAGATGTTTGGACTAAATGTGGTAGATGGAGATTCAGTTGAATTAAGCAACCACTCAGATTTCAAGATAATAGATTTTAAAAATGACTCTGCAGATGAATGTAAAATTTCACAAGTCGTGCTTCCTCTTCCAGGTTTTAGGATTGGCTTCCCAAGTCACTTGTCTCTTGAATATGAGAATGCTTTAAAGCGAGATGGTCTCTCAAGGTCCAACTTTCGAATTCGTAAATTGCGGTTAAACGTCCCTGGAGTTTATCGTAAGTTGCTCTCTTATCCAGAAAATATGACATGGAAATTTCGCTGTATGAAAGATGATATGCAGAAAATGGAACGTAGTACTGAAAGACCAAGAGAGGGTGCAAATCTTAAAGATCAAGCTGGACATGGACTTAATCCAATTAACGTTGAGTTTCAGTTCTCGCTTAAGGCGGCGTCTTATGCCACTATTTGCCTGAGAGAAGTTATGAATCAGTAAAATGTGGCTCTGCGTTTACTCTATATATTTTCAAACTAGCAAACAGAAAGTTTGAATTCACCAGAATACTCTTCGTTTAGAAAGGAATATTGTTTCAATTTATGCTGGCATCTATTAGTATTTCACGCATTCGTCGTTCCTTCTGAAATCAAGCTATGTATCACGTACTGCAATGTGGCAAATGAAACTTTCGTAGGGTTTTCGTAAGTCTGTTTTTGTGGATCAGACTTTTTTAACAATTTTATTTTATAGCGAAATGCCCTGAAGCCAGCTACCATATTTCAGCAAAATACTTTAACTTCTCATCAACCTACTACCCTTGTTCAACAATGACAATGAGAAACGTTGAGATAAGAAACCCTTTCTTTTAACAGTGACATTATCAATAAGACTTGTGCCGGTAGAAATCTGGGGTCCAAATTGTTGCTAGAGTAGTTTGCCAGAATGAGAGAGGCGTCTGTCAGTCGAGACATGCTATACTTTTTTATATATAAAACTCAATTTATATATACAAATAAATATGCATGTTGTGCTTTGAAATTCGTGTCCTTGCCAGCTCCTCAGACAATCCTCCAGGTAGAGCATTTCAGGGCTTATGATCAGTATGGCCCGCTACATCTGGGTTTCCCCTCACCTCGGCGTCCAGGGATGATGATAGCAAAGGTGTAGCAATGTATGGTAGCGTTGTATATAGAACAACTGAGTTCCAAATTTTTGTCTGTATGATTTAATGATGTAGTGTAGCCATAACAATTCTTGAACTATGGTAATATGTATTTATAAAGTTATGCCGCGCATGGAAAAGACAACATGTAAGTTGGATATGATGTAATAGGTGCAGTGAGATAGCTTGTAATGCAACTTAATGCTCGAAATTTATAGTAAATTAACCACTCTCCAAGATTTGTTTGCCTTTGTAGGGCTACAGTAGGGCTTTGCTACCATACGTTTTGTGATTCGGTGTCTTTTGAAAAAGTATTCCAACGTTTTTAAGAATTTGACGGATGTGGATGGTGTGACTGTTAATATTTATAATGAAGGGTAAAATAGGACAGATCACTGCCTTCGGTTTTATTAGATTTGAATAGTTATGACTGCGACAGTCTGATGACTTTGTTGAATTGTTTGTTTATATCATCGATCTTGTTCACAGAGATTATCATTGTTCACAGCGAACATGTCTCATTTCTAGCCTATCTTCTATTTTATATCATTGTTCACAGCGAACATGTCTCATTTCTAGCCTATCTTCTATTTTATATCATTGTTCACAGCGAACATGTCTCATTTCTAGCCTATCTTCTATTTTATATCATTGTTCACAGCGAACATGTCTCATTTCTAGCCTATCTTCTATTTTATATCATTGTTCACAGCGAACATGTCTCATTTCTAGCCTATCTTCTATTTTATATCATTGTTCACAGCGAACATGTCTCATTTCTAGCCTATCTTCTATTTTATATCATTGTTCACAGCGAACATGTCTCATTTCTAGCCTATCTTCTATTTTATATCATTGTTCACAGCGAACATGTCTCATTTCTAGCCTATCTTCTATTTTATATCATTGTTCACAGCGAACATGTCTCATTTCTAGCCTATCTTCTATTTTATATCATTGTTCACAGCGAACGTGTCTCATTTCTAGCCTATCTTCTATTTTATTTTATCTATTGCTCTGTGCTTTTGCACATCGAGCATTGTCAAGTCAGAATAGACAACGTAAGTTGGAATATCGTTGATCTTATATACTTTTATGATAAGGTTGTTTTATGATTCTTATAACTTTAACTTTAACCCTAGATCTGCCTCCGTTGATACCAACCTGCAGACGACAGGACATGTATTTTGTTGAATATCTTTTGGCCTGTGCACAGAATAGTCGAGAGGCGATTCTAGGCATTTATCTGGTACGTATTTTCTGAATCCAGAAACTTGTTTGTCCCTCGAGAGCCAATCACCGCTTGTTTCCCCTTATGCAAACGTCCTGTAAGTCAGAGTCTACTTTACCTCTGCAATCATTGGCGCGAGCATAGGTGAGATTTGATTTAACAAATCAGAAGTTGACCTATGCAATTGTTTACAGTGGACCTCTGCAATTGTTTGTTGCAACCAATGAAATGGAAATTGACAATCACTGCTTCACCCTGCTAAGGAACTTCTAGCTAAGTCAGTCAACTTTGCAGTGTCTTTTCTATAGTGTAGTAGTATGACCACTGCCTTCGGGATGTGGGGGGCCCTGGTTCGAATCAAACCGGGAAAGAGCTACTCGCAATCTTTTTCCTTCGAATTGCAGGTAAATTTAGTCTTCTCTTTGTGAGCCGTTTCCTTAGAATTCCTTTTTAGAACCCCCTATTCAATATCAGCGTTACTGATTTTATTCTGGGCATTTCCAACACAAAATGGTGTGGCTTCTCTTTCTGACAACCTTTGCATAGGTCAGAATTCAGGCTGGATCCGCGCCTGATGTAGGGTGTGGGAGGGAACCTTTTTCAAAAAGATCACAATTTAGTCTGTCAATCCAATGACATATAGTCACAATGGTAGTACCCCAGTCTAATAAAAGCAGTATTGGGCTTTTTTCGAAGGGTTCTGCAACCTATCGCTTTGGCGTATAAAATTGTGCATTTTTTGCGTCGTATTATTGAAATTGGAATTGTTTATCATAATTTATGGAAAGGTTATTCCTGTAGCCATTGAAGAAGCCTGGAAACGAAGTATTCCAGTCTAAAAATAGCATTAGGGGGAATGTTTTCGAAAATGTCTGCATTCTTTCTATCTTAATGTATCAAACAGTACATCTCTGATAAGTTTCATGCCTACTATCAAAAAGGTTTGGGATCTAGTACCTCAGTGTAAAAATAGCATTAGGGGGCATTTTTTGAAGTGGTCTGTATCCTATTCTTGTTAACGAATCAAACTTTGTGTCTCTACCAAGATTTATGCCTATTTCACCATCCACAGCAAAGGACTGTTATTTCATCATCCACAGCGTATAGTTAGCTATCAACACTCTAGTCAAATGGTCATTCGCTTTAAGACCCTTTTACACTTGGAAAATGGGACCAATCCAGTTTGGGATCGCTCTGTTTTGTATTTTTCATCTTGTAGGGAAAGAGGGCACACAAAATGTCACCAAATGTCGAAGCACCGTGCCCAAAGCACCTAAATCTGGAGAATTCATTAGCCTCGTTTCCCATCCGTGCCATTGGCTCGATCCCATCAATTTCTAGCGTTTACACGAGACTTGTCGATCTCGAGGGTTCCCGTGTGAACGAAAGGCCGATCCGTATCAGTTTGGGATCGATCCCGGCCTGGATCAACCCCGTGTGAACATCTAAATGCACTCCCAATTTCGGAACAAAATGTTAAAATCTAGGCAAGGTGAAAAGAGGCTTATCGCCACAAAAATTGATGCACAATTATTGTTTGTCCATTAGGGATCGTTTTTTACCTATCTCATTTTATGTTTACAAATATTCTTGGTTGTTTGAAAATTGATTTGTAAAAATGTCCTTCGCCCTCTTGAAATGTTCTTCGTAAAGGTTTATATAGAAATGTCCATCGCCTTCCCGTTTGTAGAAATACTGAGGCTTAAAATTTTTGAAATTCGAGAAAAGAATTAAGATGTGTGCAAGGCTCGAATTTCATCGACTTTTGTTTATCTGAGAATTTTGAGATAAAAATTTTCGAGCAAGTCGTTTGAGGTACCTGCGTGAAGCTTGCATCATGCTTGTATATTTCATTTCCTAAATTTTGCAGGCTACACCCTTAAGAAATTTTGCAGGCTACATCCATTTCATTAAGAAATTGGAAAACGGCCTATTTTGTAAATGTGTTTCAAATAGGCAACGTCGTTTGTACGGGGCAATAATTGGTTAGTCAAATATATGTAGGTTTTTGTGGCTGGTCCATTTTTAAATCGTGTCCGGCGTTTTGTATTTTGAACGTGTCTTCACCGTGTTGAAGCAGGTCTGACACCTCTTTTGGAAGTTTTGCGCCCCATTTGATGAATGAGAATCAGGTAAAGATGTTTCTGAGAACCAGCATGAAAAGGCAATAGAAGAGATAAAATTGTCCCAGAAGATCATTGGAAAGGTTATCTTGCAGGAAATAAGCCGAATGGATTGGGGCAAAGCTTCTGCATCGGGCAAGGTTACGATGGTGCTTCTACCATGTCAAGTTACCTGCATAAGGTAGTCATTGCAGTTTTGTAAAGTACCAGGATGCACCAAAGAAAAAGCCTTGTAAAGTAAAAGCCCTGAGTCCAACCAAGGAACTGACCCAAAGATTTGGAAAAGAGAGTGTTGGGTGGGAAAGTAGATGGTTAGATTAGGAGTGGGTAGGGTTGGGCGGGACTGAATAACTTGCTTGACTTCACATGGTTGGAAAATTGAAAATATTACGATTTGATTTTGCGGAAAAAAGCCTCAATTTTATATTCATTTCATTTTCATTCATTCAATATTTAATCATTCAAGGATGGTAGCAAATTTAGCAATTTGCGATACTTTTACAATATTTTCATTTCCATTTTCCTTAATATGTCAAGTTTCATTCTCATATTTAAATAACTGTTAAAAGTCAAAAGTAGTATATTCAAACAAAAATTTGCAGAATAATGTTTTGAATCTAATCAAAAATTTTGCCCGCTTAGCTTCGGTATCTAGGCTATTATAAATTTTAGCACACCTTAAGGAAAATTACTTCTGCCCATTGCAAAGCTTCTTGATCTCTCTTAATGCTCGTGTCTTAAAGTAAAGCTGTACTCAATTGATTGCGCTTAAAATGTTATCCATCTTCATGTCAAAATCAAACGAGATGAAACTATGGAGCATAATCATGATAAAAGAGCATAATGTTTGTATGCTGTGCGTAGGATCTTTCGTTCTAAATCGATGTTGTGAATACCCCAGACTTATTTTCCAGCTGTCCTTTTGAATTTCATAGTTGCAACATATTGTTGCCAGCCGAGATTGCGGCCATTATCTTACCTTGTTTGATAGTGGCGCCCTTAAAAATTATTGGCCTCTATAATGTTGGCTTTCACCGTAAGGAAAGAGCTTTCCAGTCCGCCTCTGGTGAAGAGCATTCTAACAGCAGCTCGAGCTACTATGATGAAACAGCAAATAGAAGGCATAGTACTTCTACAAGTTTACAAAAAATGGTTCTCGAAACAAACTGAGTTCTAGGGTGTTGCACCAAGAAAGACAGAAGATTTTTGTTTAGCCAGCAAATTGACCGAAGAGGAGAGAAACTTTAGTCAGAGACCTTCAGTCATGTTCAGAATATCATTGCTTTGATACAATTGTTTTAAAGTTATTTTCATAGACCGTGTATGGAGGACTTTCTCTGTCAGTAGTTAGGGTCGGAAATTTTTGTACACAGCGCACTCTAGCGCCTCCATTGTCAACTGGGCCCATTTCGAATTTGGTCTGGATCCGCCCCGGTCGCGACGAAATCTTTCACAAAGTGTGGTTTGGACAAAGTCTTGAAAAATAATCGGGACGGCTGGGAGTTGTGAAAAAAGGAGTCCAATATCCGAATTGTCATCACGTTTTTGGTTTAGCTCAACATTACTTAGAAAAGAGCAAGACACATAGGTCATGACCTTTTTTGCTTCAGCTTGATGTGCTTCTTGAAAGAACAATTTAAACTCTGTTTCAATGTTTACGTCGACAACATCATCGTTATCATTCAATTTTTCACTTGATCTGTTAGAAGATTGGGCAATTTCATCCTCACTAACTGCTGCAAAGATTTTAAATATTTCTTTTCTCTTCGCCCAATCCTATAAAATCTTGGTTATTTTCCTAACATAATCAGTTCAATTCACATATTTGTGATATCAATGATATTTAGAAACTCTTGTAAGAGAAACCTTATGGCACCATATAAAACTTAAGAAAATTTCTTGGGCCCCTATTTGTTTGTAGGCCCAGAGGGAAGTGCAGCCGGTGCGGCCCTGTGATAGAGTTGGGGAAAGACCTTTGTGGTAAATGGTATGCTTGACACAGGCCAGCACATTGAGGTTGCCCCTCGACTCCCTGTGCCTTGCCTTGTTTATCGGTGGCTGTAGAGTTTTAGTTATTGGGAAGGGCGCCTAGTTGAGAAAGGTAGAGGAAGCTGAATGTGAGCCGAATCCTTCTGAATCTTTCTAATCAGGATTCGCTTACATCTTGAACAGTACGTCTCCTGTGACAAGGGCGTTATAAAATGTCTGAAACAGACAAATTAAACGTTGACAGTATCATCTCAAGACTATTGGAAGGTAATGTCATTCCCTAGGCCTAACGTCTTGTTTTGAGTTTAGACGGACTTTTCTTGAGTTTGAGTTAAAATTATTTTCCTTTCTTAGTTCGTGGCGCAAGACCTGGTAAAAACGTTCAGTTAACAGAGGCTGAAGTCAGAGGTCTATGTCTCAAGTCGCGAGAAATTTTTCTCAGTCAGCCAATACTGTTGGAATTGGAAGCTCCACTGAAAATTTGTGGTGAGTGTTGCTCTACGTCTTTGCACTTCTGCACTTTTTGTCCAAACTTAGCAGGCGTTGCTTTGAGAAAACTTATTTTAGCTTCACTTTTAAAAAGAGCTCTTGAAATTGATTTACATAGTATGCGTAACCCTCCTACATTGTTTCTAATGAATAAGGAAGTTCTTGTTTTCTAAATGTCATCGAATCGTCACCTTCGTCTGACATGTCAGAAAACTGTAATAATTGTTAGTGCATTTGCAGCAAAGCATTTGTAACATCTGTTGGTCAACGTGGAATTTTTTTCAATTGGAATTTTTTTTTACTCCTCTCGTATGAGAGGTTTCTCTATTGTTTTTAGAGATTTCAACCATATTTTCTTGCAACTTTATGAGCTTAAAAGACCCTCTTCTGTCTAATACTACATAACAATTAAGGTCACAGACATACTGTTTTTTTGGTTTGAATATATTCTTTTTTATGTAAATGCGAATTGAAACTGCTAGTAAATATAATTTTAAAGATATTGTAGATTGCTGTTTACAGCTGTAAATCCTGTCATAAAGTGTTACATGCAGTAAAGTCAGAGCTAGCTGCCTGACAATCTGTTAAACTTAGAAAAGAAACTTAAAACCATCCTGTTCTAAACACCAGAGGCATAAATTTTTAAGAAATATATCCTATTTGATTTGGATTAATTTTTTCTTTAGAACCTAGAATGTATATATATATATACATTGTTTCATTCATTTTTGAAGTAGAAGGCTCATATTTAAAAGTATAGGTTTTCTAAAGTTTGTGCAGTCTTACTAAAGTGAAGGTGAAAGTAGGCTGTTTTAAAATAAGATGAAAATGAATAGATTTCTATATATATTTATTATATCAAAATTTTTTACTGTTGCCAAAGCTTTTGTTCCTTATTCCTAAGGCAGTTGATTCTTTGGTTTCAGCTTTAAGCCTTTGTCAGAGCCATTTCAACTGTAGATATATTATGTATTATGAAAAGTTAAACGTCAGTTTGCTGCTTTGAAAGCAAACCCTCATGCCACTGAGCGAAATGTTTGGAATGGTAATCAATGTAGGCACTTTTATATCCATCCATCGACTCCTGTGTTGTTTCCAATCCCATTAGTCCCATCTAACATTTTGAGAAAACAGAGCCAATGAGAGAGACAGTATGTAGACAGTGGAGCTCTGATATGAACTGAACTAAAACTACATGCAAATTAACATACAAAATATATCTGCTGAGTAAGGATGTGATATGATAATGTAATGATGATGCAATCTAAGGCTTGAAATGAACAAGAAACAATTGAGTCAGCATGACTGAGGTGAATGAAGTTGTTGACAATGGAAGAGGGAATGTCCTATGGTATCCAAGGCCATGAATGACATAAAGGGATGTCATGGGTAGGGTGACTGCCCCCTTACCAGCCCCCCCCAGGTGTCTGCCACTATTTATGATAATCACAAGGCGAAAGGTGACAGGAGGTATATTCTTTCCACTTGTGTGCTGCCCAATTGTATAGAACCACTCTTTGACAGAATCAACTTCCAGTTTGTTGCTTCAAAAACCAACACTCATTCCATTGAGCCAAACAGCCAAATAAAATGATGGAACAATTTTCAAACCGGAACATTTGATTTCTCTGTAACCAAGGCAGTTGTTTCTTCAGTTTCGACCTTATAACCCTTAGTCAGAGCCATATAACCATTTATAAAATTATTGTAGGTGTCAGGTACATATTTCATATTTTTGTCATCTATAATCATATATGTTTTTATACATGTATGTGTTTATATTCATTCAGTAGGCCCAGCCTGACAGGAAAAAATTATTTTCACAAGGGTGCTGCCCAATTGTAAAAATATTGCACCTGGTTGGAATCAAACTCCAATTTCCTGCATCAAAAGCCACAATCATTTTCCTAAGGAAAACAGCCCAGTGAATCATTTCCCCCACCCCTGGAGATGTCACCGTAGCCAGACCAACTGTTTCTTCTGTTTTGGCTTCCAAGCCTTTGTCAGACCCATACCAACAAAGCCATACCAACAGAGCCATATATATGTGTGTGCATTTATATACAACATACATATATTTGTATGCATACATATACATTTATATAAACAAATATTTGAGGGGTTTGAATGGGGGTTTCTGAATGAAATAAGTGTTAATGTTGAAGATAGGTTAACAGGTAATGAAAGGAGGAGAGAATGTTTTGGCCAATGTTGCTTGAATACTTTCTCTCCAATGGGTCATACCACTAGGCAGGTAGAAACATAGGACATTTTTATATTCTTATATGGTATATTTTTCGTCCTGTTTCTTATTTTGCTTTTCTTTTATTACTGTCAGCTCTTTCGTTTAAAGCTTATCTTCTCATATTTTGTGTTTGTAATTTTATGGCTATCACTTACCTCTTGTGAGACAGTCAGCACCAGGATCTTCATCACATTCTACCTTTCTATTCACTTCTCTCCCAGTTTCCCATAACAATTTGCATTCTACGCATTTAACAGTATGTATTGTAATAGGCAGGCTTTCCTTGAGTTTCTTTTATTTGTTTCATTCTATTGCAATTTAGGTTGATAAGTAGGCTCCTCTAATTTTGTAAAGTTATTACTAATTTTGTAAAGGATGGTGATCAGTCCTTCCATTTTTGAGGATATTTATGGCTTAGGTGATAAATTCAGTTACTTGTTTGATAAGATTAATATTTGTTTTATCGGTTGATATTCACTTAATTTTTTAAAAAAATTAATTTTTAAGCCAATTTCAGCTGCATATGAAGTCAGGAGATATGCTTGTAGTGTGTTAGGTGTGTTATGTTGACAGCAATATCTGTATAACTCTGATTGGAAAGAGGGTGATGACCAATAAGGATACCTATGTCCATTCATGGCCAACTTGAACACAATTGTTGTGATGATGATACACAGTAGAAAAGCAGACAGAACATAACCCTCTTAAACCCCTAGTTTGATGTAGTTTTTGTTGAGTGGGGTTTTATCCAGCAGGCTCTATAGACTAAACACTTTTGACAATGTTAAAAACTTTTTTAAAGTCAAAGAACAAAGTTAAATTATTTGGACTTTTCAATTATTTGTTCCAGAGCTAATGTTTGCTGGTGGGTTCCTCTTCTGGGTCCTCTTTCAGCAGCATTTGTGAATGCTTTGGGTCATTTTGCATTGATACCAACATATAGTTTCCAGATGTAGCTTAGTAGACTTGTTGGGCATTAATTGTCGCTATCAAGTCTACCACCTTTCTTTTAGATAAAAAAAATTAGAGCCTTTTTGAAATGTTGTGTTACTTGTCCTGTTGTTAGTTTGCAAGTGGATAAGGGATGTAGTGCAATGATGAGCAGTCAAAGTTTTGTTATACTAAGAGTAGATATTATCCAGAACTGGCCTTGCAGCAGCTAAAGCAGCTCTGTCATGGTCTCGGGTACCCCAACTCATGTTTTAGTTTTTTTTCAATGCATTGTGATACATTCTTTATGGTGGAAGGCTAATGAGTGTTTAAATACTGTATTATGTTCAATACGTTCAAGTGGTGTTTTTCACAAGCTTTTTGGATTCAACTTTATGAATCTTATATTACCAAGACAAAGAAGGAACCCATTCTTTTCTGATTTTTGTTCATAGGAGATTGCTTGTTTAGTTTGCTGCCCTGTGCATTCTGGAATATGGCCTTACCAAATTGAAAATACTGTTGACTAATGAAGGGGAAACACAAAATACATACATATCATGCAAAAGCAAAGACTTGAAAATAAAGCAGTTTCCACAGGGTTGCTTTTTACTGACCTTGGTCAGCTTGTAGCACCTAAAACCAATAATCTAACAATGACAATTTCATCACTATTCAAACATAGTGAGTAAATGTTTTCTTGAACTTTGTAAGCTTTAAGAGCAAGTTTTCTTCTCCACCCTTCTGATGTTTACATGTTTTACAATGTTCACTTTTACATTGATTGTGTATAGTTTTAAGGTTTTTAAAAGACTACTGAATATTTATGTTTAGAAACTATTAAATTCAAATGCACATTTTTACATAAAATCCTAACTTTTAAATGTCCTTTTGGTGGAATTGGTTGATTTTTTGGTCATATTGAAATCATTTGTTGTCATTATTTGGTGATAAATAATTAAACACTTTCTGAGAATGGATAACCACATTTTCAAAGGTAAGCAGGTATGCTTGCTCAAGACAAAAGAATGAACTGCCTTTTCAATATGAATTATAAAATATATTTTACTGTTTTTTGACATGCTCAACAAAATATTCAAATTCCAATAACTGTATTTAGTAAAGACAGATTCAAAGCATGGACATGCTTCCCAGTTTAAGTCACCATAGGTCTTTGTTGCTTGGTAAGAGATTCTCCTGTAAATTATTGATGACCGGCCATAGGTTGCCATCTGCTCTAGACTCAAAATGCCAATCTAAACACATTTTTGTGTAACAGCAATTGCTGATATCTGACATTTCCAGTTTTTATTTATTGTGACAACCAGTACAATTTTGACTTGCCTACATCAACAGTTTTTTTTCTGTCATATGTTTTAGGGGTAGAATTGTTGACAAATAATATTATATAATACTTCTGTCAATTAGCTTCAACTCTATGTGTAATGAAAATAATACAGATTTTTAAGAAAACCCATTTTGGCAAAAATATTTAACTCTTGTTTTCATCAGTAACATATATTCAAATACATTCACTTGGATAAGGTACATGCAGATGTGAATAGTAAATAATATATTGTTTTGTGGCTTTTGCTCAAAAGATATTATCTTTAAACCCAAGGCCTCTAGCCCAAAAGAGAACAGTGAAAATATCTTGCATTTAACAGATGATTTGTGTTTGGTATCTTCCTTTCCAGTTTTACCCTAGTCCTGCCACCTGGATTTCAAAAGTCCTGCTTGTTAGACCTGAGCAATTAAAGTTGACAGACAAATTTATTGTCTCTATTTGTTCAGTCTTGTTTTATTACAGTTCTATCTAGTCTTTCTAATTTTTCAATGGTTCCTTTCTTTTTTAGGTGATATACATGGCCAATATTATGATTTGCTAAGGTTGTTTGAATATGGTGGCTTCCCCCCAGAAGCAAACTACTTGTTCCTTGGAGATTATGTTGACAGAGGAAAACAGTCCCTAGAAACTATTTGTTTGTTATTAGCTTACAAGATCAAATATCCAGAGAATTTCTTTCTTTTGAGAGGCAACCATGAATGTGCAAGTATTAACAGGATTTATGGCTTTTATGATGAATGTAAGTTTTTGCTTTTTTAGATATTTTAGCTCCAAATATGTGACAACACTTCATCTCTTTCTCCCCAATAATTTTTTTGATTCACACTTTCCTGGTTAGGGTTTATACCTTGCCAATCCGATACCTTGCCTTGCCAAACATCAGTCCGATATTTGATAATTCAGACAAGAATTCTTGGTACCAGTTCATTTGGTATAAATGCTATCAATTTTTATTGCGTATAAGGGCTGAAATATACGGTCCTTTTTAACATCTGTTTTCAACTAAAGGGTGTAAAACTGATGTAAATTGAAAAAGGGTTATCAGTCACCATTTCCTATTCACTTATGCCAGCTAGGTGTGTTCAACTTTTTCAATTTTCTTCGGCCTTTTTAACAAAACACGAACACCTTTTATTAGTATCATACATGTGGTGACATATTTATTTGAAACCATTGGCAGTTATGAGGAGGGCAAAAAGGGCAGTTGCACCCCCCCCCCCCCTGGAGTCCAAAAGTCAGCAAAATTACCATTCGGCAATATCTGACATTCTGTCATTTTGGCCTTTTTAAATAAATTCTAACTGAAATACTTCAATCATTTGAAGCCAAGTTTCAAACAGCACTCCATTCCACAGAAAGTAAAGTAGAGTTGATATAGAGGATAGGTCAAATAGCTTGTCAAGAAAAGAATCCAGATTTTAGACACAGGATGCCTTGTTGAGATTAGGAGGACTACAGAATACCACCAGGATATGATGAAATACCAATGGAACTCTTTTAAAACCTAGATGAAGAGGGAATATGTGTATGTACCATAATATATCAACTAATAAGGAAAACCGGAAAACAACAATGCAAACGATCGATAGATCTATTGATACCAAAGAGTGGAAACAACAGGATATGCTCAAACAACAGAACAATCACACTCATACCTCATGCCAGCAAAGTGTTGCTTAAGATCATACAACACTGAATGCAAATACCTATGGAGGGAGAAATGCCTGTAGAACAAGCTGGATTCAGGAAAGGACGAAGGGCAAGGGACCAAATAGCAAACTTGAGGTTGGGAATGAAGATTGTGAAGGAATACCAGCAACGAGTGTACATGTGCTTCATTGATTACTGTAAGTCATTCGATCACAGTATCATGTGGAACATAATGCGCAAGATGGGAATGCAAGAGTACATAGTTCAACTCATTAGAAACCTGTATGAAAACCAGGAGACATGAGTAAGAATGGAGCATGGTGACATATAAACCTCTGGAATTGAAAAGGAGTGAGGCAAGGCTGCATCCTTTTGCCCTATCTATTCAACATGTACAGTGAATTCATCATGAGGAAAGCGAATCAAAACGAATGAAGATGGTATCAGAATCGGAGGAAGAAAGATTAACAATCTTAGATATGCAGGTGACACAACCTTAATGGCTAAGTCAAAAGAAGAACTGATAAATGTGCTCACACAAGTGAAAAAGAGTAGTGCAGAGGTGGGATTTTATCTGAACTTGAAAAAGATTAAAGTTATGGCAATAGAACAGATCAATGAGCTCAAACTGGGAGATGAAAACATTGAAATCATCAACAACTTTTTTTAGTATAAAAAATCATGGATAATGGAACGTGTCATGAGAAAATTACAAGACGATTGAGTCTAGGTAGGGCAGCAATGACAGGCCTTGCAAAAATTTGGAAGGACAATAACATAACCACCAATACCAGAGACTGGGACAAGTGGAGGACGGAGATCTTGACCATCACCTAAAGTCGGTGTCAACTTGATGGGACAAGATGATGCCTTAACTCTGTCTAGCATTTAGAGAGCATTGTGTAGAAAATTTACAAAAACAAAAAGAAGCAATGTTCTACTTCAATGATGGTGCTGCAGTATATGCATGAAACTGGACTGTGCAAGGCATTCCCTTATCTGTATAGAGCCTATCAAATATACTTGTCAAATCAGCCAGTCCTGAGAGGTCATTCTCAAGACTAAAGACAAACAAGAACTATCAAAGAAACAAGATTGATCAGCAATAACTCAACGGGCTATGAGTTCTTTCAATTGAAAACATAATCCCTGAGAGATTGAACTATGACAAAGTACTTGACTCTGATAAAAATGTCAGACAAGTGGGTTGAAATATTTCAAATAAAGACTGAAGTAAAGATGTCTCATCATGTATTTGTCTAAGTATTTGTAAATCGAAGACTAAAGTAAGAGATATCTCATCATATATTTGTCTAAATTTTTGTAAATTGAGGACTAAAGTAAGAGATATCTCATCATGTATTTGTCTAAATATTTGCAAATTGAAGACTAAAGTAAGATATATCTCCTCATGTATTTGTCTAAATATTTGTAAATTGAAGACTAAAGTAAGATATATCTCATCATATATTTGTCCAAATATTTGTAAATTGAAGAGTAAAGTAAGATATATCTCATCATGTATTTGTCTAAGTATTTGTAAATCTAAGACTAAAGTAAGAGATATCTCATCATATATTTGTCTAAATTTTTGTAAATTGAGGACTAAAGTAAGATATATCTCATCATGTATTTGTCTAAATATTTGCAAATTGAAGACTAAAGTAAGAAATATCTCATCATATATTTGTCTAAATTTTTGTAAATTGAGGACTAAAGTAAGATATATCTCATCATGTATTTGTCTAAATATTTGCAAATTGAAGACTAAAGTAAGATATATCTCATCATGTATTTGTCTAAATATTTGCAAATTGAAGACTAAAGTAAGAAATATCTCATCATATATTTGTCTAAATTTTTGTAAATTGAGGACTAAAGTAAGATATATCTCATCATGTATTTGTCTAAATATTTGCAAATTGAAGATGTTAAGAATTGTCTTTGATATTAAGAATCTTATACTGATTCCTGATTCTGCTATTTATATCGTATTGTAACCCACTTGATAGTTGTGGACTAAAGATATTCTCAAAGAAAGACTGCTTCGAAACAGGTTACAAACCAGTTTTGATAATTGAAAATTTAATATCATGTATTAGAACAACTTCGAAATTTTGAAAGAAAACTCATTTTTAGTTGACTCATTATTTTAAGTTTATATCAAACTCAAGAAAGGTTTAACTGAGGAGACGAGTATTCAGAAGAAGGTTTAGTTTCTGCTGGGCCATGAAAGTCATCACATCACATTTTAGGACTAGTTCAAAACTAGTTTGACTCACACCATTTACGGTGAGGCACAACATTTGCCATGTAATAATCGGCAAATTTCACAATGATGCCCCCCCCCCCTGAAATTTTATGAAAAATCGCCACTGTTTGATATTGCCACTGTTGAGCTGTGATACTCTATAAGGTTTAATGATTTCAAATTTTCTAATCAAGTTCTATTTTTCTGATCAAGTTTCTAATCATTTTTGAATCAAGGAGATCCCACTTCTTGTTTCCAAATGTCAGCTTTAAGTTCTAATTACCACTTTTCACATGTTTTCATAAGGTCATCATAGGATCAAGACTGTTGTTGATAGGGGTTTAAAAGCTATTCGTTTGCTAAAATGCAATCGGCAGCTCTAAAGGGCCCCAAGCCATCTTTGACAGTTGAATAATATTGATTGACAGATGGGTTAGGCCACTTTTAAAGCTGTCGATTGCCTTTAATCTTTGCAAATTAAGCATATTCGTTTCCACCATTTCAGAAAGTTTGCAATTACGTGCCAATTTCCTTTAACAGTAGAAAAACCCCAGAAGCTATCTTTATTTTCCAGAACTCTCTATTTTTTGTAAAGTATTCATGAATTGCTGAATTTCGCTGATGCAGGAAAATGATTGATTTATTTTAGTTTCCTGTTAATTTGTAGTTGTTTGTTTTATCTTTTTACTTACTGACACAGGTAAACGACGATACAATATAAAGCTCTGGAAAACATTCACTGACTGCTTCAATTGTTTACCAATAGCTGCCATTTTAGATGAGAAGATATTCTGTTGCCATGGTGGTAAGTTCATCTGAACTTTGTTATAGAGTTCTAAATTTCTATTACTTGCATGATAACAAATATACTATATATACTTTATATATTTGAAATCTATATAGTTGGTGAATCATGTATTTTCACTTTTTACTGGAAGGCTGTTTTTTATCTTCTCTTAACATGAAACAAAATTTGGGCTATCATGTGCCTTTTTTAGGCACTGCATCTGCTTTTATTTAACATTATTTAACATATTTGAAAACGAGACAGGAAATCGAAAACGAAGCTAACTCTGTAAGGATTTTCTTGTGGCCTGTGCTCACAGTGGAGAAGCCGTACTCGTTGTTTAGTACTGTTGTAGCTTTGCTTTATATATTGAGAAATGGATCAGTTCAAATATTTGTTGCTGGAAGACAAGGCCGTACATTGTCTAGATGACCTTTGAAATCTCACTGTCAAGGAATTGAAAGTGATTTTGGCGGCATGCAAGGAGGGAATGTCTGGGTCGAAGGCTGACATTATCATGCGGGCCTACGCAATTTTCTCTCGCTTGAAACAGCAAGCTGAGCCTGAAATTTCTTCACTGCAGCTGCCTCAGACAACTGATGAATTAGCCTGTACACATGAAGATGTCTTTAAGTTGAAGTGCAGCCATTTGCCTTGGACTTCAGATTTACGAGGTACTCCAGCGTTCAGTTTGGTTCAGCTGTACGATTAACTTGTCCTTTGCACCACAAAATTTAAGCATATAATGTTAAAGAGTACGGGGTACACAAAGCTCAAATTTACCACATATTAAGAGAATTGATGAGGCAAAGGATTCAAATTCCACTTTCTTTGATGTGCGTATGAAGGCATCAATGAGTTCTACTTTATACAAAGTGCTGGTGATTGTTGATAATTCTGGCAATGTTTCCTGTGCTGCCTGTACATGCCCTGCTGATGCTGGTGTATCTGGCAATTGTAATCATTTTGGAGGGGTTCTTTTTGCTTTGGAAGATTTCAATAGGAAAGGCTACAAAAATTGTCCTGAACCTGTCTCTTGCACTTCCAAATTAGCAGCCTGGAATGTCCCATCTTCTTTTGCTTCAGTTTCTCCTGCACCTATTGATGAAGTTCTTATCAAGAAGATCAGATTTGGCAAAGATGATGTTCAGTTAAAAGCTGTAAAGAATATTTGGCATGATCCTCGTAAAATTGTACATCGTAGAACAGATGAAGAAATGGTTGAAAAGCTCTATTGCTTCTTCCATACCAAACAGTTGTTTCTTTGCCTTTCATTCTTTTCCTGATTCTTTTCTTTTCAGTCTTCAGCAAGCAGTTCTTCTATTGTCACAGAATTGGCTGATTCATTGGATTCTCCTTTTCAAGGTTTTTTTGTTAAGCCTGGTTTCCATATAACTTTTATGCGTCGGCGACACATCGGTGATGCATCACCCACGAGTGAAAGTTTAATGGAAACACTCCCACAAGGTTGATACGTCGGCGACTCCGTGTGAACATATGACCCACATAAGCCAATGAAAACCATTATCAATCACCATGCCCACTCGTTAGGCATGGTTTGTTGTCAAAAGGCTCCTTAGAAGGCCTGGGTTATGAGTGTTGCCGATACGTCGCACACACTTAAGAGCCATGTCGACACGTGAGAGCTTTATGGAAACCAGTCTCTTTCAATATGAATACGGACAGCCAATGGCTTTTTCAATATGAATACGGACTGCAGCTATGTTGGCAGTTTCCTCAGTTTATTTTGGTGTTAGTTGGGCAAGTTTCCTTTTAAACGGAGGAATGTTGTGAGTGACATCAACTGCGATCTGCCATTACATTGTCACCAGGTTCAAGGAGAGAGATGAGACCAGATTTAATCGTAATTTCTTTATCAGATACACGGCCTGACCACAGTTTTGATACAAATGTGATTGCCCCAGTAGGAGATATTCCAACAAGGGCTTTCCAGGTGTTGTGATGCTTATACTCTGACCAAGTTTGTGACTGAGCTTTCATAGATGAAGGGACTTCTGTAAAAATGTCAGTACAATCAATGATTATTCGTGTGGATGGGTACAGTTTAAATTCTTCTGGCATTAAATTTCGGATTTGTTCTTGAGACAGGAAGGAACAGGTGTCAGAATTTCTTCTTCATTAAAATCAGGAAAGGAACAGGTGTCAGAAGTAGTTGAAGAGGAAGGTTGAAAATAAACAGATGCAGTACGATTCTTGGGTGCTTTTCGTGTCGTTCGTGTAGTGGTTGCCTTGGGATCAACAAACAGCTTCAGCGAAGGAACAGCATCGGCCACTAACTTCCAGCGAAGTGGATTTCGCTTTATACCAGAAAGCAGTAAAGTGTTCTTCGCTTTCTCAAAATCAAATTGCACCAGTGTTTTTTTCTTGGATTCTTTGGATTATGGAAAACGGCTTAATGTCAGACATTGTGTCTGCTTTGCTTCTCAGGACAGTATGGACATTTTTGTCAGGCCATGTGTATATTTTTTGTTAGCAATTTGTATGTATTTCTGTCAGACACAGTGTCTACTTTTGCCTGTCACTGTGTCAGCATATCCTGTCAAGCAATGTGTTGTTTACAACCTTTGCATCTGCATTTTTGTCAGCGGTTGTCTGTATTTTTTAGTCTGGCTTTGTGTCTACGTTTTGTCATGCAAACTGTATGTTTTGCCAGGTCCTAGTGTCTGCATTTTCTGTGAGGAACAGTGACTACTTTTTTCTGTCGATGGGTTTGCATTTGTATCTACGTTATTGCAAGCCTTGTGTCTGTTTTTGTAACATACTCTCACAGAATAAGAATAACCAGGAGGGTCACTTGTGGACTGAAAGTGTGCACCATAAGAAAGATGAGAGACCAATGAATTGATTTTCCTTGTCAATATTTCAGAAGGTTCCCACAAAACTAGTTTGAAGATCTTAGACCAGGCGTATAATACGTCAAGGTTAAAATCTCTCCGAACTATTTGCCACCATGATATTTAGCTACCCTTACCCACTGGTAATGAGGTTTTTTGGTAAAGGGCAAATACCTGCTGCGTGTCTTAAATATGGGCATTTTCCCAAACCGAGGGTTACACGAAGATTGAGTCAAGTGCACTGCAGCCTTTACTTCTTTACCCTTATTTTACTTCGAAATAACATGATTCTATCTCAGTTAAGAAGTATTTCAATGTAGTTTGATATCATTTTATATCATATCTTAAATTGACACCTGAAATCTTTAATCAGCGCCTTTTCGGTAGAATGTTTTGTAAAGCACTTTGTCTGCGTTTTTGTCTCTAACTGTATCTGCTTTTCTTATGGGGATTTTTGCCTACAATTTTGTCTTCCACTTTGTCCTGTCAGATACAGTGTATGCATTTCCTGTCGGATACAGGGTCTGCATTTCTTGTCAGGCACTCTTCATACACTTTTCAGGCTTTGTACCTGCGTCAGTGCTTTTGTCTTTCAGTAGATACAGTTTGTAGGTACCACTTATTCTCACTATTTTTCATTTTCTAGCTTGAGTTGCCCTGTGCATTTCTGGCAGAGTTTGCTTCATTTTTTATTGTTGTCAAATTTTGCAACGAAAGCGATAAATATTTTTTTCTCAAAATAAGTTTGCATGTTTTAGGATTGTCACCTGATCTTCAGACAATGGAGCAGATAAGACGAATAATGAGACCAACTGATGTTCCAGATCAAGGTATATTCAAGATGAAATTTAGAATGTAGATAGTTTCTTAAACCCATCGTGTTATCGCCTCTTTTGTTGTCTGTTTCTCTGTGGAACAGGCTTTGTTGTTGTAAACCCAGAAATCATTTTGCCACCTTCCCTTGCCCCATTACCCCACTCAAAAGCACTATTATTTGGATAAAAGTGCAATTTTCCATTAAGCAGGATAATAGGATAGTAAAAGGCATGGAGAAGCTGTACAAAACCATGCCAAAACACGATAGAAATACAAGAGTCAAAGTTCTTTTTCTGCGTAAAACCTTAAACCGTGTGGGTTTAGAAGTATAAGGCAGAAGAAAAACTACCAAGTAATAAACAGGAACATTTTCATTTTAAGCTCTTACTAATGCTTGACTCAAAAACCCAACTCCAAACACCACACCTCATCACATGTGCTATATTGCTCGATAAGACTGGGGAGAGTACAGAATAAAGCTGCGCATAGGCTGTAGCTGTGAAGCCAGTTAGCAATACCACATGCGTCTACTGTAGTCTTGTTTCAGACAGCAGAACTCGCTCCATTCAGAATTGGCCTTCGAAAGTGGAGCTAGATTGTCTTGGTTTTTTGGTTTCGACTTTTTGTAGTTAGAATTTCTTAGTTCTTTACGTTATCTCGGTATTTTTCATAGCTTACTTAATTCTGGAAATATCATCACTTGTCTTTCCTTATTGTTGACAGTTTAGTGACGTAGAAACTCAAGCTACTTAAAATATTTTTGCGAAGAAGCCAACATTTTATTTCTCAGCGAATAACTTAAACATTAGCAATTAGAAAGGTTATGCTAGCACCCTCTTCAAGAAGGTACCTGGTCTCACCGCCTCGTGCTACTTTCTTAATAGCGATTTTCTATTTTGTCCACTACTGTTCCTCAACAGGTTTACTTTGTGACTTGCTGTGGTCAGATCCTGACAAGGAAGTAACAGGATGGGGAGAAAATGATCGTGGTGTGTCATATACATTTGGTCAGGACATAGTGGCAAAGTTTCTACATAAACATGACTTTGACCTAATTTGTCGAGCACATCAGGTATATCATTGTGTATTCCGTTTTCTTTCTAGTTTCTTTCGTGTTTCGTGTTTGCCCTATTGAATGTAAATCCTACTTTTGTCAATGATAAGGGATTCAACGTACGTCCAGTCTTGGAATGAACAACCCATTTTGTGCCAGATCTGCAGCGAGCACGATCCATTATAAAAACTCGCCTTTGTATTCTGGCTAAATTTGATGATTTTGATCTGCCGTTGCACCAGGTTGATGTGTTTATAAAAAGATGAAAATTTGTGGCCAGTTCTAGCCGAACCATTTTTTTCTGAGTGAATTTGGACTAGAGTCTGTGGCGAGCGAAAATACAAAATGCATACTGGCCGTATGTTAGGGGAAGTTGATTACCAAAATACTAAACAATCTAACCAACTGCTACCCAATTCTGGGCATATTACAATCGAGTCTTTTTTGTTTAGTTTTTACAACTAAGTGCCTGAAATGACATACCAGAAGCTTCACACGAATATAGACCCAGTTAACACGAGAGTGGATAGGCATTGCGTTTACTATTTGTATACTTTTGGGTCCGCTATCTGAACACTTTTGGGATCGCTTTCAGAGGTGATCCCGAATAACTGTACCTTTGAAACGGTTGGATCTGGTCCAGATCGCATCTGTCTACATTTTTATTCTAAAGTGAGACAAAATAATTGGCAATTTAAAGTATTTTGGACACTTATTCCGTGGGTTTGGCGTCAGAAGACCCAAGAATATTGGAAACATGTCAGAAACTTACTACTGCGTTGGAAAATTAGTACAATTTGGTGAATCTTGTCTTTTTAAAGAATGTTCTTATTTTCTATTTTGACTACGAATTTGTCTTTTTAACAACTCTTTCAGGTTTAATAATGACTGGCTTTACCACCTCCATATTCAGTTCATGCTTGTTTTAATCTCAGTTGTTTGAAAAACGTTTGATGTATATCATTTTCAAAAAGCGCATGCCTTTTCCAAAAGCGTTTAATCTGTAGATCACATCTGGATCCGATCCCGTTTAAACACAAATGGTTTTGGATCAGATCCCTGGGATCGGATCCAAAAGTATCTGGACACCTTTAAATCCGATCTGGTCCAGGTCTCGTGTAAACAGGGTCTTTAAGAACACTAAGTTACAGCTTTAGTTGAATTTAGGTAATATTGAGTTGTCGTCATAATACCATGGCAAGCCATCCAGTTTCACATTTGGATTTAAATAAATATGTATAAGTCCCCGAAAAATTGTCCTCTCCTTTGCACAGATATTCAGCAATTCTAATCTTTTTGCCAAACCTGAAAAGTTTGAATAACCTCATCCTATTTTTGAAAAGCAATCCATGCTGAACTAAAGGGAAGGAATAGAAATAAACAGACATTTCTTAACGTTTCGATAAATAAATTTATGACCCGCATAATGTTAACTGATAAAACACGTGGCCCTCGTTTCGTGGTCGTTTATTTCTTCTCGTTTATTAACTCTCGTTGATTCATTCTTGTTGGTTCATTCTCATTGATCCATTCTCGTTAATTCATTCTTGTTCCTCGATTCTTGTTAACTCATTCTCGTTGATTGATTCTGGTTGATAAAGGTTGTCGAAGATGGCTACGAGTTCTTCGCAAAGCGTCAGTTGGTTACTTTGTTCTCCGCTCCAAACTACTGTGGTGAATTTGACAATGCAGGATCAATGATGAGTGTAGATGAAACACTGATGTGCTCTTTCCAGGTCAGTATTCTTGCCTTTGACTGTTTGCCGGGGGGGGGGTATTTTCATTCAAATTAATTTGTGTTCTGAAGAGGAAGCAAAAAGTCTTTCATTGAAATGCTGAGAGCCATGCAAATATATACTTCAATGACGTCTCATTTTTTTGTAAGTGGATATGCATACTTTGGCTAGACCCTAGTTTTTTACTATGAAGATTACTCTTCACTTTAATCGTGCAGGGAATGTTGTTATGCTTATTATAATCCCACTGAGACTGTAGGGGAATGAACTAGACAATCCGGCAAAAGACTCATACAAAAACCAAGGACATGAAGTATTCTTGGTCCAGTTTCAGTTGGTCCTCACTTTACTGACCAACTGAAACGAGACGTTGCCGTCGTAGTGGCTCATGCTCCTTACTTTACTGACCAACTGAAACGAGACTTTGCCGTCGTAGTGGCTCATACTTCTCACTTTACTGACCAAATGAAACGAGACTTTGCCGTTGTAGTGGCTCATACTCCTCACTTCACTGACCAACTGAAACGAGACTTTGCAGTCGTAGTGGCTCATACTCCTCACTTTACTGACTAACTGAAACGAGACTTTGCCGTCGTAGTGGCTCATATTTCTCACTTTACTGACCAACTGAAATGAGACTTTGCATCCGTAGTGGCCCATACTCCTCACTTCACCGAAAAACTGAAACAAGACTTTGCCGCCGTATTGGCTCATACTCGTCACCTCACCGACCAACTGAAACAAGACTTTGCAACTGTTATGACTGAAACGAGACTTTGCCGTTGTAGTATCTAAATGCTCGTTAATGTAATGCCAAGTGTATTGATAGTTATACCATCTTTTTAGAATTCTCCACCATTATATACCTCTCTCCCATATCATCGTACCTGGCAAGGACCCTTGACTGTCAATGAATTATTAACACAAGAAGCTAAATGATGATAGAGGGAGACTGTTTTTTATTCAAAAGATGTATTTAATTAGAGACATTCGGCAGACATTGATACAGTTGTAATGCAGTAATCCTATTGATCGCACTGCTAAGCTGTTATCGTGCAAATTGTACCACATTGGCAGGCTGATAGTGTGCCTTTTGGGTAAAAGGGGAGCAGTCCAATTGAGACCAAACAAACTTCTACTGTGATACAATGGGGAATATGATATGCACCTAGGATTCTTCTTATTCACCAAAAGAATAATATTTTCTTTCAGATTTTAAAACCAGCTGACAAAAAAAAATTCGCCTATGGCGGCTTTAACTCTGGACGCCCTGTAACTCCGCCACGAAGTCAGGGAAGCAAAGGAAAAGGAAAAGGCAAATCTTAGAAATGTTACTAGATTATAATATTTAAAAAGATGTACTGTTGCACTGGTTGTAAATAATTTTTGACAAGAAGTGAACCGTAAATTTTCTGTGCAAAATTTAATTAGTTTTTCGGGCAACACTGGGGAGAATTCTTGAGTTCGCTAATACCCATGTGACTTTTACACTTCCTTTTTTCTTATTACATGCTCAAGTTTGGTTCTGTATTTGGTCGTAAAGCGGGTCTAATTTCTGGTTTTGTTATAATTTTTTCTGGCACTGAAGTATGCAGAAAAATAGTGCAGTATAGAATTTCTCTTCGTTCCTTCTCACTCTTTTAGTACCTCCTTTATTTTTAGTATAATTTTACCCCTTTTTGCATTTCGAATCTATTAAATTTGTATAGTTCCAATCATTGTTAACTAGCAGCTAAATGTAACATCTCGTTAAGTAATGCTGACAGAGAATTTCTGATAAAGTCCTGTGACCAGAGTGAATCACGCCAGTTCACATGTCGCTTGAGTAGCCAGTTTCTAACCAAAAGTAGATAGGGATTCACTAGCTTTTAGCCCAAAGCAATTTTCGTGCTCTAAAAATTCAGATTGGCTTTAGGTGTGCGAATCCAACTAGCAATTCAAAGCAAATCCCTTTTGAAATTTATTTTTACACCAAGTTTGATAACCAATTTTTGTCGTTTGTTGCTTTTTATGTCATTTAGTTAGAAGCCTGTTTATCGCAGAGATTTTTTTATTGAACCCTGGTTAATCATTTGTGTACCTGTCGTTTGCCTAAATAGAATCAGAGTCTGTGGGTTTCTTTTGTTAATTAATCCAATGTTTAGTTGACTGTTGCATGTTCTTTGGTATATAGCGTTTGTTTTTTTCGTTGCCTGGGATATTTCAACATGTTTTTATAAGGAATAACAGAGATAAAGTGCCTCTCCCCCCATGGACAGGCGTCCTCCCTCTCCCCATCCTTATGGATAGGGTGTTTATGTTCATTTCTGTCACCACCATCATTCATGCCTCTGCATATCTGTATGATCAGCCAGTGCGTAGGCTTCAGTGGTATTTTTAAACTTCCAACTCAAAGCTTCACAGTGTATTGCATTTTTTGTAAATAGATATGCGAGTATTAAATTTCTTGTGTGATAACAGGCAAAGTAGATAAATAATTAATGTTGTAAGGAATGAAATGCTCTGATGTGGACACAGCTGTTTGGATTTTCACCTCGTCTTTAGCATTTTGTCTTCGCCTTATAACAAATGTAGAAGACATAAAATATTGCAGAGAGAGGAATTTGCCTGGTAACAGAGCAAATATAATCAAACAGGTTTTATGACGTAGATTCAGTTTCAGCAGAAGTATCTCTATGTTCCTTCTGGTTGACACTGACCGTCTTAAGATGCACTAGAATGTATTTTGAGTACAGTGCGTATGCTCAGGGATGAAGGAAGTGTTCCATCAATGCTTGAATTGTGCGCAGGTGGGAGACTCAAGAAGATTTGTACATACGCTCCAACAGGGCCTTTTGTCACTTCGCAGAAATGTACAAACAAGCGCGAAAAGTTCAAGTTTATTTGATTTTAAAATTTTCCTCCCACAAATTTATTCTGAAACAACAGCAGTTATAAGAAATAATTATTTTTTTGCAATTGCCCTATTCTGTGGTTTGATGTTAGCAAATATACTATACCTTAAATATGTATTGATATAAAAATGTATTTCGAAAAATGCAAATGAGAAAAGTAGACCAAAATCTGGGTTAAATACTTAACATAGACTGCAAGAAAAAAAATAAACATTTGTTAAAAAATGAAGGGAGTTTGAATGCAAGTAAAAGCTGTCTCAACATTTAGTTGGACTGTCTGAAATTGGCAAGAAATTAGTACTGAAGACTGTCTACAAACATCGGAGCTTTAGTTTTTCAAAAAACATTGGACAGGGAGGATCATGAGAGTTGGGAATGAAATGTTTTTTCATTGCACGCTCCTGAAAAGGAACTAGGGGTACCTGCAATTGGGAGCTCTACAGCAAATAGTTAATAGTTATAAGTCTATATGGCGTGGTCTATATTCAGACCGAAATAGATTTTGATACTTACTGTAGCTAAAAATAAGGCTTGTCAAAAATTTGTCATTTTTTCTCTGATAAGTAAGCAAAATGAAGTTGGGTGTCCTAAGCTGTTGGTTAGCAGTACTGCTACAACGTTTATATCTTACGAAAACAGAAAAAACTGAACAAGCGATCAGACGTTGGTGTCGCGAGAGCTGTTGCTCTTCTTCACCGTGAAAACTTTTTGGACGTCTTGTTTTTCAAATCTTTTTACATATCTCGAAAACGGCAGCCTTTGGGCATCCAATGATACTAGCAATTTAATGATAGCTTTTTCCTATCTTTGTGATAAAACATTATTTCTAGACACTGCTCAGAAGTCAATATTTTTGTTTCGGTCGCTACCATCTTGAGGAAAAACCCTCACAGAATTTGCTTACATATCGATAAGATTATTTTTTTCGACGAATAAATAGACCAAAGGCCAAAAATACTTAAAAAAAATTCGAGGAAATTGATAAAAACGTTCTCATAAAGATGCCATGGTAATACCTGGAGTAGTAAAGAAACAAATATTGTTTATTAAGACCATTAGGAATAAGAGTACCAAGTTTAGAAATATTGCGTTTTTCGAGGGTTTTGCGTTTAGTGTTGTTATGAGGAGCATAGCAAAGTCCAGTGATTTTCATACTGGCTGGTGTATGGCCATCTTTGTTGAAATGAATTGAGACTGTGGCATCTGGGTCCTCTTTTCTTGATTCTTGAAGGTGTATTTTCTTCTCTACATTGCGGAGATGCTCACCAAAACGGGTATTTATCTGACGGGACGTTTCTCAAAAATCAACTACTTTCCACATGCCTTGAAAACACTTTCCACGTTCCTTGAAAACACTTTATGATTGGCTGATCAACTAGAATTTGTTTTTGCGCCCCGCACACTTGCGATTTTCAGTTTTTAGTCGCTGGCGACAAAAATCCTGTGATGTTTTTCCCCGCAGACTAGCGATTTTAGTCGCCAGCGACAAAAATCGCCGTCGCTGGCGACAAAAATCGCCGTCGCTGGCGACAAAAATTGCTAGTGTGCGCTAGGCTTAACCAAATATGCATCAAAAACTGGTTTGCATCATTGCACAAAATTGCAAAAGATGGTCATAAACAATTAAAATTTTAAAAGCTGTCGATAAATATTGCAAGGAAAATGATAAAGAATTGTAAATGTACCCTCGTACCGACCGATTTCAGCAAGACTTGCAGCGGTAAAGAAATTATATGGTTTTATGGCCCTGCACTGAATGAAATGTCTGCTTTGCAAGAAAGTTTTTAATCTGGTAAAATGTTACCAAATTTCATCCATGTTTTTATAATCGATCGGTGGCATCTCCATGCAAAAATGTTTCCCAACTGGGAGTAAACCTGACTTTGCTGTTCTCCGCTTCTATGACATCAGTTGATATGCATAAGGTTTGTAGCGCAAAGGTTTCTCATTTCAACAAAAAATGATAGACGTCTTGCAGCATTTTGATGTTCTGGTTTATTTTGTAAGGGTTTCTCAAATAATTATTATCACTAAGTTAAATAGTCGTTTTCGCAAGCCTGATTTTGTTTTTGTCTGAAAGCGCAATCGATCTTCGAACTGTCCGGATACTTTCGTGAGGGGAGTGTATATCAGTGTATCATTGATTGAAATTGTAGCAAAAAGAAACACCGCAATGCACGAGAATATCAGTGAGAGATATGCGTCTTTGAATCGAGGCTAGTTAATAATTGAACGTCCCAAGGACGGCGAAGTAAACAACTCATTGAATTTGATTGATACCTAGGTGGCAAGAGTGCATTACTTTGACAACAGTTTCGCGGTAAGTTCTGAAAGGCTACAGTATTTTCAGAACTCTCTTCATATTTATAGAAGCACGTTGTCCGAAGTTTGAAGAATTCTTCAAATCTTTTGCACCAGATTTGAAAGTTTGCAATTTGTAGCTTTTATTTAATTTGCTCGGCTCTGATATGCCAAAGTAAAGATGGAGATGTATGTTAGTGGATTCTAATAAAGAACGTATGTTAATATTTCTCCGATTAATTGGCCGCGTATGACAGACTTTCCGATTTTTCATAATTATTGGGTCTTCAATTTTACTTTTGTCTTTTATTCAATCTGAATACCATCCATATAAATAATAAATCTTGTTTGCGATAACATAACCAGAGAAACTTTATAGGTTGCTTAGATGCCGTTTTGAAAATTTGCTTTGCAGATTTATCAGCCCAAGGTTGAAATTCATCTAACATGCTTAGCAAATAATGTTGCGTTATCTATGGTTTTACTTTAGCTATAATATTCGAATCCGTTATATAAACTTTTTTTGCTTGAAGATGGGATTTTCTTGAAATTTTTCCTGTCTTGATGGACGATTGGAACCTTTTTGACCTGCATCATTGCAATGAGAGCTGTCGTTTTTGTTTGTATGACAATATTTACTCGTAGCTAGAACTTTTCACTTGACCAGATGACATTCCTTGTCCTCTGTTATTCTTTAAAATGATACTTAGATAAAAGCATTAGTAACACTTTTTGATTATGTGTTCATTTGAAATGTATGTCTGTACTTTACAATTATTTTAGTATAAAACGAAGTCATAGTCACAAATTTATCTGTTCTTATTTAATGTTATTTGATGTTTACAATTCTTAATTTCTACTTTGACTTTTTTCATTAAAATTTTTTAAGCAAAAAAACATTGCTTTAGCTATATTTCTTCAGATTTATTAGGCTTTTATTCTAAATTTCTTAAAATAATCTCAGTTAGCTAAATTTCTTTAGATTTATTCAGATGTTTTAGGCTTTTAATATTTCTTCTTAATGTACCATAAACAAATTATGGTTATTGTTATTGTTATAGAACAACAAGTTTCAGGTGTTGCTTGACAATAGTATGACTCCCTGCATAAAGAAGAATGGCTTTGAAGAAGAGAGGTAAATATTTATAAATTTACTAAGCCAATCACTAATTTATCTTGTCATCAAGTGTTATAATATAGCAATAGGTATTCTAAAGCTGTCTTTTTCTATGAATATATTGTATGAATACATTATATGAATATATTTTAGATGAATTATTCAACATTTTCAAACAAAAGTATGCAAGGCTAAAAGTAGATATCTATTTTCTGGATATTTTTATGGATTATTTTCAGTTCCTTTGCCATAAATAAATTTACAAGATGCATGTTTTGTGTTGATACCTTTGTTACTTTTATGATGTCTTTTAACATAGCAAAGGAACTGAATTATCAAAAAAATTTTGAAAAATTGAATTTCAGAATAAGTGAGCTTGGTGCATAAATATGAATTGACAGTTAGCTATTGATTAAGTCAAGATACAGAGACAAAATAATTGATTTAAAGCACATAAATAATGTAATGGGAATTATGACAAAAATAGTGATCACTTTGAGGTGGTTCCTATCACTGTGCACTATCTCTTTGTCTCCTTACTTATAGACTTCCAGAAGCTTGTTAATTTTATCAAAGAATTTCAAAGCAGACTTCCATGTGGTGAGAGCGCTGCTGAACTTCGTGATTCTTTGAACCTTTCCCTTTTACATATGCACAAGTTTTATAAAAGAGTTAGAGTAAGGTGTCTCAATGGACCATATACATTGGATGGAAGCTTGTCTTTAAGTGGACCACTCAATGGAACTACCAGTCCTGTGTCTCCTTTCATTTCACCAGTTGACAGGTTTAGTTGGAGATGGCTTAATCTAGATGTTGGAAAACTTTCTGCAAGTTTTGGTCATGGTGATAACTCCAATTTTGTTCCAGAAATATTTTATGCCATTAAAGACTGTGACATAGGTCAGATGGAAAAACTTCTTCAGAAAGGTTAGTTGCTGTGTCCCTTGATAGCCGTGTCTCTTTTGTTGTCTTGATGCCTGAAAAATTAAGAATAAGTTTGATATGTCATATAAAAAACAGTTTATAACAGGCATTAAACGGAAATCTTCAAAACTAGAGATAAGCTTTGTGTTACTTCCTGTCAGTCAAACAAGCTGGGTGTGAAACATAGACTACCATAATTTTAGTTTGTTAAAAACTCATTGTTTGTAAACTTATCATCACACACCTTTATAGTTGAAGGTAAATGTTGTTGGTATTTGAGTCAAAATATGTTTTTTAGATAAAGACAGCCCTAACGAATTAGATGCCATTGGCCGCACCACAGCAATGTATGCTACTAATGGTGGATCAACTGACCATTTAAACTGCTTGAAATTTCTCATTGCCAGAGGAGTTGACTTAAATCACCAGAGCAACGGTATGAATTATGAGTGCTTTTTTTCTTTGTTTGTTTGTTCAAAAGTTTTTGTGTCAAAAACAATGGTAGATAGAATGATCTAGCATTGGCTATAAACTGCACCATTTTCTTGCATATTGCCACCAACCAGCTAGCTAACATGTAGAGAAAACAGACTAATTGTCAGTTGAGAATAGCCTTATTGCTATGACAGCATAATCAACTTTTGTCCTGCATATGCACATAACCCAAAGTTTGAGTTACTTAATGGACATTTAACTGGATTGCTAAAGAAGTCATATAAGTATTTATGTCAGAACAGTTGCCAGATAATAACATTTAGTGTGAAACTCGATGTTCACATTTAGTGTGTTATATGTACCAAATAGTATGTACATATCTGTATATATGGTATTGAGCAGCTAATGACAGACCGCTAAACAGTTAAGTCTCACTAAGTATTTATGCAGGCCTTTTCGTAAGAAATAGCCCACACGGGTGGCCCATCGCTTGCATGATTTCTCTTGTGTGAGCAATTGCTCTGATAGTGAGAAAATTGTTCCTGTTATAAGGTACCTTTGTTTAAGGTAATATCAAATGAAATGAATGGTTATGATGATTTATAATGCACTCCAAGTAGTGTGGTTAAGTCAACTTACTTATATTTGCTGTGTTTTGATGCTTGGTTAACAAAAGATGACTTGAATTGTGTTAATTGATGAGACATTTATTCCTCACAATTCACCGTTTTGCACGCGATCAAACATTCGCATGGTTTGGTTTGCATGAGTGCTGACGCGATCGCAAGTGATCGCTCGCGTCAAAGGAAAAGGCCTATTATGTAATTTATGTCATGATAAGATGCCAAAGAAATGATCTAAGGAATTGTCAAACAAGAAAGACAAGATGACAAATGGAAATGGAAAGGCAATAGCCTGAAATAAACATTGATAACACCACTGTTAAAATATCTAGTTTATAAGTATTCTTTATAGAGTGATTGTTTCAATAACTGGAAAATTGCTTTGATACTCCTGTACTTCTGTTGAATTTTTTAATTATTGGGATGTTATTTGATGGTTTGGTGGTATTGATTTTCTTCCTTAATTGCTATTTAACTATCTTAATGGATTCATCATTGATAATTTCCATTTTATCCTAATGACTTTTGATTGTTGAGTGGTTATGCTTTTCAATAAGTTCAACTCCTTTTTTAACAGATGGGTTTACATGTTTGCACATCGCATGTCATTATGGGTATGATGATTTCATAGACACACTGCTACAGACCAATGTAAGGGTTAATTTGCATCATTTTCTTAAATGTATCTCACAGAAAGCCAGGGTAAAGTTTTTAGGCATTGCATGTCTGTTTTTTATTTTTTGGTCAAATCAATAATGTAGAAAAATATTTTGAATCATTGTTGTTATGTCTGCACAGATTTATTCTTTTGCTTTTCTAAAGGCTTTATAAATTGCTCATTTCCATAGATGAAGAAAGGATTTGGAAAGAAGGGAACTACATATTGTCAAGAAGCCATTAGAATTTTTACATTGGTTTTTTGATAAGTGGGGTTTTGTTCTTTTAACTAATTCTAGGGCAAGGGGCCTAAAATATCTTAAATCTGAAGTAACAAGTTTAGATGTAGGGTAGGGCAATTATAAATAAAGGTGGCATATAATTACAAACACCGAAATAACTCTCTTGCCACTGCAGTTTTTCATCATTAGAGACAGAAATATTTTCAACATTTTTACCACATTTTTGAATATTATTTGAAAGTTTTATTTGAAACTTGGTTTTTTGACAAATACCCTCGGCCAGATTTCTCCCTCCCCCTATGTAAATGCTAGCTTTGTTAACATTAAGAAATACCAGAAATTTGTTTGGTAATGATGTTTTATAGCATTCCAATTTATGGTGGGTCTTAGAATAGCCTTCTACAGTTCTTCAAAAATACAATGTTCGTTTAATGAAATGATTATGTTTTATGTTAGTATCTCTGTTGAATATTTTATTGTCAACTCATTTTTGGTTGTCATGATTTGTGCTTTTGGTTGCCATGAGGTAGCAGATGTCCCCCTCCATATTGTAACACTATACTCTGGTGGCAGTGCAAAATTATAAATCTTAGATGATACTGTTGGCCTTTAGAACCATTTTCGAAAAAATTGAAATTATGCAGCTACCTTTTTTAATATTCCATGGCTAGAAATGCAATGAAAGGCCAGATTAACATAATTTTAAATAAATACTTCAAACAAACAAGCTAAAAATATAATTATTTGTGGGCAAGGTTTCACACTTTGTTGGGTACGCTAGCCCCAAGCTAGCATTTAAAACCAAATCTAACTTTTTGAAGCTTGTAGTTGAATGATTCTGTTGATATTAGCAAATTTTGGCTCATTTTATTGGCTACAAGTACCCACCCCCACATGTGGCACATGGGAAAGTTGACCAGTTCTAAATATACAGCTTGTCTATGATCCTGGACCATGTGTCTCAGAATTTTTATCTGAAATCTAGGTGAATATTGACACCCAAGACGCTGATGGAAGGACTCCTCTCCATTTTGCAGCAGCCTACTGTTCACAGGAAATGCTACAGGCATGTGATGTAAAGTTACCTATTTTATGTATATTGTAGGCCATTTAACTTTATACATTCACTATTTACAAATCTAAATTGTGTATTCTGCCAATGGCTTCAAATGTTGTGTTTTTGTAAGCACATGCCAACCTGACCATTAGTCTTACAGGTATTCTTCTTTACTAGAAGACTCATAGACTTGGGTCTGATTTTGCATTTGAGAACTGCCACATAAAATTGGAAAACTATTTTCATAAAAAATGAAGAGATTGTTCAGTCAAACCATTTTCAATTTTTATTGCGATCTGTGTTCCCATTTGAGCCATTTTCATGCCTTTTTCTTACAGTTCTCTGGTACAACCTACAGGTCTTTTGCTTACAATTTGGCCTTTATTACCCCTTTTCTTATTGATTTTTTTGATACTGGAGTCTTAGAAATCCTAGGAATACATTAAATGACCTAAGTCTACCAAAGAAGAACTCCAAAAATGGAGATAAATGCTTCTCATTTACAGGTGCTAGGTCTTGGAATGGCCTCAAAGCTGAGTGTAAGCAGGCATTTTCCCTGAGCAAAAATTTCTGGCTCAATTGTAATTAGGTGATAACCATTTGGTCTTAAATCATTGATGACCTAATCTGATTTTGAATTATTAAATTCAGATTAAAGTAGGGTTTTATTATAATTTGTAATTTATATATATTGAATGGTAATTAGGTTTATTTATTTTTTATAGAAAAGCTATTCCTGTAAGTTTTCAAATGGAGGGCCCCTTGAAAATCAGCTTTACTAAAGGGCTACCCTGCTTAAATATATGAAATGAAAGAATGAAATGAAATGCTGTTAAAATGTGAAGTTGAATGAAAAAGACAATTTCGATAAAAAGGAAATATTTATGTCAACATCTCAATGAATTTGTGCATCAACTCATAACCCAAATTGTATTTACTTTAAAATAATTGAACACTTGTCTTATGGTTTTTGTGTTTAGAAGCTGGTGTTAACTGGTGCAGATCCATCAGTTCAAGATGGCGAAGGTCTGACTGCTGCTATGTGGGCGTGTCACTTTGATCAGCTTGAGAATCTCCAATTGTTATTAGCTGCTCAAGAGAGATCGAATGTATCACCAGAGGCCAGGTTTCAGTCTGTGGATAACCTTGGAAGGACAATTTTACATTGGGCTGTTAGCAGAACCACTAACATTAACTGCATGAAGGTGAGTTATTTATGTGATAATGAAACTGTTTGAGGCTGCACTCACTTATTATTTGGGAATGTCTCACTGGTCATTTAGTATGTTTTCAAGTGCACTGTGTGGGAACGAACTGGCCTGCTCTTTAGTAGTAGTTAAAAGGCAGTTTTTCTTCTTTAATCAGTACTTTTTAACTCGATAATGTTATGTCGGTTGACAGCTACAGCATCCTGAGCTTGGGCTTCCATTAGTATTCGGTCAAATAGATGATCAACGTTATTCTATGTTTATCTTCGAGGTTTATTCAGTTTTTTATATCATGGATTGGATCACAACACTGACAAAAATAATCGTGAACATATAATCATAATGCTGTGAAAATGTTGTGCCTTTTTTAGGTTTTGCTCAACGCTGAAACAGCGCACCTGTGCGATGATGAAGGAAAAACAGTATTTCTGTATGCAGCTGAGAATGGTAGGAAGCAGATTTCTCCATTTCTCCTGCTAAATCTCATCATCGCTTACATTTCCAAACAAGCTATGGCCAAATGGTTTTCGTCTTGGGCAGATTCTATCAATGAGCTCTAGAAAACTGAGCTCTAGAAAACAAACGGACGTTATTAGTTGTGGGTTGGTTTGGAAAGGAAATTAGAAATAAAAAAAACCTTTATGAATGAAGGAACTTTCTCTAAGATATAAAGTAACTAATTGAGGTGAACTGGCATTGAAGCATTCTGTATTTCATCGCAAACTGTAAACAGCACAGTGCCTACTGTAAATCATCAGAAAAAAGGACATAGGATTCTAAGTCCCTGCAGACGATAATTTTTTGATTAACCACCTTGTGTTTCCAGACTTTCTATGTTTGATTAAACACTTTTTATTTACGAACCTATTTTTGTCTTTGCTGAAATCATAAGGTTTTGCTGAAAGCAACCAAACCCACCATCACAGTACACCTTTAAAAACGGAATCTTATCCAATTGATACTGCAACTCCTATACGCCCGTTTAAAGCAGCGCAGCTATTTTTCTTCTTTAAAGACCAAAACTTTCGATACTTCGGTATTGAAGCAGCCCATTAATTTACAATTTATTTAATGTTTTAGGGTGTGTGCCTGCCTGTGAAGAGATTTTGAATTTATGTTCAGAGGATGTTTTGGAAGAAACCGACGATGGGGGTCGAACAGCGTTGCATTTGGCAGCGATGGGTGGTCACGGGGAGGTAGTTGACTTTCTTTTAAGCAAAGGAGGTATGTGAACTGGGTATAATCCTGTTTTTGCTTCCCTTTGTTAATCGTCATTTTTTTTCTATTCAAGCAGGATTTTGAGATCCGTCTCAACGTAGCGTTTGTGGTATTTTTTTATAGAATAGCAGGGGATTTTCTTGATATGTATGAGAGAAAACGGTAAGTCTCTGACAATTTGAGCTAATCCTTGATTTCTTTAAGGCCACTTGGTTTCAATTCTTAACTACCTTATTACAGGAAATTAACGAATCATGAAATTAACGCGGTTTGCCCCTCAACCGCGTTAATTTCATATACGTGTTAATTTAATTTTGTGACAGTGTTAATTTAATTTTGTGCAAAAATTGTAAAAAGGCAATTTTTTTCAAGTGGAATAAGGGATGAAAACAAAAGGTTTCTTTCATTTTACATATATTTTATCCATCTATTTCTTTATCACTCTCACTCTCCTCGCTTTCACTGGATTGATCATTGTCCAGAAAGTCCTTCAAAATTTGTGACGAATTGTCGCAGTGTTCTGTATCTTCGGGGTAAGCAACCTTTTCTACGTAAGAAAATGGAAAGGGCCGCCTTTAGAGATTACTTCACAAACACGATAACGAAGGAGCTTGAATCAGATCCCGAAAAAGATGTAACAACGATTAAAGTCGATCTAAAATTGTCAACCCTGAAGCCTATCCATGCTAAGTTAATGAATGAAATTTATCAACACTTTAAACAGGCAGGTCGTCAGACAATTTTAAATGGATGGAAGTCAGCAGGGGTGGTTCGAGCCGTAGAGGGTGCCAGGAGTGGTGCGGTAGCAGAATTTAACACTTTCGCATAACGAAAAAAAGGAAGTTTCAAAAAAATGTTGATTTTTATTCTACTTCCCCAATCCGCGTTAATTTCATGCACCCGCAATGTATTTTTTTGTAAAACCGCGTTCATTTTATGCTTCCAAAATGCACATTTTTCACAGACCGCGTTAATATTATGACGTATTATTTCATGACGCATTAATTTCATGATTCGTTAATTTCCTGTAATAAGGTATAATGGGTAATTATGTTTTCCCAATCTGGTTATTAAGTCAAATTTCAGTTTGAGTTTTTGCACCTTAGCTGTCTCAGACAGAAAGGATAATCAAGGAGCATCTCCATTTGACTTTGTCACCTCAAGAAACCTCAATTACTGTAGCTTGGTTTTGACATCCTATCAGCGGTACCGTGAAAAGCTTTCAAATATGCATGCAAAGCTAGTTGAGCCAAGACCAGCTGACCCACAACATAAAGAAAATAAATCTCAAGACATTGGAGACGAAATGAAGGCGAAAACATTTGCAATAGATGACCAGCAGGCTCAGCACGAGGCTGAAAAAGCAGGTGAACTGGTAGTAGACCATGAAAGCGAGGCAGTTTTAAGAGAGAGAAGGTAATGTGGATTACAAAGTACAAAAGTTTGCTGGTGTTCCGATGTTGTTATTCCATGTGAATCCTTTTATTTAGATGGAAATCTCGTATACTATTTGCAAGACTGAATTGCTTCTCAATTTTGCTTGTAACGTTGCATGTGATAAAATTTGTTGAACTAACAACGTTTTTGCGCGACCACTCTACATTTCATGCTGTAGCTATGTATTCATACTATTTAAAAAACGCCGTAATAAATAGAAAAATGGGAGACTGTCTGTATTGAATTAAATTGATGTATTCAATTAAAGCTTCTGAGTGTGGCTGGAATGAAGTCCTGTCATATCCTTCTGAAAGCAAACTCTTTCTTCCGAAGGTAGAATTGACACACATATCACTCAAGTATGAACAACATCTTAGCCATCAGACAAAGATTTTGTAGTAAAGCTATCGAAAGATAATCAACGATTTATCTAGATTCTGCCACACCACCCGTGAATAACTGATTTTCTTTAGAAATAATTTGAAATGATTTTTGGTTTTCAGTAATTCTATTGAGGTTGACAACAAGTCATTGAAAATAGATTGTCAAGATATAGTGGGATTTGAGGTTGAAGGGGACATTGAAGAAGACGACGAAATGTGCGTGCAAGAAATAGAGTCGACTGATCAACCGAGGGTAGAAAATGCTGATGCCACAAAATATACCGTGAAGCCCGAATCATGGTCCAATTCACCAACCAGCCTTTCGGCTGTGCTTGATGCCGATGGAACAAGTTATTCCAAGGCTGGAGGGGACATTGCTGACGCGAAAAGAAATCTTACGTATGACCCGTCTAAAAGGGCAACGCTGGACAGTAGAAGTGAAACTAAGATGTCAGATGCTAATGCCGATGAAGAAAATTTGAAAGACGGTAAGCAGGTTGAGCGATCAATTATAGGAATGAAAGGTGGGTCGAATCTGGAAGTACCTGTAATTAAAAAAGAAGTTGTACCACCTGAAGAGATGCCCGAACTTAATGATTTCGAAGAGGAAGAATATGAATTTGAAGACGTTAGTTTAGGGTTAGCAGATCAGAAAATTGTACTCGTTGGTCTTCATGAAGGGGACAATGGCTTTGAAATTGACGGAGTGAATGATTTGGAATTTGAGGATGCAGAAGACCATGTTTCACTAGACCAAGGCTTAGAAAACCAAGTGTCCGATGCTGGAGAGACAGTGGACATTCTTAGAGTTGATAATGGTCAAGATCAAGACCTGCTCGAAACTTCAAGGCTCAGTCCAAGAATTGAAAGTGTGACTGGTCTTATGGAAACAAACACTGTGCCTGCTAACCACAGTGCTAGCGTCAACATGAGTGTATCCAGTCTTCGCAGTGACAGTGATGAAGAAGATGCACAGTCAAACACAAAGGAAAGAATTTCAAAGCTCGATAGCAAGGTCAGTTTCCCTAGACATATTTTTCTTGCCAACCACCTACGAATTTGTTTGATCCATGAAAATACCACGTTAAGATCCCACAAAAAGTTTTTATAGCAGAACAATATTTTATCAACAAGTGCTCGTCTGATTTCCTGAAAATATAACGGAAGATAGTACACATAGGCTAATAAAACGCTGCGTAAATGAATATTTCGCCGGGTTTTGAGTAAGAAGCCGTTTTTTGTTTTTTAGCGATCTGTTTCTGTTATACTATACCTTGTATCTATATCATATTTCTAGCTTCCAATGCAACCATTCGACGAAAGACCGCTGAATCAGCTAGAATACAGAGATCCTTTTTCTAAAGTAAAACCCGCAGCACCGTTTGAAGAGGGAATGTCTCGTGTCAAAAGGAACGAAGAGACACGTGCTAAAACAAGCCATTCGAAGCGGAAAGATAAAAAAGAGAGCCAAAAAAGCAAGCCATCGTCACCGAAAGGAAAACAGGATCCTGCATCGCCAGGCCCTTCAAGAATACACCTTGGACCGTTGGAGCCAATGAAACCTCTGCAGCCAATAATTCCACCACAAGGGTTCCAAGGAAACAGAGGCGGAAGTCAAGGACAGTTTCCAGAAGCTTTTGGTAAGTACCTTCAAACTGCACACTTCTCTCCCTCTCCATTGAAAGAAAGATCTTGGTCGCGAGCCGAGTAGAGTAGAGAAGAACGTAAATAGTGAAATATTTCTCGTCCGAGTTCAAATAGAGAAATCGGATAAACCACTGTTTGATCATATTGTCAACAGTCAATTACGGAATAATTGTAACCTTTTAGTCAAGTCAAACTGTTATCGAAACTGTTTTTTAAGTTGCAATCGAAAGTCTATCAGCTAAACCTTGTTAAGAAAAAAGTCCCATAAAATCCCAGCTGTGGAACCCCCCAAAATTGTCCTATGATTTTTGCTTTGAATTCCCTTATACTTTGAGCCCTTGTGGTACACAATGCATATATAAAATCGCTATAAATATCGAATTTGGATTGCATTTGAGCATTAAATTTCGTTTGATTATGCCATATGCACGTCGAAAGCCTATATCTTAATCTGACCATTCAAAAATCATATTAAAAATGGTTGCTGATTACGTCAATATGACGTCATAACCTCATATTTTCCCGTTATGATTATTTTCTTGCAAAGAACTAGGAAGTAGTTGAAAAAAGTTTTTAATGTTAACTTAAAATCAACATTGCTACTGCCAAACGTGCGTTTTAAGTATCTGGTTATTCATTCCTCATCACTAGATGGTGAATCGTCCAAACGCATCGGAGCTAATTCCGCAGCATTCTCCACAAGCTGTAATGCAGGCTAAACCATTTTTCTTGCATGAACATCTCATATTAGTACACCCTCTCTTACATTTACAGTAAATCAGCTTCAACATCTCTTCAGGCCCACAAGGGACATCCGTGAGACATGGAAACATTGCATCATCCTTGACCTACCATCCCCATTTGTTAGGATCTATTGAATTGCCTTCCCATTTTATCACCTGCCAGTATACTCACATGCTGTGGTATTTTGCTGCAGCTGATTTCGGTGGTGGTGCTTCGGGTTTGATTTGTAATTTTGCAGAAACAGGCTTTGCGCAAAAAACATTATAGCGGAGGTCGTTTAGTGAAGTATTCTCTTCTCCATTATATATGGCAACTAATGCTTTTTCTCCTGCGACACAAACCTGATCTTTGGTGGTAAAGGATTCTTCGTTGAAAACATTTGCACATTCCCGAAGATGTGTTTTCTTTGTAAACTTGATGTCGTATCACACCCCAGAAATGCATGCAGAAATAAAATAAACTTGCATGTCTCCGAACCTTGCATGTCTCTTTGACAAAACTTTATATCCAAGACTCTAACTTTTTTGCACTTTTCTTTTGCTGTGGGCAAAAATAGATGGGTTTTCGATTCTGTTTAGCGTGATAAAGAAGAAGAATTAGCAGGTCTTTGTCTTCACCTACAACAACAGTTTCAATGTCTGCTGAAATGCTTATTGCTTTATTTACAATGGCGAAATCTGCATCACCCTCTTAGTAGACAACTTCACACCCTTCAATTTCTAACTCTTTGCCTAACATATATATAAAAGGTTGCTTGTTTCCCTTGTTAGCTACAAAAATGTCCTACTTAATAGTAAGGACCACATCTTCCTTGAAGATGACTTTCACTCCAGCAGATAACCCTGTTCTTCTTCGGTGTGTCGTATCTTTCGGAGATGGACCTGACTCGTAACCATCGAAGATAACAACTGCTTTTCTGTACCTTTTAGTGACGTAACATAGATATGAATCTAAGATCGAAGCGAATCGATCTCCACGCTTCCATGCAAAACGTTGCAAAAGAGACCCTCCATCAAGGACGTATTGGAATGGTTCCGCTGGGCTCGTACCACTGGAATTGCCAGTTTTGGCTACTGCCTCTGCGAGTACTGGCTTGTTAGCTTTCCTTGGTAAACCACTTGCCTCAAATAAAGAAGCTGGAACTGAGCATAATTCATATTGAAATATTGAACGTACATCTTGTCCAACAAAATCCTTAAATGCAATGAACCTTTGGAAAAGGAGTTGGAGATCCACTTGGATTCCAATATTGGCCATTTTTGCCACATTAGGTGTTGTAATTACAGTTGCTTGGTTTGTCTTATTGAAAACATATTGCTCTGACTCCTTACCCGTCATATCATCTAAAATTTCCCCGCCAATTCCACTTGCTTTGTCAACATTTGCTCCCTCTTCTGCTAGTTTGACTTGACTATTTGTGTTGACTAATAGTTGAAATATAGGCTGTCAAGATAAAATAGAGAAGCAGGTCGGCTTTTACAGGCGAAATGAAGAAATGTAGTCCAGTAGGTTCACTGAGCACAGTTGAGGCCTTATATGTGGTATTTGAAATATGAAAGAAACGAGATTTCCGGCAGAAAAATATAAGTATTTAGGTGTTATAATTTTGAAATACGAAATAACGCAGGTTCCCAAAATGAAATACGAAATAACGAATTGACTGAATATTTCTTTAGGTTTTGTGCTAGAATTATTCATTTGATGGAAGAAATCACTCGAGCTGTTCAGACATTTGTCAAACTTAAAGCTCTTTGGATAGACAAAAAGGATGATTCTCCGTGCGGGAAGAGTTAATAGGACATAAATAGGTTATTTAGGTCCCTGTTGAGGATACCCTGCACGGTGTAGAGGGACTGGCTACGTGGAGCGGGCTGGCCTGGTTTACCGTATAGGAACACATTTTGTGAGATGCCGGTATCAATTGCATGGTTTGTGTTTAGCAAACTTTCGATTTCATGGAGAACGGGCCAGTTCGGTTAGGCGGGACCCCGTTATCTGCCTACCGGGCTAGCATGGCAAATCGGGCTGTAATTTAATCTTGTTGCCCGTAATAGATTCAAGCCGGGCTAGCCTGGCAAATCGGGCTGCGGATTTAAACAACACATGCTCTATCGGGCGTAATAACGTAAATCACGCCTAGAGTGAAAGAAAAGACAACGTAAAAGACCCAAACTCAAAGCCCTCATAGCTGAAAACCGTTTCTTGGCAAGAGTTGCATCCATGTTTAAAATCAATTTACTTGCCAATTTGCTTGCCGTTACTCCTTATTATTTAATTTTCTATCATTGAGCATCGTTATGAATGTCGTAATGTTGTGTGGTTGCCTCTTTGGAACAATTGTACGGATTTACATTTGAAAAGTCGTCTTAAGCCGAAAACTCACTCTGGAAAACGAACCGCGGATCGGATCAGATCGTGCTGTTTTGATCAGTTCCGTTCGATCCACGGATCGGTTCAGATTGGAATCCCACGACGCAAGTGCTGTGTTGTTTAAAAAGTTATAATTCAATTTTGATCAAAAGAAAACTACTGTACCGAAACGGTTCAAAAAAGTTGATATGATTTCAAATTTTATTTCGATCCGTTTCGATCCGTCGCGGATCATTCATGTGACCATTTTTGCATCCAAAGCGCGTGCGCCACACAAAATCTGATCCGATCCGTGGATCATTTTCCGGAGTGGGTTTTCGGCTTTACCCCGATAGTTTTTGGTTGTTCAGGAGAATAGTTCATCTGAAGTATAAAAAAGAATGTCTAACGCTGAACATCATCTGGCTTCTTCAATTTATTTTTACTTATTTTAGATTCAATGCTGCCAGTTTCATCACGAAGTCCTGTCGAGCGCTCAAATGCGCTGTCGAGTCCAGTTGAAAGCCCCAGATCAAAGGTTTTTTCATTCATCCGTTATTATTTGAAATAAACGTTTTTAATGCTTATTCAAATTTTAGGTTAAATTTCATTGTTGCGTTTCAATTCTTTTCCAGTTAGAAGTCACAATTGCGATTTAGTAATTGTTGGAAAGAAAATTCATCAAATATTTTCTTGAGAGTGTAGATTAAAGATAAAAATATGAATTTTCAGTTTTCATCTAGACACTGAAGAGAAAGCCAAGAAATGGAAAAGAATCTCCCCAGTGTGATTTTTGATAGTAAAGACTAGGAAAATGTTCATGTTCATTTGCAGCGAGCATTCTAAACAAATTCGCATTTTAGTCTATTCATATAGCTCAGTAGTAATAGCTAGAAATAAATCACGTGTGATGCGTAAGTGATAAAAGGTTTCTTCACCTTTACAGGGTAACCAGCTGCCTTCACCACGAGGAGGCTTCGATTCACGCGACACTGCCAAACTTTCACATATTCCAAGACCAACAAGCCCTTCAAATCGGAACAAGCAATTCGCTAGTAATTCCTTTCCGCCGAGACCACCAGTTGGTCGATGAAGCGACTTTGTGGAAAGTTTTCTTATTAATTTGTGTATTAGCATCGCGTCAAAATCTCCTTGCGCTGAAAACAGTCATTACAAAACTACCTATTTAAGTTAAGAATTTCTAGCTTATGGCAGGGTAAGTTGATGCACAGGTTTTTTCAAGTGACTCCAACGATTTCAACGATTCAAGTTATGTACAAAGAGCAACGTTTAAAGAGTTTTGAAAGAATAAACAGATTGAATTATAGCGCTCTTGTTGAAATAAGGAAAAACAAGCTGTCTCTTTACGGGATATGAAATTGCAACAAAATGTTTCTTAATTAACGGGAATTTTTCTTAGAAATGGGTTTTGCTTCTACAGAAGCAACAATGTCCGAAACTATATAGGAAATATACAATATGCTTCACTAGCTGTTTTTTTCTCTTGTGCACTTTTTATTCTTAATATCAGTTGTATTGTTGCCTTGCCTACGGCTATATGACTAGAATCTATCGTCTTGCATGTTTCTGAGAAAAGCTAAAAAGCTACAACACTGGATAGAATGACAGAGAAAACATAAGGGCATAAAACAAATAAAATAGAATAATCAAATTTGCATGGGTAGATTTGCATGGGTGCATGGGTAGAATCTCCAGTTAAAAGAGTTTTTAAGTTGTGACATCACAAACAGACTTTTAAGGTAAAGTGGATTACCAATAAACTACTATCAGCATCGACTTATTTTAATAAACTGCTGATTAAGCGCATTTCTGTAAATTTGTAGGGGCCGTTGCTCGTGCCATCATGATCGCACGAGTATATCTGAGTATATCTATATTTGTTTCTTCTTTAAACAAGAGCACGTTTTAACACTGTAAATAGTCATATTTTATTGAAAATAAACTTGTATATGTTGTATTAGAACTGCGAAATGTAGTATTTATAGAACAATTAAGTATGGGGGATCTCTCTTCTTTTTTGCATCATTGTAAAGGTCAGCACCGAATTGGTTTGGAATAATCTTGTTATTTAAGCAGCTTTCTGCTTTCCATAAAATATGCCAACTTTTTCTATGTATAAGCCCATCGGGCCCTTCGATTTCTCTTTGTATGCATTTCGCCTTATATGTAGTTAATGAACTTTTTGCTCAACTTTATACTTGCCTTTGTACAGTCGTTAGGGGCGCAAGTTAGTGGCGGTGTGGGGGTGTGATACCCCCCCCCCCCTTCTAATATTTCCAACAAGTCGGTCCCAGACCGGGTAAAAGCATTATAAGTAAGGGGTAGCATTGATAAGAGCGAAGAAAAACTGCCAAAGAACCAATACGTGCAGCTTTCCTATTAATCGCCCTACAAGTCATTTTTATTGCAAAACAAAGAAATGTGGCGCGGAATGACTTCCCTGGAAGTTAGTCTTATTTTCAACAAACGTGAAGACTTGAAGGCGAATTTCGATGTCATCAAAACATAGCTGGTATTGTGATCATTTCAGCTAATGATGCCCTCGTGACACTATCAACCCACAAACTATCAACAGGGCACCGAAGTGATTTCGTCAAAAATTTATTTTAAGAATTTTTTAGTTTTATCATATTACCCAAAAAAATATTATACAATACATCAAAATGTGCAGAACCAGTTGAGTTTGTTAAAATTGGCTGAGATACGGTCACTTTGGCACAGGCTTTTCCCCGTCAAACCTCTGTAATTTGGTCTTGGTTCATACCTTTATATCCGTAATCAATTAGTAAATCTAAAACCTTTCATCATTGGCCATATTACATCCCGCTCTATAAATACCATACCAACATTTTTAAAATTGTTGGAAACCCTATTGTATGTATTGTATGACAAACCTCGCAAATAATCGAAACAGTGTTCTGCGACGATTGCTGACAAATTACACCATGGAAAAATCTGGCTTAAGCATATGCTTACATTTTACAAAAGTTGTCGAATTATTCAATTACAAAAGTCGATTTATTCAATTACAAAAGCTCTATCTAGATGATAAGATAGATTATCAACGTATGTTCTCATCAAATACTAAAAATGTTTCGTCGAAATTCAGCTCTTTCCTAACTTCTTCATTCTTCCTGATATTTTTTTATTATGACTCCTTTGCAAACCTGTCATAATAAGATTTGCAAGAATATCGTTTTATTCAACGCGTTTGAGGCCCTTCCTCCGTCTTGCAGGACCCAGTGTGTATCGGGCCAACATATCATTTCTTACGAGTACACCGAGATTGTACTCGTAATAAATGTATATTTTTCAGTTCATTTTCTTTTTTCAAGCAGACGGAACCCCCTCTCCCCCCTTTATACAATGTTGTGAAGAAGGATGAACATGTCGCTAAACATGGGTTATACAATTTGCGCGCCAACATACATTTGTTGTCATTTTCCAGTCGCAATCCAACATATGGGGGGAGAGGAGACGTTTAGTAGGAAAGATGATTGGACTGTTCAAACACTTTTGGCGGGCATTGTAGGTTACGACAAGCCAGTTAAAAAACCAGGAAGAGAACTGGTTAGGGCCGTTCCACCTGTAACGACACCAAAGTCATCAACTCCACAGACAGAGTCAGCGTCAAAATGGTTAATGAAAAATACCAGGTAAGTCTTCCCTGGAAGAAAAATATTGTAGAACCTTGTAGATTCTAAACAACATTCATTGTCACTGGTTTTGAAAGATTTTCAAAACAACGGAAAATTGCTTGAATGCGCAAAGGGAGTCAAACTCGAATTCGCTCCGCATCGTCTTACATAGGTACTAACGATTTCACTATAGCTATTATTCGGTTCCTGTACAAGGTTTCGATCATTAACTAAATGGGATGGTGTCAAGGCGTATGACACCCTTTCTGTGTCATCGTGGGTTAAAGGCCTAGCATTAATTACACTTTCAGTTTCGATGAGAATGGTACTGAGTTCGATAAGTAAGGCAGACTTTCCACTAGCCCGGGTTAAAACAAAAGCGGGTTAAAAGTTATCCGTTTCTGCGTCGCGTTCCCACGAAGAGGTAAATTATTGGATGGGAAGAACTATTGTTTGGAGGAAATCTTAAAATTACGTTTCTTATTATCCTTAAAGACTCATTCTAACAATGAGCCATTGCGCCCACTGATTGCGCCACGTAAGCATCCCATAATGCATTTTTAGACTGTCTAAAATCAATTACTGCCATTGTTTGGACCGTCGCCACGCTTGCAAAGGCCCATTGTAAGTCTTTAAAGTGCACTTCAAACCAACAATTTGTTTGCATTTAATTAACCATATATTTGCAAACAGAGATATTGACGACACAGCAACTAATAATTCTATTGTATTTACATTAGCTTTGTAACCCAGCTTACTTACTCACTTTGTTTTAGTTAATCGCATTCTTTCGAGGTACTTTATAATCGTTATGTAGATAGTTAAAGCAGTCATTCGAAATAAAAGACGAGGAGATATCAAGACAGAGAAACAAGTTGCTTTTACTTTCGTCTATCTGCACCCATTGTAGGTTGAGGTGAGAAATTGAATTTCTATTTCAGTCGTCTGTAAAAGACGTAACTTAACTGGGCCAGCCTCCCAATCAACAATTTTCTATTTCGTGCTGACCACTTTTATGAGAAATTATTCTTGAGAAGCAATAAATTTAGAATTTTCGTATAATATCGTGTTCATTTTGTTAACTGAGTATCGTATTAACTGTTTATTGTGTTAACAAATTTAAAGGTAGAGAGCTTTTTAATTTTGATTGTTCCTACTCGATTTGCAGACCAAGAAGATAACTTGGTCAATATTTCAACGATTATGCATAAGATCAAACTGGATTGGAAGATTTTAAAACCCAAGGCACAACTTGTATTTTTAGGAGAACTGAATATAAAATGTGAATTAAACTGTGAAATTGCACCTTTTACAAGGCAACGTTTTTTATATAGAGATAGTTCAATATCTTCTCGTTTTGTCAACCTTACTGTATAAATCAATACTTCAAACTGTACACATGGAACCTGTTTTCATAAGTGAAATTACTGCAACTTTCCAAGGCAGCAACTTTCAAAATGGCAAAGTCGATGTTTGATTCACATGATATTTTGTAGTATTCTCATTGGCTAGTGGGCTGCAATCTAATACAACTTCGCCTGAAAATAGGATCCTGATCCTAAATAGTAGCTAGTTGCAGTAGGTTGCAAAATCAAGTGCCGTTTACACGTGCAACTTCTCAGTCTTATCAAATTTTTTGCGACAAGTTGCATGAAGCTGCATATGAAAAGTTGCATGTGTAATCTGGCGCAGTGGCGGATCCAGGAGGGGAGGGGCGGTGCAAAGGGTGCTTAAGCACCACTCAGATTTTCAAAGCACTGTTTCTTGCCACTGTTTCTGTGTGTGTTTCTAAAAAAGACAGCTAACGATTTCTACTAATTCGATGTTTTCTTCTATTGTTTATGAAAGACATCCTTTTATCTAAAGAATTCTCTTTTTGTCTCCTTATTATTGTTGATAATCGTGGCATGTTCTCCGAGCCGAGATTTCGGCAAAATCCAATTGCTGACCAATAAGGTGGCGAATGACAGAATCGTCCTCCAATTAAGTTTCGCAGTAAATCTCGTTGGTATTACTGGATACATGAAGGGAAACGTTGCTTTCATTCTTATGGCAGAAGAAGTGCCTTGTCGATGAAATGGTAGAGAAGGTGCATAGAGGATGTTTTCGAGTATCAAAGGCAGTCTGTCCCCTTCGTGATGCTCAGGGAAATTACGCTATATTGTTGTTCTTCATTCTGATTCTTTATATGTGCATTGAATCAAAGATGCATGAATATCGTGGCAATGAAAAGAAATTCTGAGAACATTGGGGGCATACTGCCTTTAATGAGACGAGAGTTGCTTTTTTATGAAGATTGTGGCTCAGTCTCAGTTTGTTCTTAATTTGTTCTTAACTTTTGACCAATTTTGAGGCTCTTGTTCTTATAAAATTGTTCTTATAAAATTGTTCTTGGGAAAGAAGAGTGCAAATGCAAACTTGGCCGCGAGAGCTTTCGCAAGTCTTTTGGGCGATACGGTTAGCGACTTAGCGACCTTTCATGTCTGAACCCTCTGATGCAGCCTTTTTTTATCGTTCCCACTAAGCCGGGTTAAAATGTATTCGGTGTGAAAAGTTGTAAGAGAAATCAGTATTTGCATCAATAATCCTTCAATTTCCACCGTTGTAGGCAAATGGAAGCAACATCGACATCGAAGATTTTGTTTTTTGATTCTTATCGCCATATCAGTTCTTAAACATTGCTGTTGTTGCGAGTGGGTCAGAAGTTATCCGGGTTCGGCGTTTCCATTAACTCGCAGGTGAGTCAAAAGATACCCGGGTAAAAACTGACCCACTTTGAGACCCGTTTTCAAACTTATCCGTTTTTCAAGTGGGTTAGTGGGAATGCGATGCAGAAACGGATAACTTTCATCCCGTTTTTGTTTTAGCCCGGGCTAGTGAAAAGGCTGCCTGAATCTCTTTCCGAATACCAGAAATCATTGCTAAGTAGAAAATGTTACTAAGAATAGACTACTAGATAATTCTAGAAGCAGAAGAATACACAACAAAAGAATGAAATGCTGTGTAATGCTGTGTGGTGGTGCGTTGCGACGACAGAGCATTCGAGACAAGAGGAATTTCCTAAGAATCTACGCAATAAACGTAATAGCTACGGATGCAAAATGATAACAATCCAAATGCTAGAACTGGCATTATTTTAGCTCTGCACGGTCACAGAATAGGAATTAGGAAGAAGAGGAACTCCTGCCTATCAGGTGAAGCCTGAAAAAACTAGCGCATGCGTTAACTTACATGAGGCTACAAATTCAATTATGTATCATAATTCGTTTTTATCTGATTAATGAATGATAATTTGTCATGGCTAAGTTCGTCTAATGATATCGAGGTTAAAGGGGGATTAAGGAATTATATTGTTGACTCAGGCTTCAAAAACAACAAAGGAACCGACGAGAGTTAAGGCAGGTTTCCACTTTGGCGAATCAGGTCGCGCGGCCCTTGCGATCGCTCAACTGCGATCACAGGATTGATTTCCACTCTTGAGATTTGGTCGCGCGATCGCTGTCAGTGCCCCAGAAGAATTAGGCGCGTAAACAATATGGCGATTACAAGGCGATAAATTTTGATTTTCATTTTTATGAGGCGACGATTAAAAGAAAGGCACTGCAGACTCGTAAAATGCTGGGTAAGGAAAATATGTGCAGAGAGATGTGAAAAGGGAGAGTAGCTATTATCAGCTTGTCAGAGAGATGAAACTTTTAGACATTTTCAAACGCAAGATAATTTGACTGTACTGTAGGAGATTGACTTTAGTGAAATGGGTTTAAAAGCGACATGACTTCTCGATCAATTGTTATTTTGTCTTTTTCTCAGCGTAGCAGAGCGTGGATTTTTTTGGATAAGCGCCAAAGAAAACAAGATAGGAGAATGAGGCATTTTACGTAAACCAGACAAGAAAACAAAGCATCTAATTGGTCGCAGAAAAGTTAAAATCTATTCAACTCCCAAAAGCGTCCGCGCGATCGCCAGTGCAAAGGGGAATCACTGTCATTGGGTTTAATGCGCATGCCCAGAATAGCAGTCGCGCAATCGCGCCACCAGAATCGCCGAAGTGGAAACCCGCCTTTGCCCCTCTGCCTATTTCCTATTCTGTGGCACGGTTCAGGGGCGGATCCAGAGCATTCGAGACACAAGAGGAATTTCCAAAGAATTTTTTGTTGCTCTTATTTCGGTTTTTCTTTTGGTTTTTGTTCGCATTTATTCGTTGGTCTATTATTGATTGTGTATCACGACTGGGGGTTTCACAGTTTTGCTGAAATCTTTCGTTCCGTTGGGATCTCCTTTATTTCCTGGAAAGGTTTCAATGGCATCTGAAGTACCTGTAGCATTGTAGTTATCCTTGCACGTCTTTATCATTTCCGATTGCATTGACACGACCAGCATTCTTGCATGTTCCTTTGGGATTAGTTGACTTTAGTTCAAGTAATTTCTTTGAGATAAAATATTGTTCATAATGCCGACTTTTTTCACTCACTAAGACTCCCACTGGTGACGAAAGCTAAGCTCTTCCTGTACAGGTGCCTCTTCGCTATTGTCTTTCCTCTCAGTAGTAGCCCTCCTTTCGGGAGTGGTGTTTACTGTGGCCTCTAAAATCTGAATCTTAAGTTTTAAATCATAGTTTTCCACTAATTTCGAATTTAAATTTGCTTCGAGGATTTCATTTCGTTCCTTTTCTTTAGATAGTAGCTTATTCAAGGAATCCAAAAGCACTGTCAATCGATGTACCAGGGTCCTTCTTCACCGACTGCATCACAGGGGAGGAAAACGGGATAGTGTTTATCGAAGCATCAGCATCATTTGGCTCAACGCTCTGTGAAAAATCAGTTTCACTGTCTGTGATCTCTTCAGCACTATCACATACCTTAATTGGGTCGAAGATGTAGTAAGAATCTTTACCATTACGCGGTTTGCAGTAAATAGCAGCCGAATCTAGCATATAATCGATAGTGCGTGTCGCTGCCGAATTGCTTAGGCCGTGTTTTCGATCTAAGTATGCAGTTATTGATATCTTGTCTGGTCTCTGTTGTTGCTTTCGAATAGCACCGATAGCAGAAAAAATAAACTTCTCATTTATTGTAGCCATGATTGAATGACTGCAATTGTTAGGAATCTCCCCTGTTTTCAAAGTATCTTCGAACGGCGAGTAAATTCGATCATGCGACTGTAATGTTTTATGGTTGTTGTTGTTGTTGTTGTTGTAAATTTATTTTAATTCAAAATACACAGAAGACATTGAAAAGACAGGAGATGAAACCAAGAAAATGTTCAAAGCAATAAAATACCTGAAAATGGAAGGAACAAAGAAGACCAAACTTCAAGTAAACACAGCAGATGGAAAAACAACTTCAACAACAAGAAAAATTGAGGAAGTCACAAATCACTTCAAACAATGCTTCTACAATGAAAACTTAGGCCCAGATCAAAATAAACAAGAAACTATAAAACCAGAGAAAATAACCAAACCATTCACAACAGAAGAAATTCAAAAAGCAATCAAGAAACTGAAGAATAACAAGGCTGCAGGTTGTGACAACATTATTGCAGAACAACTAAAACACAGTCCAGAAATTGTAGCAGAGGAAATAGCAACTATCTTCAATGACATGGTAAGAACAGGAAAATATCCAGAAGAAATCAAAAAAGGGATACTAATTCCACTCCAAAAGCCAGGTAAAGAAAAAGGCCCAACTGTAAACCTAAGACCCATTATGCTTATGACTATGCTCAGAAAAACATTAGCTTTATGCATGTTAGAAAGAATAAACCCTAGAATTCAGGAGAACATACCAATAAGTCAAGCAGCATACAGACAGGGACGTAGTACCACAGAGCAAGTGCAAGCATTCAAACTATTGGCAGAGAAAGCTATCACCACAGAAGACACAGAGTACACTATAACACTAATAGACATGAGCAAAGCATTCGACACTGTGAACAGGAAGACCTTGATTGAAGACCTAAAACATATAGTAAATAAAGAAGAACTGTACATACTATCAAAGATGATCAATGACACAGAAATCCAAGTGAAAATAGATGGAGAAGTTGGACAGCAATTCCGAACAACTGAAGGGGTAGCTCAAGGCGAAGGACTAAGCCCCATTCTATTTACTCTATACCTAGCCAAGGCCTTCAAAGAAGACAGCACAACCTACCCAAGTCAAGATCACAACTACACAAGCAATGCACCAGAAATACATCAACTAGGCTTTGAGATGGAAGAGCAGTATGCAGATGATTGTGGTTGGATACATGAAAATGCAGAAAAAGGAAAACAGAAAATAGAGAAAACCATCACCAGGCTAAAAGACAGAAATCTGAATGTGAACAATGACAAGACTGAGATATTCAAGATTAAGAGAGGTGAGACAACTGATTGGAAAAAATGCAAAATCCTAGGAAGCTACCTTGACACAGAAACTGACTATGAAAACAGAAGGAGATTGACAATAACCGCGATGTCAAAACTGCAACATATTTGGACAAAAGGAAAAAGCATCACCACCAAGAAAAAGATACTATCAAGTTTAGTAGAGCCAATCTTCATGTACAATGCTGAGCTATGGAACGTCACCACCACTCTAGAAAAGAAAATAGCAGGCTTCCAACATCGAATTCTGAGATGGATGCTAGGAGTAAAATGGCAAGAAAAGAAAAAGAACACAGAAATTGACAAGATTGCTGGTATGACATCATGGGTGGACAAAATCAAAGAAAAACGAAGAAGATGGACGGGTCACATGCTGAGACTAGATGATAAAACACCTGTAAAGAAGGCTTTAAGAGAAGCTAGAAGACCTGGAAGAGCCAATAGGGGAAGAAAAAAGTACATATGGATAACACAAACAATGACCAAAGACTTTAAAGATATGCAGTTAGATGGATGGAATGAAGCTGAAAGAGCGGTGCAGGATCGAGTGTTGTGGCGAAGAACAGTCAAACGAAGCCTGAGAAACTAACTTTTTTTTCACTATTTGATGTACACAATGTTGTAAATACAACGGAATGTGTGATTATATATATATATATAAGAAACAATAGCTAACTATATATACATAAATATACAATGTTAACTAATCACAACCGAATATAGCTACCAGTTAGTACATAAAAAGGAATTATGGATACAAAATTAAAGATTACATTGCATTTTCTGGCAGAAACTGACAGGCACTGCATTTGCAATACGGTCCGTCCCATTGTTTTATTAGATTCTTAAAACTCTTCAAATTTTCAACGGATTTCAACTCGTCGGGTAGGCCATTCCAAATCTGTGGCCCGATTGACATAAGACTTTTGGATCCAAATGTTGTTTTATTAGCTCTAACATGGGCTAAGTTATTCGGATTTCTTAATGAATAATTTGACGAACGTAATTTAAAAATACTCTGCATAAAAGGTGGGTTCAACTTTTGTATTGTTTTGAACATTTCAATACACAGAATTCTTTGACGAGCGACGAGCATCGTGCATTTGTCTGCCTTCACAAGCAGATCGTTATACGAGCTTGTATATCATTATAGAGAAATCTTAGGGCACGTTCTTGTATCTGTTCAATTTTCTGTAATAATTTAGACGATGAAAAATACCAGACCAAGGGACAATAGCTGAAATTGGAATATACGAAGCTCTGATCAAGAACCTTTTTCTCCTGGAAACCAATAAACGTCTTTAATCTTTTAAGAACAATCAATTGTGTGGCAGCTTTTTTGCAAAGATTCGAAATATGTGAGTCGAAATCAAGTTTGTAATCCAACGTTACTCCTAAAAGCTCCACTGTCTCCTCAGATTGAATTTTTTTACCATTAATGATCATTTGTTCTCCACTAGTATTTGTCTTGTTTTTCCTAAGAATTATAGCATGAAATTTTTCAGGGTTTGCAATCATTTCATTTTGTTCTAACCATGATAGGCCGATTCCCATTTCATTTTGCAAGGTACTTACAAGATCACGCATGTTTCTAGAAAAATAACAAAGTGTATTGTGGTCTGCATAATTATGGAGCGTTGCTTGTTTTTTGAATAGAAATAAGTAATTTATGTAAAAATAAAACAGGACTGGTCCTAGCACAGAGCCCTAGGGTACACCAGACATAACCTTTTGAAAAGAGTTGTATGAATTGTTTATCCGAACACACTGATTTTGTCTCTTCAGATAGGAATAAATTAGAAGTAGAACATTTTCATGAAATCCATACGCATGCAGTTTGGCAATAAGCAAATCATGTGGGATACAATAGAAAGCTTTCGAAAGACCCATTAAGACCGCACCAACGAAATAGTCATTGTCAAGGCTAGTCTTCCAGTCTTCTATCAAACGTATCAAAACATGTTGGGTGGCATACGTTTGTCGATACGCAGCAATGAAGACTAAAAGCGTGTAATCTAAATGTTTAACCAATTGATTTTTTAAGAGTTTTTCATATATCTTTGAAAAGGTATTGAGAACACTAACTGGGCGGAAATTTCTTTCTAATGTACAATTTGATTCCTCTTTATCTAGTGGGCAAACTGCCGCTTTCTTTGCATTGTTTGGGAAACGAAAATTTCGAATGCTACAGTTTATTGAAGTAGTTAAAGTATTTGTATGTTCATTTGCAGCCAAGGATACAGGCTTCGGGGGAATTTGATCTTCACCAGGAGATTTCTTGCCATCCAGGCATTTTGATAGTTTTGCAACTTCATGGCTGCCTATCTCTTGAAAAGTGAAAGTAGCCTGGCTTTGAATAATAGCTAGGACACTAGGATGGTTTTTATATTTATCAAGAATCAAGCGAACGATTTGGCGCTCGTCAGAAATTCCAGTATTTTTTGCAAGGCTAACGGGCTTCTTACCGCTGGATTTTCTACTATATTTATATAATGATCATTTAAAATTTCTGCCAGTTCTTGGTCATCTGTTATGACGGTTTCTTTTTCACAAGAGAAATATCGCTGCTTATAAGTCCTCCTTTATTTGATAAAAAGGGTTTAACAAGATCCCAGAATTCTTTATTTGACATAGTTCCATGTCTAGTTGCTTCCTTAAAATGATTTTTAATCGCCTTTTGTCTTAAAGAGACACATTTATTTCTTTGCTTCTTGAAAATTAGTTCTATTTTCTACGGTAGGGTTTTTATTAAATCTTTTTTTACGCCTTGATCTAGTATAAATTGCCTTCGGCAATTGCTGATTCATGAAAAGGGCAGTATTTCCCCTCAGAACTTTTGTTTTTAAAGGAGCATGTTTATCTACAATTTTTTGAAAGGTGGACGATAGATTTATATCTGCCAAATCAGCATAATTTAAATCGGCTTGAAAGTCACTGTCCTTTACATCTTGGAGAAACCTTTCAGGTTTAAGTTTCTTATACCATCGGTATCTGATGATTTTAGGTTTGAGACGGGGTATGGGTGTTTTAATTGAAGTTAGGACAAGGCAATACAAATCGCTGAAGCTAGTTTCAAAAACGCTGGTGTTTTGAATACATCTGGGTCTATTTGTCATTATGACATCAATTGATGAACTATGATTTTTGATGTATCATGCCTTGTCCTATACTAAATTAGACCGTCCAAGCCCATCACAGAAGGAGATTAGTCTAGTGTACCCAGGATGTTGAGTATCATGAGTATTGATATTTATATCGCCCATTATGATAACATTTTTATATTTGTTCAAAGCTGAGTTTGATGAAAAAGACAGCTCTCTGAAAAATAGTTCCAGGTTTGAAGGTTCTGGGGGTCGGTAAATGCTAAAAATTATCCACTTTTTTTTGCAAACCAACAGATCTGAACAAATTATCTCGTTAGTTAGGCTCTCAAAAACTGGAACTCTATTGCAAACAACTCCTTTTCTAACAAATTGCATCAAACTCCCACCAAATTCATTCCTTCCACGCCGGATTGGTTTTTGGTAATCATTTATTAGTAAGATTTCAGTTTTGAAATCTGAATTTAGTTTGTTTCCTCTATTACATAAATATCAGGCAAGCATTTTTCAATAACTAATCGTAGGTCAATCATTTTGTTTCGAAGGCTATTTATATTTAAGAAACCAATCAAAGAATTATTTGGATTTTTCGTTCTTAGATTGAAAATCTTCCTAAATTCATTCGAAACGTCTGGTTGCGTGGATTCGATTGAAGATGCAGAAAGGGAACATTCACCGTCTTCTCTAGAAGCGTTTGAAATCGAGGAAAAAGAGCGTTCAATACTTGACCTACAACTTAAAATTGGGATTACAGTCAAGGACTCTATTTCATTGTGGAACTTTTCCAAGCAGTCAGGGGTAATACTTAGATCTGATGAGCATTTTAATGTGTTAGGCCTTAGTGGGATACTTAAAATATGATTTTTATGTGTAGTCAGTTGACTTTTCGTTTTTTGCTCAGAAGGATTAATACCTGATGTCCTATTTTCATCATGTTGTAAAAGATTAGAGAACAGTCAGATAGTATTAATAAAATTCACTAAATCATTACCTAAAACATTTGTGCCGTTGTCATTTAAGTGGATTCCATCATCGTGAAGAAGATATCTCCAATCAGAATCAAAAACTTTTTGCTTATCAAAAGAAGTTGTAAAAAACTTGCTTCGAAATAAAAACAGCATTAAGAACACTCTACCTAAATATCAATTACCTAAAATTATGAACACCAAGCATTGACAAAAATTTTCATAAAAAGAAATCGATGTTCTTGGTAAATGACATGAAAAAGTAATATTGAACAAATGATGCATACGTTAAGACAACCCCAAAGATTTTAAGTTTGCATTAATTGATTTAAGCTTGGTTTCCACTATGAGTTAACGTGAGTTAATTTGAGATAATTGTGTTATCTATCATGGTTTAAAAATTATCTCATAGTGGAAACGCTCATTAACAATTATCTCATGAAAATTAACTCGTGTTAACTCACGTTATCTTGGAAACAAAAATTTTTGATTTCAAGCTCATGAGACAACATCTTATCAAAAGAAGCTGATGCGTGGGAGGGGAATGTGCAACCATTGGCACTGAGGTTCTTACGCAACGCATTTGCACTAAGCATTACTTCGGATGTTGAAAGCAGTTTTCTTTACTCAAAGAAAAATAAACTGTAAAATAAGAGAAACATGTTCCCATTTCGAAGTTCCTATTCAAAGTGGTTGTATACACCAAACGCATATCTTTTTTGGTAGATTTTCCGTACCGAAAACCTTGCAGATCGCGAACGGCACTTCTAGCAAAATAAATCTTTTCCTTCTACATATTCTCAAAGGCAGAAGTAAAATGAGATGTTATTGTAAGACGCCTGTAAGACGCCCGTCATAGCTGTGAGACTCAAATAAATGTGATTTCTGGTATTTCCATACTTAATTCTATCTCAAGTGGAAACCGAATCGGTACATGGGTTAATTTTGAGTTAGCTCGCGTTATCTCACGCTATTTCACAATATCTATTATTTAAGCTTGGTTTCCACTATGGGTTAACGTGAGATAATTCATGGTCTAAATTCAAGTTAACTTGAGATAGTGTGAAATAGCGTGACGAGATTGATATATGCGAGGGGGTAGAAAGCGTATATTTGAGATACAGTGATTTTCATGTTGGCTGGTGTATGGCCATCTTTGTTGAAATGGGAAAAAACTACGCATGCGCTTAATGACGTCATAATTTTAGTTTAAACCCCTTGTCAGAAAAGTTGCAAGCTGTGCATTTACTTTCAGAAAATTTAGAGCACTACCATTTCAATGGTCTGATTCCACAAATAATCAGAATGAATGGAAAAGAGTCACTCGAAACTGACTTCGACAAGGAAAACTGCCTAGACCATTGTTATGCCGAAAGTATAGAGCTACCTGCGGCGGAAATAATTGAAAATTTACACAACGCAAAGAAATTTGCCATTGATATTGGTATGTTGTTTTAAGATAATTTTTTTGATGATTTTTTAGATGTTTTTCATGATGTATTTAGGCACATCCGTAGTTTGATTCAACATATGCAGCCTGGTATTTATTTGGGAAGCCTTCATAGTTTCCTTGGTCATCAATATAGTGCTGATGTGATAATTGAATCGGGCCAATGGCTGAAAATACACTCACCTCTTGTATACCGTTAATCCTCGAATAAGCCCCCTGAGGACTTATTTATTGTTTAAATGTTTGGATGAGGGCTTATTCGAGGGAGGGCTTATTTGAGGGGGGCTTATTTGAGGGGGGCTTATTGACAATTTGTAGTTCTAGGGTAGGGGCTTATTTGAGGGGGGTTTATAGATTTATGTGCTCATTTAGGCATAAAAGGCCTAGTTCCAGTAGAAAAATAATCTGATTGGCTCCAGTAAAATAAATGATCAAATTAACTCCGAGAAAACATCTAATCTAAATTTTCTATAATAGATTGTAAAGTTTAAAGTAGCCGTTCTACGCTTTTAGACTTTACACAGTAAACCTGAATAACTGTCTTGTTTTGAAAACTTAACATCTGGTTAGATTTATGTAGCATCGCAACTTGAATCGGTCTTTCGAAATACGAACAAACCGGTATCATGGAGCCCTTAGGAGTTGCTCTAACCCCGAGAAACGTCGCACACGCCAGTGGCGGAAGTTATGGGGGCTCGCCCGGAAAATTCGGTCTTTCGTCGGATAATTGACAACCGTTTAACTTATCAAAACTATAGCAAGAATTCATTCTTAAAATCTATGTATTTTAAGCTAATATAAGGGGCGTAATTGCCAAATTTTCTTTTCGTTTCGCTCGCAGGTGATCCTCTTTTTACCCCAGGGGTCTCTAGAACCTCTCTGTGCTCATTTTGCAAAGTTTGAACATAGCATAGATGATAAAACATTAGTTAATACTAAACAATCAAACAAAAAATATCTGACAAAAATCAAAACTGCTTGTGAATTGAATATTTAATTTTAACAGGTGGTTCCTTAGCAAAAGTTGCGTATCTATCAGAGGCTAGCAGGATAGGTGCAAGGCATTACTGTAGGGGTGGGCCATCAATTAGTCCTGCAGATGAGGTAGGAAAACTGGTGAGTTCATTATTTTCTTCTTTGAATAAACCATTACAGCAAAAAAGCTTTTTTTTAGCAGATTTTTCTTGCAAATTCCTGGGATTTGCTTTGCTAGAAATGATATCATGCCAAAGCTATAAAACTAGCAAAAAAAGGCATAAGTAAAGATCGGTTTGAAGAGAAGTGTTTGCCTATCCCCGACTTCCTTAAAATCACAACTTCATTTATGTATGACTTTTATTCATCAACCACTGTAGCATCCGTAAAGGATAATTGTATTTTAGGATTTCATTCATAAAGTCATGTTTATAATCACGAAGCTTTTTGTCTTCAATTGTATAGAATCTATTATGTGAGAGCATATACCCAATCTTGCCTCAGCATTAGTGTCTGTTGTGCCAACGTTTTTTAGCCCGTCTCCACTGCGCAAGAAGAACAAGAGAAAGTAGCAAAGCTGCACTTTATCAAGTTTGAATCAATCGAAACCTGCGTGGATTTTATCCAAGAGAATATTTTTGATCATCGAAGTGAAACTGAAGATGAATCGATGCAAATCACCGGTAAAATAATCGTTAAAAGAAAAACTTTCCTTTCTCTTCTTAGTTTTTGTATTTTATATCTGTTTGTTTCCATTGTTTAGTGCTGATTTATTGTAGCTGATTATAATCTAATTTTTGCAGAAAAATGAACGGAGTCTAGGTAAGCTATTCATTAAAATATTACTATTCAATAGATTGCTGTAATCGTAAAAGTATCTCTCCAATCACAAAAGCCATATCAATGAATCCTTCGATTTCATTAGAACTGGATTGCGTAAAGGTATTTCAGATTCTTGCTTCGCAGTTCTAGTTTTTGGTAGTGTTTTGAAGCCCATTGCCCAAAGTTTGCGCACTTGATTATAAAGGTTGTGTGATTGTTGGTTAGTTTATATATCACTTTTAAACGCTACCTCGCCATTGCTGTATCAAGCTAATGAATTCCTTGGGACCTCATGGCGACGACACACGAAATTATTTGCTCCTCTTGAATTTGCATTTCTTTCTTAGGTGGCGGAGCTTTCAAATACGCAAACTTCTTTTCATCAAAGCTTGGAGTGAAGTAAATGTTATTCTTGTTTCTAGATTGCATTAGAGGATAGGAACCATTTTAGAGAAAAATAGTCTTCCCAAGTGCTGCTTTAGGATATTCTAATTATATCTCAATCCTCCATCGAACATTTATCTCTGAATCTAGTTTTGGACGTCTTCTTCAACAATATCTATACATACATGCAAACATGTAGCTATTTTCTTTATATAAGAGGCACTGCAATTGTTGTTGTTCAAAACTTGGTTTGCTGTGTACATATCTGTTTCTGTTGATGGTATACATGCTTTTTTATAAAGAACCAGTTTATAAAGGACATACATGTAGAAGACAGAAAGATTAAAGAACCGTTAGTTCTAAAGACAAAATCCCTAATGAACTTTTAATTTTGAATTTATTTTCATGATATAATAGCAAGCAATCAAGAATAAGGAAGCTGGCTTCATTTATTTTGTGTTGAAAATCGCATAAAATATATATTACGTAGGTAACGGTATCGATTGTTTCATAGTGTAATTTCCTCTATTCTCAAAATTAGACGGATTTTCGGAATAAATTATTGTAATGTTGGAAATTCTCAGACTTGAGTTGTGGGTTTAAAGAAGAAGTGAAACGAACCTTTTAACAACATTAATTACGCTGACTAAAGTTCTTTTCATATCGTCAAGGGGCAATTCACTTTTGTAAAGAAGTAGTAGATTACCACAAAAAGAAAATGATTTCTCAGGATTTGCCGATTGCTACCATAGAGTGACTTGCTGCTCGGATTTTGTGAGTCAAACTCCAAATCTTCAAGGGCCAAATTTGGTTAAGGGATTGGTCAATATTGGTCATAAATTATATGCTTATTTGATATTGAAGACCGGGACAGTGCCAATTTTGTACCTATCACCAAATTTGAAAATTTTGTCCTAGGTTTGAAAATTTATGCAGTTATGTTGCATAAGGTAAAACATTTGAAAACGAGAACAAGGAAGTCGATCGATTCCAACGCTTTCCACCAGTGGATATTCATTTTAAGAATAAGATCTAAATATAAAGTTTAGTCAAAAGAATGCAGTTTCCGGCAAACTTGAAGCATTAAGATAATAAGAAATTTCTCAGGTAGTAATTTTTGACCCTTGTCCTTATATGGTTTGCGAGGCATCAGGCACGTTCACAGTAGGTATCAAGAAACAGAGACAAAGACAAAAAACATTTATAATAACTTCCCAGCTAAAACAAAAGTTACCAGTTTTTCTGTCCCCTCCCCCTACACTTACATAAAATGCTTTTATTTGATTAAAATAAATCAAAGAATTTTTGCCGCAAAATTTTTCTTTCTGGCCCTAAAATTCATTGGCAACGACGACTCTGATTTTCTTCTTGATTGAATTTCCAAATGAGGTCCAAAAATAAGGAATTTTATAAACAAGGCCTCGAGCTAGGTCCCGTATAAAATAAAAAGCGTGTAATTTTTTTCCATTATCTACCAATTACCGTATAATACTTATTTTTGCATTTCCTTGTTCTTTGCTCTAGAGTTGACAAGCTAGATGAAATGGCATGTTTGATAAGAGGTTGCAACTTTTTGTTGAAAAATATTCCAAACGAGTGTTTTACATTTCAAAAAGACGATGATTTGAAGAAACCGATATACACCTTTCAAAATGTCGACTCCCGCAGCTTATTTCCGTATTTATTGGTAACTATTGGAACCGGTGTCAGCATTGTCAAGGTAAAGATTCTAATTTATTGCCAATTCTTACCTTGCAATTCTTGAATGTACAGAAGAGAGGTACATCTGTTTTTGGAACCATTCAAATATCACTAACCATTAGAGTATGAAGATGTTCCAAAGAACAAGCAGGGGATCCGTTTTCAAGAAACGTTTTTGACAATCATTTCCATTAATATCTTAATCTTATCTTCCCGCTAAAACAAAACATTATCATATTCTGTAGTTTACGCTGTAAATATGACAAGAACAAGAAATTGTAGCATGACTTTTGGTGATTGATGTCTCTGTACCTACAGACCCACTGGCGTCCCTTTCTCTCCCCCCTCTTCAAAAATTTAAAAGTAATTGATTGCATTTATTTGTCCTATGTATAAAGGTAGACAGTGAAAGTCAATATATAACACTTGGAGGGACAAGAACAGGTGGTGGGACATTTTTGGGACTTGGTTCCCTTCTGACTGGCGCAAAGGTAAATGATTACTGTGGTATCGACACCTTAACGTGTAAATGTTGATTGGCATAACTGCACAAATTATTTATCTAACAATTATCATATGCTATCAACCTGACTAATAAAGGACATTCTGTACAGGAATCTAGGTTTAAATCTTGATTGTTTCTTTATATGCAAAATGTTACAAAATCATACTGATGATAGTTGCGCGAAAACAAAAACTTTCTCTAAGTTGATGACGTCAACAAAAACTTTGACTTCTGTTCAAAATATTTTTCATTCCATCTTGGATTTGAAATCTGCATAGTTAATTAAGTGGGAAAATGCAATAAAGGTTGAGCTGAAGTCCTTGGATGACTTTTAAAGATTTTTTCAATGTTTGTTGATCAAACATATAACTTCCGGTGTAAATTTTTCTGGCCCATCTTGGATTTGAAATCCAATGAATAAAAATATTCTAAAACAATTGCTTCCCGCCTAAAGTACAGCATCCTGCTTGAGGTTTTGATGAAAGATTTCATTAATCTACTTTCGAAGTAAAATTGGATTCGATGTGGTTTAAAATTGCACAGAGATTATTGTTACAGGGCTTCGATGACTTGCTGCACCTTGCAACGAATGGTCAACACAATAATGTCGATCTGCAGGTGAGTATTTCAATACCTTTACAAATCTAAATAAGTATATGAATATAAGTCAATCACGATGCCAGCATTCTACTACAACTGCTGCTGTAAAAGAGTATGGGCGCTTTAAATGTTGAAATAAATATTGCCAGGCAATTGCTTTCATTTAGATTGAAATTTATGTTCTAGATTCTGATTCTGTTTGGTTTCCATTTATTGAACTTTTGTAAAAATAGACTCAATTTTATGGCTGGATTCTTTCCTTTTTGTATTTCAAACTGGACACCACTGCATGAAAAGTATAGCACTTGCATTCCTGAGGTCTTAATATAGAAAATAGATGCACGCTTGAAAAAACCAACGTTGCACGTTTTACCAAACACAAAAACCGAATGCCCAGCAATCAGTTTCCTTCCAGTTACCAGTTACCTTTCAGTCTTTTTTCAGATCCAAGATATTTATGGTGGTGATTATTCCATGATTGGTCTCCCAGGGCAATTTACTGCTAGCAGTTTTGGAAAAGCAGCTAGAATGTCTCGCGAGGACAAAGAAGGTCTGTTCAGAATTCATTTATTCGATTGATTCTGCTCTTACAAGATATCTTTTCACAATCCACCAACTTCTTGAACAAGGTGCAATGTGTCAACCGCGCAGTTTGAAACTGCCACGAACGTTACATTCTTCGTGATTCTTCATGAAAAAAATTTCGAAATTATTTATAGTTGTATTTTCATCGAACATTATACCAGAACTTACTGCTAACAAGGGATGTGACCAAGACCTGGTTCCTTTCTCAGAGCTCTTTTTGAGTAGAAACAACAGTTCTAATTGGAAAATGCATGGGAAAGATATTAATTTAAAGCCTGCATTTGAAACCCAAGTTCAAACACTTAAGTGTGGGAATGGGAAATTTTCCGACCACGTTTTAGATTCTGACCCTTTACCCAAAGCAAAGTATTCCCAGTGACGCTAAATAACTTCTGATAATTCATAATAAAAGAATATCAAAATTCCAAACAGCTGCGAAATTTGTTTACTAAGGCTGGAAACCTACCTCCCTCCACTTTTTCTAACAACAACTACCTTTCAAAATTTCCTGAATTTTCAATAACTGTATTACCCTGGTTACATGATGCAACAAGGAAAACGTTCTTGATAACAAGGAGCAAGTTTCCATGCATCATGCTACGGCAGACCCGTTTACAGCAGGAGCAAAATAGCAAAATTTGAATTACTAGATTGTTCATGGTCTTTTCTACATTTGTCTAAAAACCTTTGTGTTCTCATGTTAACTTTCAAAAGTGCTGAGAACCGCAATTTCATTGCTGACACCTTTATAGATGCGAAATCTTATATACACTTTGATGCAATGACAAATTTTCTGTACCAATCCCACGCACAAATGCGTAAAAACAATCAGACAGAAACTATGGAATTCATTCCCTCTAGGAATAATAGAGTTTGATCATGATTTATACTTTAACATATTTTGCTTATGAATAGCTTTAAAGGACAAGTGACACACTTTTCACCCTATCTTTTCTTTTCATTTACTAATAGATCATCATTTAGAAGTAAGTTTTTCCTGGTTTAGAACAAAAAATTCTAATCAGGGGGCGCAGGGGGCGCGATTTTCCTTTTTATCACGTGACCCTATGACGTACATTGTGATAACTCGGAATTTTCCTGTCATTAATAGAGAGTTTACGAAACACGACGCGACAGGTCCAGACGAACTGAATTTGGTTAGAAGTGTGTTGTAAACCTTAATATTGCACTGTATACCAGTAGCAGCAATAATAAATTATCACAATCTACGTCACGGTGTCACGTGATTCATTTCCCGCCATAATTTGAAAAGGGTTTTTAAGTAGGAAAATGAAATCAGAAAGGAAAAATATTTCAACAGCACTCTTATACAGCATTTTACTTTAAGTTAAAAGAAGAAAAAAATTTGGCGCCAAAAGCGTGTCACTTGTCCTTTAACTAGCTTTGCAGCTATCATCATGTTTATATTTTACCCTTGGAGAACGAAATGGCTAGGGCAGCCAGATTTTTTCATTGCTCATTTCAAATGCGCTTGTTTTATAGGAAGCGCGTTTAACAAGGCCGACCTTGTGGAGAGCCTCCTCCATATGATTTGCGATGACATAGTCCAGGTATTTTATTGAATTTTTGTTCTGAAATTTCTAAACCACTAAATGTAAGCACCCGGTTTTGTGTAGCGTGATTCAAGCGGCGAAAATAACCCCCGAGATTTGCCGCGAATGAAATGGAATAAAATGATTTGGAACTGCTAAATAAAGAATATAGGTTTTTGGTGTGTTTACGTGATAACAAAAAGAATTTTTCTGTACCGTTCTAAAGAGTCGACGATGGCTTTGAAAGGGCAGTTGAAGATAGCCTGCGTGCAGGCTCTTTCGATTAAATTTCTTCTCTGAATCATTTCAAACATTGGCTGTTCATTAAGCAAATGATTTTTGTCACATCGATGATCTCATTCGGGGTGTTTGTAAGCCATACCCAGTGTTGCGTAGAATGCGAAGATGGAAATTTGACAAATTGGGAAAACAACCACATAGGTATTACGGTGCTACATTGTTCAGAAATTTATAGGTCATGGCTAATGTTTTTTGGTGAATTCCCAATTGCAGACCATCATAGTTCTTGAATCAAAGGTGCTGTAGAAGTATCAAAAACACCGTTTTTACTATTCTTGCTGCCCTGTTCTGGAATTTTAGTAATCTGTTTAACCTAGTGGCCCCACAGGAGCCTCATACCGAGCAACAGATGCTCAGGTGAGTGGTACATGGAACATACCGTTGGGCGCATAAATTTTTATCTGGATGTTCTTGATTTGGCTATCCCAATAGACCAATTCGACTTACGGCCTCGTTTTGAAAAAATCTTCAAATTCTTTTGTAATTCTCTTCAAATTCAAATTCAAATTCTTTGACGGGAGTTGCGAGTGTGACTAGATAATAATTTCACTTGATTATTGTATTTTAACAGAGGTTGAGATACTAGGGAATAATCTAGTCTTGAAAAAGACCATCCCCCACCTAAGTCAAAATTGCTTGCAAAAGAAGATAATGCGCCAGTTGATATCCCTATGACAGCCAAACAGCATTTTCTTCGACTATGAAATCGAGTTCTGTGACTAAGAGCTAAGAGACTATTTAATATCATGATACAGTTAACGCGTTTGAAACATGGAAAAACAATCATAGAATGCTACATTGGTAATGAATAACTTGCAGTTCCGTTTAGGGCATCATAGGCATTTCTGCGAATTAGGCCATACAGGCAAACCAGTCTGGACAAAGACGCCTGAATCTGAAATGAAATTCTAATTTTACGATACCTGATCTCATTTAGATTGCAGCAATAGCGATGTTTTTAATAAAAATTCCATATCAGTTTGTAGGTACTTCCAGTCTGTTCTTTGTTCATAATATTGTCACTGTTGAGCCATGGGACGACTGTCTGCCCAAGCGGCAGCGCTGGTTGGTGGCAAAAACTCAGACGGCTGAAATTTTCCATTTATTTCAAAATCAGCGTAATAAAACCCCGATTCAGAGTCTCAAACCATTGAAAAAGTAAATTATGTGTCAAAAATGCAAAATTAGCTCCTTTCAGATGCACAAAATAAACATTTGTCCGCAGCATTTTCTTAAAGGTTTCTATAGAGAAACACAATACGTGCTGAGAACATGTCACTTGTGACGTCAAAGATGATCGCCCACTCGTGACAATTTTCGCCTCGAGTCTCAAGATGTCGGAACAATTGTCGTTTCTCAACTTAAAACTCCTGTATTTCAAAAACGGTAAATGTGATTTAATAAAACTTTTCGATCCCGGAATTTGCTTGTCACAAACTACCGTTTTAGCCAATTTTTTTAGCGTGTCAGTTCTCCTTTAATGATGGATGAAGTATAAGATGCAGAATCAAAGAAAAATCACCATTTTATGTAAACCGTTTAGTATTTAATCCACAACCATTTCAATTTACATATCCGCCGATCACATTACTTACTTTCAACTCTAACCAACTCACTGACTAATTTCGTTTTCCAACATACATAATCATATTCACTGTGACTTGTCGATTGCCATTTACCATGTGTATGTCCTTATTTGGTATAGAGAATCACAACATGTAATTTCGTACTGTTCTAAATCAAATATTAAATCAACATTTCAGTTATCATTCTACGTGCTGCCGTGCCACGTATTACACTACCGATTTTAATAGTTACTGTGTGGGATCTTTAGAAGATATTAACGAGGGTCTGGGCCCTAACACCAATCGAACTCATTAAAAACCTAGATGAAGAAGGAATATGTGTATGTACCATAATATATCAACTAATAAGGAAAACCGGAAAACAACAATGGAAACGATCGATAGATCTATTGATACCAAAGAGTGGAAACAACAGGATATGCTCAAACAACAGAACAATCACACTCATATCTCATGCCAGCAAAGTGTTGCTTAAGATCATACAACACTGAATGCAAATACCTATGGAGAGAGAAATGCCTGTAGAACAAGCTGGATTCAGGAAAGGACGAAGGGCAAGGGACCAAATAGCAAACTTGAGGTTGGGAATGGAGATTGTGAAGGAATACCAGCAACGAGTGTACATGTGTTTCATTGATTACTGTAAGCCATTCGATCACAGTATCATGTGGAACGTAATGCGCAAGATGGGAATGCAAGAGTACATAGTTCAACTCATTAGAAACCTGTATGAAAACAAGGAGACATAAGTAAGAACGGAGCATGGTGACATATAAACCTCTGGAATTGAAAAAGGAGTGAGGCAAGGCTGCATCCTTTCGCCCTATCTATTCAACATGTACAGTGAATTCATCATGAGGAAAGCGAATCAAAACGAATAGAAGATGGTATCAGAATCGGAGGAAGAAAGATTAACAATTTTAGATATGCAGATGACACCACCCACCAACTGGTAAACTTGCTCACACAAGTGAAGTAGAGTAGTGCAGAGGCGGGGTTTTATCTGAACTTGAAAAAGACGGAAATTTTATTATTTTGGGATCAAAAATCGTGGATAATGGAACGTGTAGTAAGGAAATTACAAGACGATTGAGTCTAGGTAGGGCAGCAATGCCGTGCCTTACAAATATTTGGAAGTACAATAACAAAACCACCAATACCAATATTAGGGATGTGAATGCGTTGGTCTTTCCTGTTGTCATGTGAGGATGCGAGTCGTGGACTATGAGGAAAACAGACAGGAAAAAGCTGGATAATTTCGAAATTTGGTGCTGCTGGAGACGGATGCTGAGAATACCCTGGACTGCGAGGCGAAAAAAATACATCAGTTCTTGAGGAGATGCAGCCGAGATGTCCATTAGAAGCCAGAATTATAAAACAAAAACTCTCTTACTTTGGACAACAGTCTAGAAAAGCCATCATTGCTCGGAATGCGCAAAGGGAAACGGAGGAGAGGCGGACCAGCTGCACGTTGGATGGATGACATCAAGACGGTGACGAAACTCTCGTTGAAAGATCTGCGGGAGGCCACCAGGGACCGCGAAAAGTGGAGGATGAAGATCATGATCATCAAACCTGCAGATCGGCGTCGACTTGATGGGATAAGATAATGATGACTGTTGTGAAGCAAATAATGTAATGTGAAACATTCCATTTTCTCCTGCACAGAGGCAGTTCTAACTGTTTCACTCCCGTTTTCATCCCTTAGGTCCCACCAGGTCACCGTTCAACATAACTATTCTGAACCCCTGCATATGTGGGTACTTGAAAATAACCACAACAATTTCTTCGCTTCCAGGTGGCACCTACCTAAAATCAAACCTTGTTAAAACGTTCAACAACATGAGAAACTTTAGGGCCACGCCCTGGCTTTGTGTACCACTTCCAACCGTTAAGACTTTGGTTTTTGTTGTTAGCAGGTTGGAGTTTATCAAAATTACCATTCAGACCTTTTGGCCTCCGACTGTTGAATCTTGGACACCAGGGACCGGACTGGTAATGAAATCTCCGTAGAACAAACTACCGCTATTACGTACTGTTTTCTTGGCCCGTGCAGAATTGTTAATAGCAAAGTTCTACTGTGTTTAGGGAACAAAAGATAATACTACCTTTTTGCAAACTTGGCACAAGTTTGGCTTAATGCGCCAATCAGGCATCATGCGCCAACGAGAAGGCAAAATCTTTCTCATATTAAAAACTTAATTAGTTAATTTTTAAGCTACGCCTTTGGTATAGTTAGAAGTAGACCAGAACTAAACTGATCAATCAATATCTCTTTCAGATATCAACCTTATTTGCTCAGATTTATGGGCTTGAAAGAATTTTCTTTGGCGGGAACTTCATCAGAGGTCATCCACTGACAATGCACACTATAAGTTTGGCAGTCAAAATATTTTCCAGGGTGAGAAATTTTCATCTTTATTCTCCAAGTCTCTAATTTCAAGATTATAATTTATCAATAATAATAATGATATATATGTGTCAAACCTAATACCAGGTTTTCTGATGCTCAAGATTCTTAAAAAATAGCATTTTTTCTAACGGTAGCTGGCCTCCTGATCTTTCTATGTTCTGTACTGTGAGACTAAGCTGGTTTACAGTAGATAGCTGATTAACCACCCAGGTGCTTTTTCAAACATGGGTGCTTATTTAAACGTGTGTATTTATTTATTCGATCGTGTGCGCTTTTTCAAACATGAGCGCTTTTTCAGACTTCTTGTCTTTAAGACCCCGTTTACACTGTGCCGGATGAATTTTATCCGCATCAAAATAAGTTCAGATAGGCGTTGCGCTTACACTAGACCCACGCTATCCGCATGAATTTGAGAGCAGCTATCCGAACAAAATTAGTTCACCTAGGAAAATAGATTAAATTAATTCAGATAGCTATGTGGTACAGTGTTTTATCCGGATAAATTTTATCCACATCGTATCTTGCTCGAAAGCGATTGGCTATTTCATCCAATTTAGTTTACACTGTCTCCCAATCAAGACCTTTCGTCATCTTGGCTGCCTTGTTATCGATAAATATTCGTGTTAAAAGTGCAGTATCTTTCCAGTCTACGCAAAATTGGCATCTTTGTCAGCTTTCCCTACTTTCGTTGCTAGTTCAGTGTCATTTTGTTTCAAGAACAAACTATTAAAACAAACTAGGCCTAGTTTGCATTGACAATATCTTTGGCGGGAATTTTGTTATTATTTTGTTGCCAGAGAAAACTTCATTTCGGGTGTTTTGTGCATGATTTAGGACATGTGACTGCAGTTATCTGGGAGGCACAGTGTAAACGGAAGGGCAAAATGGACAAAATTTGTGCAGCACAATGTAAACGCGAATCAATCCGAACAAGTTTTATGCGGAAAAATTTAATCCAGAACAGTGAAAACCAAAAGCACATTTGTTATTTTAATAACTGTTGCATCTTTGAGGAAGTGTATATATAGTCCAGTGATCCCTTTTGCGTTTAGGTCGAGTTCAAAGTAAAAAGCAGTGAACACAATTTAATAGTAGCAGCCAACATAAAAACTGAACAGCATCAAGACAAACAAACAACGTTCTAATTTAAACACCTGAAAAACACGTAACAAAAGTATACAAAAGTTGCTTTTCTTTTAGCTATTTGTTGAACACAATGCAATAATCAAAGGCGATAAGTCCTTTTGTTAGTCAATTAATGATATCGCAGCTCTTTTGTTAGTCAATAAGCGGCACCCCAGCGCAACTACACACAACACCTTCTCACCTAGCCTTGAAGTTCAAGGCGAAGGCGATAACATCTTCTTTAGGCCGGTTTCTACTTGATTCGCTCTGGTCGCACGACTTGGCGAAATCAAATCAACATTCAGCGAATGAGGAAGTTCAATTTGCGCATGCCTCAATGTGCATTCACTCAGTCGCGCGACCAGAGCGCATAAAGTGGAAACCCGCCTTTAAGCTTAGGGGCCCGTTATGATTTTCGTGGGTTGTGAGGACCATACTCTGGTGTAGCTGGCCTTCTGTCGGTGGCAGATCCTGGCAGTTCCACGAACGTAGCAGCGCTAGTCAGAGGTGAATTTGCTCTCTCTGTAGACGGCGAAGGAGGAACTCCGGGATCGTCTCCAAGTAGGACCTTTTGGCTGCACGTGAACATTGAAGGAGCGGGAGCCTTTGCGCTTGATGATTATAGCTGGTACCCAACGACCTTCTGCGTCTCTTCTTGGACCTAAGTAGAGGGCGTAGACAGGATCTCCGACTTTATAAGATCTTACTACTTTAGAGATAATCTCTTTCTGCTGGGATTTGGTAGCCTCTCTAGCTTGTTTTCCCTGGGCTGTATGCTCTGGAGACGGTATTAGAGTATCAATCCTGGTTCGGATTTGACGTGAATTCAGCAGTTCAGTCGGAGAATACCCACTGGAATTGGGAATTCTGCATAACTGCATGAGGAATTCTTGCAGGGCTTTTCTGGGAGGAAGACTTGACTTCTTGAGTGCCTGCTTGAAGTTTGCACAAGTCGTTCAGCGGCTCCATTAGTGGCAGGTGCTGTATTGTTTTGTTGAGATATGGACGCTAATAGCCAGACTATTCTAATATGCTAAGCCCCTGTAGTTTGGCAGGATTGTTTGGTTAGATGATTGGTGATTGTGTTTTGAGTATGATGCTCAAAATGTTGGTCTTCTTATTGGATATTAATCTAAAAGGCACAACACAACAGCAGGATGGTATGGAGCTCCGGTGAGATGGACAATGCCTCGCTCTTTGCACCAAGTCTGGAATTCAACTGACATGAATGCAGAAGCGTTAGCTGTTACCAAGGTGTGTGGGTAACCGAGATCCTAAGAATGCTTTAAGACTTGATACGTTTGTAGGAGGTGTCTTTTTAAGAATAGCATCCATCTTAGGACCTTTGCGATACCTTGTTGTGACAGTAGATGTCCCAAATACTCAACATATGGCTAGGCAAAGTGACATTTTTCCAGCCCACAACTGAGACCTTTGTCTTGCAGTCTTTGGAGCAAACGCTGAAGATTGCTCAGGTGGTCCTCAGCATCAATCCCGCTTACAAGGATGTCGTCCAGATAGGTAGCCACACCAGGAAGATCAATGGTGAGCTTATCCATGATCTGTTGAAAGTATCTGGGGGCAGATTTGATACCAAATGGTAGTCTTTTCTGCAAAAACACTCCCTTATGAGTGCTAAGTGCTATTCTTCGTTGACTTTCCGGCGCAAGCTTGATTTGGTTAAATGCATCTGCCAAGTCAATTTTGGTGAATCCATATCCTTCTCCTAATCTTCTCATAAGATCCTCGGGGAGAGGAAGCGGATGCTGATGATCCTCCAGTTGATGGTTGACTGTGAAAGAATAATCCCCACAGACTCTGATCTTGGGTTTCTTTTGTCCTGGGAGCACAGCCTTCTTGATAGGAACCACTGGAGTCCCAAATTGACAAAATTGTGTGGCTTCCCATACTTGTTTTGTTTCACCCTTCTGGTATTCTTCTTCCAAATCAGCTTCCATGGCGAATGGAACCGGCCTTGCTTTCCTGAAGATAGGTTGGGCATTGGGCTTAAACTTTACTTCGAGTTCATTGTCCTTGAGGCATCCTATTTCCGGTTTCCATAAATCTTTAAATTAATTGCACAATTTCTTGCATTTCTCCTGTAGTTTGGTGTCGACCTTTAGATTGCTAAAGGCTGCATGGCATGATTCGACATCATTGAGTGCTTGGTCTACAGAGATGCCCAGCTCCTTAGTAGCAGTTCGTCCCAATAGGTTAAGTTCTGGGATTTCTGACACTGTATAGTTGATATCACGTGTCTACTCTGACTCCTGTGTTGACGTTTTGGCGACGAACGTACCAATGATTGGTAAACCATGTTTACTTGCTGATTCATAGTGTAAATCAGGCTTCTGAAGTTTTGGACTTCCCAAATCCTTCCATGTCTGCTTTGATATGAAATTTCCATTCGTTGCACTATCCAGTTCCATTGTGCACGTTCGCCCTTGGGTCTTGATAGGTGCTTCCAGCTTTCGCAAGGATTTTTCATTCACTGCTTTGATTTCATGGATGAGTTTTACCGGCGTCTTTGAGCTTTTACTAGTTGCAGAATTTTTCTTTCTGCAAACCTTCGAGATGTGTCCTTTAATTCCGCAGAAGTGGCATTCTGAGTCCTTGAAACGGCATTGTGGTGCTTGGTGGGTTTCAACACCACAGCGGTAACAAGCAAACTTGTTAGGGGGTCGTAGAGCGACCCTGTGTACAGATTTTGGCCTAGCCCCATGAACTGTGTCTTTAGCCACTTCAGCTGCATCCTCTGTTTCTGTGGCAATTTCAATAGCCCTAGCAAAATCCAGTTTGTCATCCTTGACCTTAAAGAGGGCTTTAAGCACTGCCTCATTATTTACAGAACAAATAAAACGAGATCTGAGTGCTTCATCCTGAGGGTCCTTGATGGATGCAAAACCACAGGTGGCAGCATCTTGGCGAATACGTGCCGCAAGCTCCAAAACGTAAAGTGTTCGTGTACCACAAATCGTTTGGGGTCATATTGCGTTATCATGAAATTCACACTTCCATCCATGGTAAGATCATTAATTTGCTTGGGTGGATTCTGCTGTTTTACCAAATTTCCCAGTAACCGGTAAACATCCTGAGATTGATTAGTTAGGAAAATTTGAGCCTTTCTATCGTCATTGACATTATGTGCATCAAAAAATGTCAAAAATCTATCTTAGTAGTCAGGCCACAATTCACTTGTAGAATCAAATGGTTCGAAAACTGGTACTGAAGTTAATGTAGAAGTAAAACGTGCAGTTCCTGACTCTGAAAAAGACATTGTATGAAGAAGAGCCTTCGTTTGTTTTTGATAAGCTGCCGCTTGAGCTTCCATTTGTTTTTGCTGATTTGCAATTTGCAATTGCATTAATTCGATTAATTTTGCAGTTTCCGACATGATGATAATAGCTTCGCTTAAAATCTAACGTGAATAAAAATTAATGCAGTGCTTACCGGATTATTGAAGCTATATAAAAAAAGTGGAATACCATCTGTTGATTTTGTAAAATGATGAAAGCATCCTACTGACTGCGCCAATTAACTCCTGTTGTATCTTTGAGAAAGTGTATAAATAGTCCAGTGATCCGTGCGAATAGCAGTGAACACAATTTAATAGTAGCATCTAACATAAAAACTGAACAACATCAAGACAAACAAACAACGTTCTAAAATCCTGAAAAACACGTAACAAAAGTATATAAAAGTTTCTTTGTATTTAGCTGTTTATTGAACACAATTAAAGGCGATAAGTCATTTTGTTAGTCAATTAGTGATTTTGTAGCTCTTTTGTTAGTCAATAAGCGGCACCCCAGCGCAACTACACACAACAATGCACATTTGAAAGAAGCATAATTTGGACTTTATTCATCAAAGTAGAACACGCTGAACTACATTGATTATCAATTTCTTGTAGCTATCTCTGTTCAACGTTATCTATGTAATCGGCACATTCTGTATCTTGTGCTGATGACGCATGTGTCATGCATGTGGCCCTAGTACAATCTTTACCCTGAATATGAAAATATGATAACTTATTGGTACTCAACAGGGCAGCAGACTGGAGGCTTTATTTCTGAGACACGAGGGCTACTTAGGTGCTGTTGGTGCATTTGTTGCCGGAGCGATAAAAAATGGTTAGTTCTACGAATCTGTATTATATTTCATTATTATCAATAGATGGAAGAAAGTCCTAGTTGACTGTTCTCTATGTTTTTATTTATTTTCGTTGTTATTTTCATCGTGATGTTTTTAAGTGCTATATGTTTTGGATACTGATTAGGTTGGTTTCAAATTTACATGTTTACACTATCCTCAGAATATTAAAGAATTGAAAATACAGTAATTTGATATACACGTACGTTCGAAAAGTATTGGAAAAACTTCTAACTTTCGAAAAAAATTTAGACAAGAAATTTTTAAAGAATTTTTAAAAATCTTTTGTCATTAAACAAGTACGGCAGCTATTCTCATTAAAAATAATTTTTCGCAAGACATTTTGGGTGTTGCGAGCCTTTTATGTACGCCAAAATTAAAAAACATCAATGATAGAAGTTTTTTAAGCCTTGAAACGGAAATTTAATATCTTTTGAAAATCAAGAATTAAATAGCGAGAAGCGTCTGCAAATCGCTTTCTGCGATGAACACGCGATTATTTATCGTAAAACTGCAGCCTTTGCGGTGTGTAAAAAGTTTTTCCGCACAAGAACAGTAAGAAATAGTTTGACTTTGTAATTTTCTTCATAAATTTTTTTGTTATACAAGTGTAAATGTAAATAATAGAATTCGCTTGGGCATCTCTAAAAAATTGCGAAAGTTGTGTGAGTTTGTTGCTATTAGGCCATACAACTCTTTTGTAGATTTCGCTATTATTTACAAAAAAATTGTAAGAAACCAAATATTGTCGTGTATATTCTATTTGTATATTCTATTTTTATGTATATTATATTTATCTAGAATTATATGTTCTAGCAAAAGTGCACTTCAGCGTATAATGGGGGCATTTCAACCCTAAACCCAGTTAACATTGCCGAACAGCGGAGTTACAGTCAGTGAAATATTGAGAATGTGAAATGCTATCGGTTATTACCCTTGTTTTCTATCTATTACAAAATTTTTTCCTCCACAGCACCGACAATGAATGGTCTTGTTTCATGGCATGAAAAAGGAGAAGATCATTCGTTACCTTCGGCGCTCTGTGACTTAGATAAATGCCGAAAGTCTTGAAGTCACAATCAAGAGTCCATGACTTGCTTTATACCTTTGTAAAATTTTGTTCGGGAGATGATTGACTGCATGAATCAGCTTCAGTTTTAGATTTATCAACGACATAACTTTATCAAGTACAATTAAGAAAACATTTTACATCACTTTCATTAAAATAGTGGATTATTTTACAAACACAGTACAAGCAAAAGACTTCAGTCGATCAACCTCAAATGACACTTGACCAACTGCTCAAAGGTGATATCCCGCTGTTTTTAGAATTGCACCTTTAAGAATATTTGCCTGTGATAGCTATTTGACTATTAAACTCGTTTTTGACTTTGCTTGAAATCAAAAATAGCTGCACTACTTTTCGTAATTTGATTTATTCATATTGGATTAATTAAGCAATGCACTCATCTCATGTTCTTTGTTGCTCGACCCGATAATGACAAGCCAGAACTAGTGGATCTTGTTGCAAAAGTTCCGACTCTCCTGATTTAAGGTAAGGGTCTTCTTATTAAAGAGTTCAGCTCCCATTTCAAACTTGACCTCCCGCTTTCAGGAAATTTACTTATAAATCCTATAAATCCCATATCCAAAAACATGTTCAGCGAATAAATAATATCTACACAAACGTATTTGAAGCTTATCACAAAAAAATAAAAATCTTAAAAAAATACAAAAAAAAGGAAGGAAAAAAAATTAAAAAAATTAAAAAAAAGAAAAAAAGTACTCAAAAAGTAAAAAAAATTAAAACATACCAAAAAGAAAAAAACAAATTAAAAAATAAAAATTACCACTCAAGACCCTTTATCAGGTTTTGTAATAAAGATGTTATTGTTAGCCCGTAGAGATTTTAGTGGTTGGAAATGCTCTCTATGCAAAAGAAAATCAGGGTGGTCGATGGGAGAGCCGCTATACGCATATGCCAAATCGCTTAGTCGTGCTCGTAATTTCTTAAATTCCAAAGGGTTAGAAATCTCACGTTTGGCAAGTTGAGTGTGTATAATTTCGAATTAACCAAAGAGTTCCTCTCTGTTGATTGTTTGGGGTGGGATACAAAATTCAAGTACACTACCTGAGACAAATGTTTCAGTATCGGAGAGCGAATAATCCGAAAAATTGAAAATATGTTTTTGGGTATCGCTCAACTTAGACAGGACATATAGCCTGACAATCTGACATTGAAGCTAATGTTTGCTTTCTCGACAGATTCTCGTAGTAGGGAGTCCAGGCTTTCATATTCTGCCAGGTAACTCTTTTGAAAATGCCTGGATGCCACGGGACTGATGACGTCATTTAAGTTTAAAAAATCATTTTCATTTTTTTTTCATTTTAAAATTATTTATGCACGGTAGCCCCGTCAGTCATGACTGCTTTTCAGGGGGCCGTGCCAAAAACTTTACAAATTAAAAAATCTACTAAAATTAATAACAAAAAAAGGAAACTAATTACAATCATAAATAATTTATTTACAACTATTTACATTAAATTTACAAAAAACCCTTTATCCTGTTCTTAAAAGAAGATAAAGAGGGAGCTTGCTTGGCCTCGCGGCTGAGATCATTCCAGATTTTTGCTCCACGAAATGCGATGAATGGCACTAGCAAGTCAGTTTCGGCATTTCTAAGGTTGATACAATTGCGTTCAGAATTTCTAACAAATAAATGCGAGAGATAATCAGGCGCGAGACTATTAACAGATTTATATACAGTTGTTGCAGTCTCACTTCTGTCATATCCCTCACAGTTGGCCATTTAATTCTGTAATCAAAGCTTCAGCAGGAGCATCGTAGCTGCTATTTGTAATAATTCTAGCGGCTCGATTCTGCAATTTTTGAAGCTTAACCAGTCGGAACTCTGCACAGCTCCCCCACACAGTACAGCAGTACCGAAAATGTGGCTCTACAATACCTCTATATAGTTTGCAAAGTACATTTTTTGGCAAAAATTTCTTTGCATATTTTAAAAAACCTAACGAGCGGGAGACTTTGGCTTGAACAGATTTAATTTGCTCGTCCCACACGAGGTATTGGTCAACTTGGACACCAAGTTGTAATCAGTTGTAATCAAGTTGTAATCAGACAAAGTTATCGCTAGCTCTTTACTGGATTGTTATTTTTTGACGCAAATTGCATATTTTGACTCGTCTCGTTGCAAGCTTTCAACTGATGTATATTTAAGCATGATTTGACACCATCAGTATTTTCATTATAACGTCATCAAAAATTTTGCATGAAGTCATCAAAGATCTTATTGTCATTAAATGATAAGTTGGCAAAACTTTGTATTAGTATGAGGCTGGATGTCAGCAAAAGCATTTCCTCAATAATTTTTTCAATCAAATAATTAGTATTTAGATTCTTCTATTTATCACAGACAATAACAATTTATGTGTGCCGGGCTGGAATTGGAACAAGTATGTTGGTCGCCATTTGTCTTATAGTAGATGTAGGGCCAACAAAACTTCGAATAGCTGCGGCAAGGTCCAAGAAGTACGTATTCAATATCTCCGCAAGTGGTAGTTCATCTGGACTAACGATGGATAAGTCGCTCATTACAGCTTCATACAGTGTGCTCTTAACGGTCTTTCTGATGGCACCATCTGCTGTGCTGAGAGGCATCGATACTGGTGCAAGCGGAAATGACAGGGTGGTCTCGAGATCCACACCTGCTTCATGCTTGTTCGAGTAAGCAACTAGAATGCCAAGAATGTCTCTCTGAAATGTGAGCTCTTTTTCTTTTCCTTTAATCTTTAGCCTAGTCTTAAGTGATGAGTCCTTGGAGGTTGTCAGAGGCTCTCTCTTGATGGGACCAAAAAATTCTTTATCTGCAGGACTTTTGGTTAACCTTTCTTTAAATTCATTCATTCAATCTCTTCCCCTTGCCTCCATAGTCAACAAGCAACTGCTGACTTTTTCTTCTACAGGATAGCCGGACACCAAGTTGTACAACTGGTCCTTGTCAAGGTTTTGGCTAAACGGATTGATGAAATGATCCTTAAAGGTTGCTTTTATTTTCTCAACCATTTTGTTGGACTTAATGAATTTGCTTTGCCGGAGACATTTTCGTGTGTTTGACATGGTGCTATCGATTTCTGCTATCTCCATCAACGATTCAGTAAATCTTGCTTGGAATGGTCGATACATTACCCACTTTCTAACAGTATTTTCTTTCGTTGCAAACAGTGTAACATCACCAGTAAAAAAGCTATATATGAAATGCAAATTCAAATGAGAAGAAAGCTACAATAAAAGATCTCCCTGCAATAGTGGTGCATAGATGAGCATCAAAAGACCCCTTACCATGTGGTACAGTTCTATCATGCAAACTAGTGGGCATTTAGAAGTTGACAACAAAGCATCATACAAATAATTTCTATCAAATGTGACTGAACATTTCGGAAATTGAATAGTACCTGTTGTCTTTGCTGATCGCATGTAACTCTGCTCTCCAGCTAGGTCGATTGACTGTCCAATTCCAAGCTTAATACGCCGAATTGATAGGCCAACACCCTTGATCTCATCTTTTGCTCCAGGATGCGTGCTGTCTATGTGTTCCAGAAATTGAAGGTAGTATGTACCGTACCTTGAATAGTGCACACGATTCGTAGCAAAGCAGAGTGGTAAAGAGGCATTCCAGATTATCATTCTCAGATCGTAGTCATTGCAATTCACTGAATAATGTAGCATGTGCTGTCGATTCACCATCTTCATGTATTCGGTCAAGTACTGGGGTGTTCTCCCGAAATCACCATTTATACATCAACATTTTGTAGATTGATATCGGCTAAGATACTCCTTTACATCATCTTCGTGAATGACTGTCGGAACACCTGTGACCTATGGAGGCCCTTTGAAGTATTTTTTAATTGAATCTGGCATATCTGGCAAAAATCTATCGAAGAAAAGACGTTCAAGTACTTCTGCAAATGCTTCATGAACTAGCCAGCATCGGTTATATTGCTTCCCACAAGTTTTTTCTGTCATTTTCAATCGATGTGGGTGGTGTGATGAAGTGTTTGTTATATTTTGAAAAGGTATAGACAACACTTCTAATAAAACTTCCTTTGGTAAAGGTAGTTTACTTTTACTTATTTCTGAAAGTGATGTACCCAGAAACCTGGAAGAGACTAAAGGTTCGGTTTGGCCAGGGTTCCAATCACTCGGTTCTCAATCGTCTCTCTTTTGTGAACATATTCATGACCTCTCACTCCGGCCTATCACCCTGTCCGAATCTTCTTTATAGCAGAGAGACAGTAATTGGTAGATGTAGATGAATTACGTTGTAAAATGTTTGTCATTTCTTGTTATGTTAGAACTTCATTTTACATTGTGAAAACGAGGCTGCTTGCCCTCCTGACAAGCCAAAATTATATGTTTAACGTTAATGCCCAGCAAGCATAGCGGTCAAATCTTTGATTGGCCGAGAGCTCTGTTCGCTACCATGTTCTAAGCTAATCAGCACACAGGATTCTCACAACAAAATCGCTTCGCAGCTAGAATTAGGCCCATTTTCGCCATTTCAGCGTGTTTTCACCACATTGTCTACGAAAAACATTGCACACCTCTATAAAGCGAATTTTCACTTTGGTTGTTGGAATGGTTTCTGAAGACATGTTGTGTAGTGCACGTGTTTAGCACAAGTCGCATTTTTATTTATCTTCGGTCAAGGGAGATGTCTTTTTCGGAACCTCTTCTCTGACAATTTTTGTTCAAGAATTGTACCACTCTAGTGCTTGACAATTTTCAAGTGATTTTCATTGCCTAACAAAACAGCTTTTGGATGTATCATTTCCTATCATGGGGAAAATGTGTAAATTTTCCTGGATTCTTCAAACTCTGGTTGCAAAATGTCCTCAACTTTCTAAAGGTTGGTGTCTTTTCGCCCTTTTCTGCTTGTTGAATCTAAATTATGTATTTTATTTTATTCTTTTGTGGTGTGTGAAAATATGTACTTGTATGCAAATGCATTTCCAGATTGAAATTTGCATCAGTTTTAATGGAAATTTTAATCGAGACATACTTAATGCCTATTTTTTAAAGTTTCACCTATGTTATGGCAATAGAACTAGTTACATTTGTTGCTAGAACAATCGTGCAACTTTTGTGCTGCCTTTGTTTTGAATATGTCGATCTATCGACGAATCTTTAATCATTCAAAACAATGTGGTGTATTCGTCCTGAAATGTTGCGGGAGCAGTGTTGACATTTGCTGTAACCCCTGTGATTCATCGCGCGCATGGCAAGTACATTTTTCCCCTATGCTATTTGTTTATTGACAATTTTTCGAAAACGAGGCCACAATTCTCGTGAAGTGAAGGTTGACGAAATGGCGATAAGAATGAGACTAGCTGCTAAAGATGTTTTACTTCAAACGACAAGGATTCGCTCATCTATAGATTCTTGCACGTGTTCTTTTAATACAAATTTTTATGGAAAAAAATTATTTAGGTACGATTCTAAACTGAGTGCACTTAGAAGGTGTTTTTCCATATTATCGTCCCTAAATTGCAGTGACCCGAATGTTGTTTATAGCAGAAGAGAGACTTTAACTCATTTTGGGTTTGAAGACGTTACAGAGTCTGAAAAGAAGCAAAAAGGTTGGTATCCAAGTCTGTTTTCCAACAATTCCGAGCACATGTTTCAAGTCTTTGTGATATTTTAGAATCAAACTACTTTGATTTGAATTTTTTATTGCCCTTCAGTCCCCTGCAGAGTATGGCAAATGCACACGCGAGATCATTTAATAATGGCTAGCTTTCCACGCCAAAATTCGCATTTGCGAGCAAAATTCAAAGTTTAACTGTTGAACCCAGACGATTTTGTTCAGTCGTTCGGCACAGTTTTGACCCTGTTATGAAAGCCAAAAATTTTTGTACCATCATGTTTTCATTTTTAAAGAGAACAGTGAAAACAGGTCTGAATCTTTTTGGCAGCCCTGATCTCAAGAGGATCGAACAATTTTTCCAATCCAAATTGCAAACAAATATAGAGTTAAAGTCATTTTGCCATATTTGAAAAAACTTTTTATTTAGAGCCACACCCAAATCCATGCCAATACAACACCCATATTCGGGTCTGCAAGAGTGCACTTGTAATTCTATGAACATTTATTTGGAGTGGAGCTGCCATGGAATCCATACTGGTTTCTTGGCATTGTTGATATATATTTTTCAGCTTATTCAACATTATTGGATATTGAGATTGGGACAATGTCTCTCAAGTGGTTGAAAGTTGGCGAAAGTTGAAAGAAAGTGGGCAAATAATTTGCATCAGGTTTTTGCCCACCATTACCCTTAAGCCTGGTTCTCATGTGTGAAGCAAGAGCTGAAGCAGAAGCAGGCATTGAAGCAGAAGCAAGTGGTGTGTGAACATATATGAAGCAAGTGAAGCAATTACCTCATTTACCTCATTTTGGGTCCTGTATTGGCCAGTAAATTATAATGCTGCCTGGAAGGCTCTACTTCTTAATGCCAATGCCAAAAAGTTGTATGATACAGTGCATGATCAAAACTATTAATCATAAAATTCTGCAAGATCATTTTCAGTTTGTATTTTTAATTTCCAGACAAGCTTTAGGTCAAACTTTAGGCCAAGTCTATCAATGGATAGTTCTCATTTCTGGGATTGTTGCTGGCTTCAGGGAAAAAAGCTGCAGGGAATCCAGTAAAAAAGTCTAAAAATTACAAATTTGTGCTACATCGATAGTTACAAAGAGCAGCTATGATCCATCTGCTTCTACACTGTTGAGTAAGTTAAGTGGCCAACGATTAATGAAATTATATATGAAGAAACAGTTGCAATGAAAAAATTCCCACCTAGTTACGTCTCAAATTTTTTAATGAAAAATTCTTCAAGAAAAATTATTAACTTATGAAAGTTAAATACTGGTTTATATATTCCATTTATTGAGACAAAAAATGGTTGATAGGTTTTTATGATCCAGGTGCACACACCTGGAATCATTTGAAACCTGCACTGAAACAAGCACCCTCCCTTTTCACTTTCAAGCAAATAATAAGGTCTTAAGGATGTTGTAAAAAGTTTTTTTGCTTACTTTCTTTCTCTCTTCTTAATTTTATGCGTGTATTAATTGTAAGTATATATTTTATTGATTTGTACGTTTTCATATTCCCTTGAAAAGAAATCTGCTTAGAATGATGGTGTTACTGCAAATAAAGAATAAAAAATGAAATGAAATAAAACATAAGGCAGCAGTTATTACAAACAGCCGATAAGGGTGTCAATTTGTATTGCTGCTAAATCAACAAAGTTCCCTTCTTGGAGATTCTTCTTTTTTTGTGCTACAGTCTTCACAATAGAGATGCTTATCTCCTGTTAATTGGCAATGTTGATGGTGGAAAAGTAATTGCAAACAGGCAGTTCCATGGGGTGCTTATCATAACTGCAATTCTATTTTGTTATGGTGTGAAAGACTTTTTGACCAAAGTTCCCCCTTAGGTATATTATTTATACCTTCAATTTATTTTAGAAATTTTCAGTTTGTAAGAAGCTGATGCTACTGTTTTATTATTTGTGTTTTTCTTTGCCCTGCTCAGCTCTTTCCTTTTCACAAAGTTCCAATTTAGAATTGTTTTGGAGACTGGTAGTGAATTAGGATGTCCTTGAAAATATGAAGGTCTGAAGTGATCAAAGACTCCTATTAGCTGCAAACCTACCTGCTACCCTTTTTTATCTTGAGGCACCATAGAAGACTTAAGGCAGTTTGCATTAGAGCTGCTGCAGCCACCTGTCAATCAACTATTGGCTAGTCAATAAATGTGTCATTTAAAGATAGTTAAGGCCACTATAGTATCTGTCAATTGCCTTCAAGGGCAGATACTGTCTGCCTTGAACTTAGCAATCCCAATTTTATGAATACTTTGAAATATTTCAGAAGCAGCACATATCACATTGGTTGTAGCTGCCTTTTCCTTTTGCTTTTCCATTTGTATTGTATAATGTTCATCAACATTATTTCATTCATTATCTTCTTTTTCAACACCTGTCCATTTGTTTGACACTGGATTCATGTACAAATTGCTTGTTAGATGTATAATGTATATGCTGTTGGTAAATCCTCCCCCATCTACATTGCTAAGTTCATTAATGTAAGTAGGCCCTGTTTTTAATGCCACTGGCTGCTAATCCAAATTTCTATGGTTCCAGTCCTTGTCATAACCAAGCTATCACTTAACGTTAACAGACTCACAAGCCTTTTGATCTTGACCTAATTTCCAAAAGAAGAAGGCACTCTTGACGCATTAGCCACCTCCTGTTCAAAGTCCTTGGAGCTTCCGGGGCTTTGCTTTTAATTCCTGCTGAGGTTCTTGTCAGTTTCCACCTGGAACCTTTCTTGGCAATGTCTACCCCTCTTTAGAACTGTCATAGTTCCCTTGCTTTACCCATGCACTGAAGCCTTTGGGCACAACACAAATATCTGATATGACTGACTGCTTTTCTGTGTCTTTTTTTGAGTGCTGCATAAATTGTTTGATTCTTCTACAGCTCTGCTATTTGTTGTGTGGCAGTCCTTTAGACATTCATATGGACATTTCTTTGACTGCTCCATACAATTAACAGTTCAGTAAGAAGAAATTTTAAATATAAAATCTGAATCTTCATTGGTTTATTTACATAGTGTTATATGTGACACATTGTTTTTGCTTTGACAGTTCAAAGAGGTGCTTCTAAGTTTGACAGTGTACTTACCGCTCTTGATATATCAAGAGCAGTGATACTTTCTTGGCTTCTGATTAGATTATGGTGTTGAGTATAAACTGGAATCGAGTACAAACCGAAAACAATGGGGCTGACATATGGCTAGCGCCTTCACAAACTAATTTATTTGGTTCAATTCAATTTTTGTTAAATGTAACCAAAATAGCGTTATAGTTACCTAAAACAGCAACTTGTTGTTGAATCTGACCTTTCTTCCATATCGGAATCGTGCACCTAAGAGAAAGTCTGCTGATTTTCCAATTTGATCGTAGTTGGCTTGTGGAAATTCTTATACCCCATCACCCTCCTCTTCTCGTCTGCGCCAACATCAGTATTCTCTTCTCGTCGCATTTTTGTTTTTGTGCGAGGCACAAGCAAATCCATCGAGACTGCGATTCGAAAATCACACATTTTTGCAATACAAACCGGAAAACCGACCTACATAACGTTAAAAACCGTTCACCGTGGCATTGTTGAAAACTACAAAACCGATAGATTTTAAGGAAGAAACCAAAAAACCGAGCTGAAATACGAGCAAAACCGCTTAACCGTAAAACCAAAACACCACCTCAGTTGTACAATAGAGCTAAACCTAAGCCCGTAGTTTTGGCTCTCGGCCTTCGCCATGTTACCACAGGCACGATTGATAGCCATAAACATTTTTTCTTAACAGTTTATGATGTGTTTGCAAATGTAGCAGAGTCTTATGACCTGATGAATGACGTCATGAGTGGTGGTTTGCACCGACTTTGGAAAGATTATTTTGTTAGAAAATGTAACCCTCTGCCTGGAAAGCGACTACTTGATGTTGCAGGTGGAACAGGTAAGCCCTTTTATTCACATTTCAAGTCTATACTTTTACGCAACTTTTTAAAGTCATTAAGATGTTTGAATTTCCCTTCTCCAGCTTTGAATAATACAGTATTCAGTATCTAGTTGATTTCTCATGATAGGGTCATGTTTATACATTTGAGTTTTTCAAAGGAATTAGAGCGTAGATATAGTTTCTAAAAGGCTGTCTTTGTGAACCAAACAGTCTTTTGGTGGTACAAAACTCGAACAGGCTTTACCAATAATCCGAAACATGTAACCACTATAAGTTTTCTAGTAAATGCTGCCCGATAGTGGAATCGCATGTTTTCCCTGTTGTTTGTGATCTGCAAGACCAAGGAGGCTGTTCTATTTGGGGATGAGTTTTGTTTCTAATGCTGGAAGGGACATGCTGTTTTGTTATATCCCCCAATATTTTTTATTGTGAAGATTATAAGAAGAACATTTAACATATAAATTATGAAAATGATCTACAACCCCGGTCATTTTTACAGGGGATATTGCATTCCGCTACCTAGATGGTGTTTTATCAAGACTGAAAAAGGAAGACGTAGATTTAACGTCACTGTCAAAAGACATTGTTGTTTGTGACATAAACAAATCAATGTTAGAAGTTGGTAGACGAAGAGCACAGCTACTGGGAATTGAAAAAGGTAATTAATTTATGCCTAAGACTAGTTTTTAATTCACTTCAAGCCAAGTTGAATTTCATTATGTAGAAAAACGAATTAAATAAATCGAACGGTTAATTTAAAGGAGAAAAATGTCTCCGTTTACACCCATTCAATAAATTCAATTACCTTTTTAGAGCGTTCTCTCATTTCATTATGAACTCCGATAAGGAAAGTGCTGCTGCTTTCGCTATTATTGCAATTGTTTAAAAAAACGCATGCGTTGGGTGAAGCCCTGGTTTACCTGAAGAAATGAGCTGGGAGTTGATATTATGCTTTTGCAAGAATTTCGTCTAGAAGAAGGTTACGAATATCAATGCTTAAAGACAGCTCCCTTCTCCACGCAAATTTATAAACTCTTCGGTTTTTGCATTGCATCCACGCCCTCTGGCAACACCAATGCCATCTTCGGGTTTTCTTTGTGTAAACCTCGTTTGCATGTTGCGGCAGTGGTGGCGCTAGAGGGGGCATGGGGCTACAGGAGCAGGGGGGCTATTAGCAATTATTTATTGCTTATTTAATGCTACTGGTAAACTTGGCAGTAGCATTAATTGAAGAATCAATAATAGTCGATTGTATATTTGATTGTTTTTATTTTAATTTCGATTTGATCCTCTTCACACTTTAGCACGTTAATATTTTAACTGTTAAATGGCAAACCGAAGCCAATGAGAATCAAACTCCACATTACAGTGTTTCAGGGTTGGATGCGCGAATGATGAGATTAGCGTTCCGCCTGTGGATATTAATTCTAGTAAAGATAGAAAAAATTGCTCCAAGACATTTTCCAGCGAACTGGAATCGTCAAAATTCGAAAATTTACGTGTAATCGTGTACTTGTTTTTTGGGACACGAGCATCTGCAAGCTAGCAAAGACTTAACCTACCTAAGTAAGATTGGTCCCTATTGTGTTTAATGAATAAATGACGTCCTTTTTCTTACCCAGAAACCTTTAGACCGTTGATAATATTGAAAAAGCACGGGAAAAGATCTACAAAGAACTTTCTTAATATGTCTTTTTTATTTTAGGGAAGACATGAATATATGCTATCTTGTGAAGAATTTTTGTTGTAAAGAGAGATGTATCCTAATCTTGATGATATATCCATCTCTTGATGATATTTTAAAGTCTTCATAAGATTCTGTCCCGTCTTGAAATTTTGTCACCCCATAAATTTTCGACGATCCACTTTACATTTAATTGAATTGTTTTTAAAGAAGGCATTTCTGTTTGAATGTCACTAGTTCTATGTTGTAATTCTTTCTCCCAAATTTTGGAATTCGGAGTTAAAAATGATACGCTCAGAAATAAAAATAAAAAGATTTAGAAGTTTCTCAAAAACAGCAGATTAGGCATATCATTTACATGGTTCCATTTGGGACTATACTAAGATAAATGAGATTAGGCCTCTTGCGTACATGGTTGAATTTGGATCTACATGTAGTATATACGGTTAGGTTGTATGATTAGTTATTATGCTTAGAAGGATGACCAAATCTTTAGAAAGATACCCAATCGCCGTTCGCTCGTTCTACCACTCAAAGAAACCTGAAGTAGATACGGCTTATTTTCTATGATTTACGGTTGTAGAAAGAACACTTTCCAAATGAGCAGATGAAATCGCGCGTAGCCTTTATTTAACATGAGTCTACTTGTGATCAAAATATGAAAATATAATGCCTTTAATTATGCCATTTTCTCTCTTATTGAATGCGTATCTTGCTTTTAGCTCTCAGTTTTGCTGTTGCTGACGCAGAAAAACTGCCATTTGAAGATGACGCATTTGATCTATATACGATTGCTTTTGGCATAAGGAATGTTACCCATATAGACAAAGTAAGTAAAGACAAATTTTTCTTTTTATTTATTTTTTGTCCATAATCCTTAATATGTAATATCTTCGTGTTTTCTTTTGTAGAATTTAACACTCATTTTTCATGTTTTAGGTTCTTGAAGAAGCTCATCGTGTTTTGCGTCCTGGTGGTAGCTTCATGTGTTTAGAATTTTCAGATGTATCAAATCCGTTTATCAAAAGGTAACATACTTCATAAATTTTACCCATTATTTTACAATGTTGCTGTATATTGCCAGCCATTACACACCCCTCCAAAAGTTTTTGAAATCTTTAGATTTTCAGTTTTGGAAATAGTTTTTCGGTTTAATGAAAGTAATATTTTTCTGCGATGTAGCGTTTATTTGAAAGTTGGGGAATAAGAGTTGCTGTAAAGAATTTCAGTTGGAAATGTTGCCACAAAATATGGAGATCGAGATGATTGGAGTTCAAGAGATGGAGACCCCTGGACATTCCCCCATTAACTTTTAGCGCAACGCTCTTTGAACACTTGACTACGCTCTTGGAAATAAAAAGACCTCTTGAAAGATAAAAACTGATGAATCTTTATTGGCGCCATCGCTTTGTCTAGTCAGAGGCTCAGGAAACTTTTTTTTCCATTTGTTAAAGGCTCTTAATCTTTCTTGTTCCTTCTTTATATTGGCTTCAGTGAAGTTTTCTATCGTAAGTAAATGAAAAATATTAGACATCTATAAAAGAATGTGATCATGATGTAATAATATACCATATTTAGACAGGAGGTCATTTCCAATAAAAGTGCTACTGCTATCACTTAGGTTCCTGTAAAATTAAGGCTAAATAAAGTTAGATTAATTAAAAGTGCAGAGGGGAGGGCTTTGAGCATTGATTTGAACAATCACATTTGTTTCGCGTGCGAGTCTTGCCGTCGTCTTTTTACTCGCTCACATTTCTGGTGATTAGATAAAAAGTCATCGTATCTTTGAAACGTATTTGATACGAAAAGATTTTTGTAAACGAGTTCGAAGAACAGTCACTATCCTAGAAAGAGATTCATACTAAGCAAAATTAAGGTGTCAAAAAATTTTTTTCCGTTCGATAATTGTTCATAGATATTGGATTATTCAATTTCGCTTTGAATCGTTTTTGTATGCATACTTCATTACAATATTCCTGGAGTCCAACGAACGTCCTAATTATTGCATGCTCTTCTTTAAAAAGATTACCTTGCTTCTACCTGCATTTCAAACCACCATTCCCTCATAACAAGGTCTTTTTCCGTCTTTAGCATTTACGATAGCTACTCATTCCAAATCATCCCTGTTATGGGTCAAGTGATAGCCCAAGATTGGAATTCGTACAAATATCTCGTAGAGAGCATAAGACAGTTTCCTGATCAGGTAATCTTTCACAACGTACCGTATATTTATGTACCCTTCCTTTTTAATGAAATCAATTCTATTTTGAATTTGCTTCAGCCCCACAAAACGGTTATGACTGTGCCAGAGTTTTTTAAAGAGTGCTTTCTTGCTTTCTTTTTCAATTTCAACCCGAGCTTTGTTTGTTTATTTTAATGCTTTATTCGATATTTTAATATCAACATATCTTCTTTAACTTTTAGGACACCTTTTCATCGATGGTCGAGGATGCAGGATTTTCAAGTGTAACATACGAAAACCTGCTTTTTGGAGTTGTTTCAATACATCGTGGTTTTAAGATATAAAACGAATTGGACATTCTTTTTTATACAAAGAGGGACCGGCTACAAGGAAGGCTGAGTTGAAAAATAATCATCAGCGTTGTTAAGACGACACCAGGAAAGAATTAAGACTTTCATAATCTAAAATATGTATTTGTTGCTCTTGTGGCTAAATGTATCTGGAGTTTCTATTTGAATACAGTTTGTTGTGTCAACCTTTTTATACTCCAAGTTCCCTGCTTTTAATAGCTGTGGATGTCTTGAGCTCCTCTGCTTCTCCACTCCTATCTTCTATTTCCTCGCTCGAACTTTTTATGGCTCTGGTACCAAGGGTAACGCAACTATGGCGTCTCGCCGCAGTCTAAAGTGTGGGGTTTAAATTTAGCGCAAAAGTCTTTCGAGAAGTAGAGCAATGAAGTCTTGAACATTTACCATGAGGACAATGCTTACTTGAAACCATGGAAACAATGCTTTAAAAAGTTTATCAAATGATTCTTCATATAATTGTGCAAAATCCTGGAACACCAGTTATTAACATTTATTAACTGGTACACAGAAAAGTATAATTCGTGATGTGAATCTACGATTTTCATCCTGTCTTGGCGTAATCAAAGATTTCTTATGAAGAAAAAGCTTTATGACAGTAACGATGGTGTAGCCTAAAAATTATTATCATGCCCTCCCATGAATTAGTTGCTATTGTCGCCACTGAGGTTGATTGGAATTGACATCCTTTGTGCCTGTTTTGTGTGTCTGACAGGGACGGCGCTCGAGTTGACAGCATTATCTGACTAGAAAAAGGGCTGTCGTGGCCAGGGAGCAGAGGGGGGCATGACCCCCACTGTTTTCAAAATTTGGCGGATTTTCGGGAAAATCACTGTTATGAAGATATTTGGACAAACGTTCTTTCCGTATTGTCATGGGGGCAATTCAATCTTTTTAAGAAAACGCTAAATTTCCACAAAAAAAATGATTTCTCAGGATTTGCCGATTTCTACCAAAGATCTACGAGATTTTCATAGAGTGATTTGTTGGTCGGATTTCGTCAGTTAAAATCCGAATCTTCGAAGGCTAATTTTGGTTATGGAAAACAATATGCAATCCCTTGGATGTCTAGAAAGACCGAAGCATTTCCAAGGAAAATTAAGCCACCCCCTTCTCCTTTAACTACGTACGCTTTTCTGAGGTGCCAATTACACTATACCGGATTGCTATCGGCAGGGGCGCCGGAAGCATTTTGAGGCGGCGGGGGCAGCTACTCAAAAAGGGCACATTTTCAATGACAAATGCTAGAAATATAAGAGAAAAATACTATAACATACAATGGCGTTACGCACGGTGTGCACCTTAAAGCACAAAACTAAGGGCCTCCAAGAAGTTTCTCGTCAAAGGGTTCTTGGATGGAAGCATATGTTTCTTAGTAGCATTCACAGCAGCATTGAAATTAGTGTAAGACTGGACATGGTTTGTGAGCAAATGCATCGATCAGTGTTCTTGCTTTCATTTCACAATGTCTTCCAACCCCAAGCGTGTTTATGAATCTAGTGTGAGCAAAAGGGCCGAAATGAAACGAAAGTCGAAGCTGCTACATCAAACATAAAGAAAATTTCGCAATTTTTTGAAAAAGCAAAGAGCAGGGAGAAAAGTCTCCTTCCGCAGGGAGAAAGACCGAAGACAAAATCACCAGCCTCGTCTTTGATGAATCTTCTGAAACTTCTGAAAAGAACGACGACCAAACTGATCTTGTCATCTTTGTGAAGATGTGCGTGATGCTGATCTTAAGAGATTTTGCAGCATGGGCCATGTCGACCTGGTGGTACATTCGAGTGCATAAAGGAGGATGGATCTGTCTCAACACAATTGTGCTAAGTATTATAGTAAAGAAATTAAAAACATTTCAGTTTCAAGGCTATGGCTCTGTTATTCGATCCATGGAAATCCTGGAAAAGCTTAGATGAAGATCATAAGAAAGATCTTAAGCGGCAGATTTTCTCTTCATATGTTGCTTAAATTATTTCTTTGGGTTTTTCAGGGAAACCTCAAAGAGCGGGTACTTGACTCAAATTTAGTTAAGCAGAGGGGCCCCAAAACATTTCTTTTAGTAAGGGCCCCATACTGCTCCGTTACGCCACTTATAACATAATACTTTGGTACCGATAAAGCGATTAATCTAAAAGGTCTAAAATTTCCCAAAATATTTTCTTCGTATCTCGGACCTTTCAAAAAATTCACTGGCAACTTTCTCTGTGCAAATTAGCAAACTTTCTGTTGTTTAGGCTGTTGCACGTGGGGGGGGGGGTGTATCTTAACATGTTTAAAAGTACGGGGACGTGACATTATTTAGGGGCACCTTTTTTCTGAAAAGTGCGGGATTATTGCATCAGTTTTTGAAATATGTGCGGATCTATGGGTAACATTTTGGGAAAATATTGCAAATTTACCATTAATAAAATGAATGTCCAGTAAGAAATGGAAGTATAAAATATGTGTAATATATTTAAATAATATGTATTTTTTGGCAAAGAACATGCACAATGTTTTTGATAATTTTGTTGTGCTAAGAATGTTATTTGCTTTGCGGAATCATTGGTATAGCTTTGCGGAATAATGGAACCAAATTTTTTCAACCAGAATGGCTTAGTTACCCCCCGCCCCCTCCGAGATCGGTTGGCTGTCATGCTCGACCTCAGCCAAGACTTAACACGCTGCATTGTGCTTAAGGTACGTTCTTTAGTTGCAGATGAAAGTGCAAATGAATTGTACAACTGCAATAACTTGAGTAGCTCTGGCAGACACTATTGAACATGATTGAACAATTTTAACCTTTGTTACCTTCTTTATTGGTATGGCAACTTCTTTATTATAATTTTTGATGACTACGTGATAAAGTTCTCCTGATTTTTTAAGCTTTTATTTTTCTTCAATTGAAGCATTTTCTAGTTATCTTGGAAAATTATCAGTTTAAAGTATGGCATTGCATTAATGTTTGACATGCTCTACTACAGCGTTGGATGGGACTTTCTTGGAGTCTGTTAATAGGGGCCCCATCTCAGTTTTCCCTTAGGGCCCCAGATGCCCATGTTACTCACTCCGCTCTGGATGTGATACGTAACTCTAGCCTGGGTAACTACCCATCTACCATCACAGGGCAAAAATAGTTGAAATTTTGACAGCGCGAAAGGGGTGGTACCAGCGTACACAAGTCTTACGATAACCTGTGCCCTTTTTTGCCAAATTTGAACATAGCATAGCGGATAAAATATTAACCAGTACTAAATAATCAATCAAACAATATCTGACCAAAACCAAAACTGCTTGTGAATTGTGTATTTAATTTCAATTCCGTAAAGATTAGCCGAAATTTCCATCGCATTCTTCCGAATAAACGTTATTTTCAAACGTATTTCCATCTGACGAAAACAAGATAAAATGCAAAAAATGAACGTACGACTTGTAATCGGTCGACCTCTTGTATCATCAATTGTCTTAGATCGATCTTGATATCAAAATCATAAATGGTTGTTCTTCTTGCTATATAATTATGGCGTGGTCAGCAAAGATTTCTAAAGGGTCCCGTCAAAAAATTATCTGTTTTTATCAAAATGTGCAGCTATTTAAAATTGGACGTGAACCAAGATGTTATCTTGTCGGAAATCGTAGGCCTGTCCCCCCCCCCCATAAAAGCCTGAATTTCCACAACTTGATGATACAAAGTAATAGCAATACCGTAAATCTTCAAATAAGCCCCCGGGGGCTTATTTGCAGCAATGAATTTTTGGGTGGGGGCTTATTCGAGGGGGGGGGGGTTATTTCAAAGTTTAGTATTTTCGTCATAAATTGACATAAAAACGACATAATTTTTTTAACAAATCTAACAAAGAACTAACAAGTGTAAAATTTGCTGACACATTATAAAATTCCGGACACCATTTGTTGTTTGAAACCGAGCGAATAAATGACACGTTTGGACATACCAAATCTATTCTTTTTGTTCCATCCAAAGCTAAGACTTTCTTTTATACAATATTAAAACTTAGGTAATCGAATTAGGAAATCGATCGATACCATCAAGTAGCTATCCTCTAGTGGATATTTTTTTAATTAAAAGATTTTTACTGCTAAAATTTGCTAAAATCGACGAACTTGAAGCATTAAAACTATCAAAATGTTTCCTTGTCGGCTGCAACCACGGTGCCTAGAACCAAACTTTTGAAAAATGCACTTAAATGTTTCACAATGCCGATGATTTTATCGGCACCCGTTTTTACTAGTGAGACATTGGCAGGGCCACTGAGTGGCTTTGAAAGCCCCAGGGCAAAGCTGGAAGTAGATGCCCCCTGTGAAGGAAGCAAGCATAAATTTTTTGGCGACCATGCCCTTTAGATTAGTTTAAGGTACAATTCAGAATATTTCTTACAGCCATTTTCTTGCAATAATCTAAAACTGTTTACTGTTTTAAGGGATTCTTAAAATGGAATATAGTTAGTTTTTGAGGACCCCTATACCTCGAGGCTTTGGGGCATTTTGTTAGAATGATGTCAGAATAATTCATCACATTTCTAGCGACAATAAAAAAATTCATGGTTGCATGCAAGCAGCAAGAAGCCACAGGATTAGCAAATTATCCTCTCTAAAACTTTTCTACCGTGATGTGTTGTAGAGTTGTAGTAGGAGTGTTACCCTTTCGGAGCCTCGTTCTCATCACCCTCATGCACGAAGGACTGAATTTGTTTTGGAGCCCAAATTGCAAACACCACCTGCGTGTTTAAATTGGTGTACTGCGAAGTTCAAATCTAAAAACAAACGATTTCCAAAATGTAGCTAAAGTTCCAAATGTCTTCATCAACAGTGAAGAAGCTTCAAAATTTGCATTTAGCAGAGCGTTCATGTGGCCTCGAGGATTTAGTAAGTTTAGGCCCATGCCAAGATGGACCGACTCGTGATTCAACCCAATTCAAAACCAAGCAATTGCTGGAGAAATCGTCTCCTATTCACAACATTGACTTTGCTGATTCAGCTACATTAAAGAAGGAGAAAGCTAAAGTTGCCGAAAATGAGAAGTATTACTACAGAAGTCCTTGTCCGGAAAGAAATAACTTGGCTAAGTCCTCTCGAAAGTCTGATGCAGCATTTTCAAACACTTCTCTACTGGGCTCGGTTGAACAGTTCTGCAAACCAAGTGCAGCCGATAGAAATCACTCAAAGGTTTTTGTTGGAAATATCAGTTATCGAATGAAGGATAGAGAGCTTAGAGAATACTTTGAATTGTTTGGAAAAGTTCTTCGGGCAAGTATTTGTAAAGATAAGAGGAGCAGAAGGTCTAGGGGGTATGTATGCTTTTTTAGAATATTATTTTAACTGTTTGGAACTCACATGTGTAGTTCAAGAGACAGAGACCCTGTAGCAAAAGATTTATGCCATTTAGAAATGTATTTGAAGTCAAATAATAACTAGGCAAGTTTTTATAGACTTATGGTCTTCTTTTGAAAAATTTTCAACTACAAATCTTCTCTTTCCCTTTGCTCTTGACAAATTACAAACAGAAGTCAATTGTATATGAAGGAGTCAAAATTTGGAATTCCCTGCCATTGCAAATTAAAAAGTTAACGAATAAGTCATCTTTCATGAAAAACCTGAAAAGTTATTTTTTAAAGTCGAATTGATATACTTATTTGAACCCAATTATGAACATTATCATTAAACATAAATTACCACCATGCATCTCACTATTGTGTTTTTAGTATAACCAATTAACATATCTTATTATACAAACCCTATATTATCTTGATATTCCTCCTTTTTTTTTCATTCACATTCTTCTTTTGAAATCGATCACCTACACCTATACGCGTCCAATCGGGCATATGACCTAGATAGCTCCTTGTGAGTTCTTTTCATATGTCCGACAGCAAACATACCAAACTTCAAACTACATTCCAAAAACACCAAGGGACACACATTCAAATTGGGATTTAGTGAAGTGGTCCAAAGTGGCTAACCAACTTTAGGCTGAAGAGATTTTTGGACTGACTTTCTATGTTAGAAGATTTTTCTATATTTATATATATATATGATTTCTTTACAGCTTTTTGTGGTTTGTCCAGATTTTTGTGACCTTTCTTCAAGTAGAAAAAATTTCCTTTAAATCATTAAAAGCCCATCATTTTTTACAAGTTCAACAGCAACTATTGTAACAAACTCTAAAGTATGTGCTTCTGATAACCAAGTTATCATCTGGAAAGTCTCTTAAGAATATTGATTTTTCATAAAGGGTTTGTCTGGAATACAATTGAAAATGGATTAAAGAAGGAACAATCAGACAATTGGAAAGGAAAACAGCTATTGTTTTGAAACCAGCTGTGGATTTTCTATTTTTATCCTAAACAACACTTGTTTAAAACATACATACTTGATTTAAAGGCAGTCTTTCCCCTCAATGATTGGCTAATATGAACAATAGGTCTTCCCACCTTAAAGATAACGGATTACGATGCTTGCTTTGGCTGGCCTAGCTGCAGTAGTGGACGACATTTGAAACTGCAAGCAAAAAGCTATCTGGAATGGCAAGAAGATTTTAATTACTGGAATTGAATGATGAAACCAAACATATTCGTCACATAAATCAAACAAGGAGCCATATTTTTATAGCCACAGCTTCACTACAACACAAAAATTTGATTCAAAAGCTCTGGAATCAAAGTTGTTTCTGATTGGTTTAAATCATTTAATTATTGATCAAGCTCAACATTGCATGAAATTCACTCTTGTTAAAATAAAGTTGAGCACAATAGGGGACAGACTGCCTATTGTCATGCAATGACACCAATAGGGGACGGACAGGCATACCTGTTTTTTGATCTCTCAGATGCAATACACTTTTAGGTCTTCTTGTAAAGCAATGTTGTTTGCTAAGTTTTGTGTCAGTAATTGTGGCACAAGTGACATGTTGACTACCCGAATAATTGTTTGATACTGTTTTATTGATGCCCTGATCAGTGTTGTAGCTTGACCTTCCAGACTAAGGGGGGAGGGTGGAGGTTCATGAGTAGTAAAATTAACCAATGAAGACATAGATTAAGAGAAATTTAGGTACTGTTTCACCTACCAATAGAGGATTTTACTGACAAACAAAGGATTTTGGCACCAACTAAACCCTTTGCTAAGCTAGGCCACTGCCCTTGATAGGTTCAAAAACTATTTTCAGTCTCTGAAAACTTCTATTTAAACTGATTCACAATGATATGATTAAACATAAGAAAGGAAAAGAGAGAGAAATGCTTTCCAAAAAACCATTCCTTTGGCAATGACACCAAAATGCAATGGAATCAAGAGAATTCCGAGAGTCATTCAATGTAGTGGATGATGTTCTACTCTTTTGGCTTATACATGCTTGAACATACTGGACTCAGATTGATTGGCTCTTTTTAAACAGAAAGCAATAGAGTTAGCTGCAAAACTTAGGCAGTGGGTTTTCTGTTGCTATGTTGTTGGCTCCAAAATAGATAAAAAAAGAAAGATGCTCCTTATTGTCAACAATTGTAGATCAAACAATCAACATATTGTCTCCAAACTCAATTCGATCCAGTTTGAGTTTTGTCCCCAAACTGTACCAGATGCCTGCAGCAATGTGACCCAAAGCTTAAAAGTTTTGTATTGTAAGAGTAAGCTGGCAAAACTAATCAGATCAATTGTAGGAAATAACACAAATGTGATGTAGGTTTGGCAGATTTTCAAATTGTCAGCAAATTTTCAAACATTCATATTATGTTGTCAAAAAAAACAATTTTGATTGATATTATATAATTTACCAACTTTTTCTAGTTCTTAGCAAAACAGGGAATTTTTTCCAGTAAGTCTTTAGTTTGTGTCTTTACAGCTGCATGTTATTGAAAAGTAGTAGACTTTCATATAAATTCTTGGATTCCTTCTGGAATACTTCAGCTGTGCCTAAGATCACTACCATTTGTAGTTGATAGAAAGCAAATGCAATTTTTTCATGAACCAAACAACAATACTTTGGTTTATATGAGTTTACTTTGTTTTTATTTTATTTGCCTGTTTTAGATTTGGCTTTGTTGTTTTTTCCAATCATGAAGAAGCAGAAAGAGCCATTCGTGCACCAGAATATCAGCTACATTGTGATGGAAGGTTTGGTTTATTTTGCATTGGTTTTTATTATTATTGATAGACTATAAGGTAATTCCCCTGAAGTTTATATAGTCTGTTTCAATCTTTGCCTATCATTGGCATCAATGGCATAGCTGAATTTCTATGTTGTGAATTGATTATATGTTATTTGTTATTGCTATAGCCTTGAAATGTTTCCCATAGGTTGCTTAAAGTTTCTTGGCCAGAGAGGAAAACAAAAGGTAATCATCTTAAATTTCATCTTAAAGAAGCAATTTTGCATTAAGGGTACCAGGCAAAAACTGTTTGCAGGAAGTCAAAAAGAATATGCGAAATGGCAGTCTTGTAAAGATATCCTATTTTTCAATGTTGGTTTAGAATCTTGGCAGAATGGTGTAAGAAAAGTACAAAGAAAAAAGATCTTCTGGCAGCAAAATGTTTGCTTGGCTGCAAAGTGAATAGACTGCTGGAGCTAAGGACTAGAAAGCACCTATTTTTAAATGGGCTTTGATCCTGTTTAGCTCGCCAAAAGTGTTAAGGTGGACAACTTTCAAAAGGGCATTAAGAAACAAAGAAAGATTTTCCTCGTATCAGGCTCCAATAGTTTGTTCTAAGTCTGACTTGTTTCTGTGTTTTGCCAAATTAAAGACGTGCATCTGGATAATAGATAGCCAGAGATCTTCCCTGACCGTTTTTAAGAAAATTGCTTAGTTTTTGGTTGATAAAACCTTTGGTAATGAAAAGTGTCCCATAAATTATTAAAATATCTTGGATTGGCAATGTTTGTTCACGTTTTGTAGGTTTGCTAGTGTATTAGAAAGGCATTAATAAATTGGTAAACCTAACGTCATGTATTCTGCCAAGGTCATGCTCCCTCCAATTCAAAAAAGGTTGCTCTCCCACCTTTAAAACCCTCAGTTGTTTATGAACTTGCATGCAACAACGATGATAAGAAAGAATTAAACAACATGCTCCTGCGAAGAAAAGGTGAATAAGGTTCTGAAAAAAGAGGAGGCGTGTTTGCAAAAATTTGAATTTCCAAATAGAATTTGATTTGAAGTATTTTGCCAAAGAAACCAGTTTGTGTCGGAACGTATATTAGGTAAGCAAGATCGTCATTCTATTAGGTTTTCAGTTAATTGTAAGTTCTAGTTGTCTCAAAGTTCGGTACATTTAATTGTAAACATCATTTGCAAAATTAAGAGACATGCCTTTTCTACTTCATTCAGCTACAAAATTGATCATATTCGTGGAACTTGAGTATTTCAATTTTTCCACTGACTCGACTGCAGTAGTTTCAGATCTTGTTTACTAACTTTTATCTTTAACTCTGTTTTCCAATCAAGACAGCTTTCCCCGCTTCTTTGATATATTCCCGTTGTTGCATGTACTGTATATATTACTGTTATAACAACATCGGGTCTAACCACACACAGGAGGGAGAAGTGAGACTGCTTTTTTCGACTCAAAGACTGGCTTATACCTCTCTTCTTTTTTATAAATTGCAAGACTAGGTTTTATATTATATTTGTAGGTGGATCGGCAAATGTTAGTGCATCGCCAGGATTGTCCATAGAGGTATGTCATTATGTGATCCACAATATGCCGTTGCCAAGGCAATTTAATTGGTTTTTTATGCTGCTTTTTTTATTATCTGTCCCTGTTTTGTTTAGGATTGGATGAGTAAGTCAAATTTTGTAGAACGAAGAATAGTTTACGATTTCATGCATAAATTATTGTCCCTATTTGTACGAGCTACGACTCTTTGCAACCAAATATGGAAATGGAAAGCTTCGATACAAAATTGTTATTTATTTCCATTTTGAATGAATTATAGCCTTTCATTGATATTTTTGGAAAAATAAAATCTTGGTAAATTTGCTATGTTTCCAAAACAAGGAACTCGCAAGATATCTCCTTGGAACAGAGACTTTTCAAAATGTTACCGAAGAAACAAATGTGCAGACGGATGATAGGTAAGAAATGATTTGATATTTTGTAATGTTTTGAATATCTCCTCATAAAAAATGCTTTAAAGCAAATTATATTACCATAAAATCTCATGGATAGCGTGATGGATAATTTCATGGATAACAAATTTTTCAGCTTAAAGCAACATTTTGTTAAAATCTTTTGAATAGAAGTATGGGTTGATAGAGCGTTGTGGATTCGGAAAGTTGCTTCGTTCTTTTTCACAAGATTGTCAACGATATTACCCCTGACTACACAAGATACCCTATTCCACAATTACCACAAGCTGTGTATTCTTTTCGTAATGCAGATGTAGTTGGGCAGATAAGGGCAAGAACGACAAGATTCAAGAGAGTTTTTATCCCGACTGTCTCTCTGAATGGAACACACTTGACCCAGAGATTAAGTTATCACCCTCACTAAATATTTTTAGAACAAAATTATCGAAACTTATCCGACCCACTCCTAAACTAGTATACGGTATTTATGATTCAAAAGGTTTAGCTATTCTTACTCAGTAACGGGTAGGACTGAGCAAACTCAATTATCATAAATTCAGGCATAACATTAGAGATACATTCAACCCTTTGTGTCCCGCAAATGATGGGGTAGAGGACACGGAACATTTTCTGCTGCTCTGTCATTCGTATAACCAGCTTAGATCTGATCCTCTCAGTAGTGTGAATGCAATATTGCTCCCTCGTGGTTTTTATGTATCGGTCATGGGGTAGCCATTGCTTTTGCTCCTCGTGGCATCATCCCCGTAGTGTAGTTAAGTAATTAGGGTAGTATAGTCAAGGTATAATTGTATTGTTATTAATTTCTGAATAATAAAAAGTTGCTTCGTGTTGTAAACATCATAGAGCTTCTATCTTTTACCGCTTCAAAGCTTTTACCGCCTCTTCAATATTTCAAATTGGACGGAATATTTTGACATTGTATTGGTGAAGTTTTCATTTTTACTCTTATTGCCGATATTTTTAAGAAAGAGTGCCACTATGTATTTCATTTGGGCATTACACAGCATTTAAAACCCAAAATTGTCATTCAGGCTTGACTGTTAAATCCATCATTCAATTTACATTGTCTTTGCATCAAATCAAGGAACTAAATTACTCTAAAATTGAGAATGTCATCTCAATACCCAGAAACTTATTCGTCAGTACCTTACATTTCACGGACGGATTTTTACGCATTTATTTAAATCTTCTGCCAGTAAATGTGTGTTAATGTGACAGAATGAGAACATTTGGGGCCTTTGATTTGTTCAGACCAATAGCAAATTCATTTTTTTTGTGCCCCTCAAAACATGCATTATTCATAACTTTATAACATTACAACAAGCCAAACATTATTTAGGCATTACAACACGCCAAAATGTTGGAGGCGGGGCTTTGAGGCGAGAGCCCTTATGACAAACTTTGAAGAGCCTCTGTTAAAGCTTTCAGTTTGTTCTTTGACTGTCAGATCTTCAAACTGTTTTCGCTTTGTAAATCCTCATATGCCTGGCATTAGAGATGTACGTTGATCTTTATTGTGAATTAAATTATGTAATGTTTTGAGGTCTGAAGAATAACATAACATATAGTCTCGGCTCAACTAAATTTCAATTATTTTTCTCATATTCAATTATTTACAGAAATTCTCTAAGTTCATCTCTTTTTCATTTTAGGCTCGAAAAGGATTGCATAAACCAGTTAAATGATGACATTCTTTTGAAAATATTTTCATATTTGGAACCGGCAGAGAGAATCAAATTGGAACGAGGTAGCCAACAAGTCATTTTAGCAGTGCTTTGGCGGTCTCCGTATAAAGGAATCGTCTCCCCCTTGTTCAAAGCTCCTCACTGTCATTGACCAAATTTTTTCTGAGCTTTCTGAAAAAGGAACTTGCAAATCTCTCCTGCGATAATATTCTAAAAAGATGACGAGGACATTAATCCATTTCACTACTGTCTTTTGCTCAACTTGCCTTCACATCCGCATTTCCGTTGTCTGAATATTCAAACAATCTTTTGGTGGTACAAAACTTGAGAATGGCTTTCAAAAAAGCAAACATTCCAGTAAACTAAAGCTTTTCGTCTGACACTCTTCAGAGTAAAAAACGTCAGAACATAGATCGAAAACTCTACGCTAAGAAATATATATACCCAATTGTGGATCGAAATAGGCCAATCAGAAACGCGAGCACATGACTGTTGAGGTTGCCCAATCAGTGCCGCTTGCCTATTGAGAATGTTACCAGTGGAGTCCTAAGGTGAAAACGAACTCCTTTTGTCTACCCAATAGCGGTTTTTTCGTGCTTGTGTAGATCGATTCCAAAACTGCTAGATGGAACGACGACCGGGCTTTACCAATAATCCGAAACATGTCGCCATTATAGTTTTTTGCACAATCTGGGTTTTCCAGTAAATGCTGCCCGATAGCAGAACCGCACGTTTTAGTTATAGTCATACTTTTAGGTCTGAATATTCTTCAAGCCAGGATTAAAATCAAACTAGTTTGAATTAATTCACCTTGACAAGAATAATCAAACAATTGGATGATCACACAAGATTATTATTCTTTGAAACATTCTTCATCGAAATACAAGGGAGAGTATTCAAAGAATAAATGTTTGTGCTTTAAATAGTATTGTTCTTTTTTAATATTCTTTCGTGTAACAGGGCCTTAAAAGAAATATTTCAGTACGCTTAAGGACCTATTTCTGTAAATGGTCGGGTTGATCAATGCAACCTTGTTGATTCAGCTAACTGATCACCTTGGCAGATGTGATCAAGTTGATAGCCGTTGATTACTGAGAGTTCAACCGTACTGTCATTAGCTGACTTAGTGGGTTACAGTGATTCACGTCCCACGTCATTTGATCCCATCATGTCACCTTATAAGCTGACAGATGTGATCAGGTTGATAGCCCTTGATTTCTGAAAGTTCAATCGTACTGTCATTAGCTGACTTAGTTGGTTACGGTGATTCACGTCCCATGTCATTTGATCCCATCATGTCACCTTATAAGCTGACAGATGTGATCAGGTTGATAGCCGTTGATTTCTGAAAGTTCAATCGTACTGTCATTAGCTGACTTAGTTGGTTACGGTGATTCACGTCCCATGTCATTTGATCCCATCATGTCACCTTATAAGCTGACAGATGTGATCAGGTTGATAGCCGTTGATTTGTGAAAGTTCAATCGTACTGTCATTAGCTGACTTAGTTGGTCAAAAGTGATTCACGTCCCATGACATTTGATCCCATCATGTCACCTTATAAGCTGACAGATGTGATCAGGTTGATAGCCGTTGATTTGTGAAAGTTCAATCGTACTGTCATTAGCTGACTTAGTTGGTTACAGTGATTCACGTCCCATGTCATTTGATCCCATCATGTCACCTTATAAGCTGACAGATGTGATCAGGTTGATAGCCGTTCATTTCTGAAAGTTCAATCGTACTGTCATTAGCTGACTTAGTTGGTTACAGTGATTCACGTCCCATGTCATTTGATTCCATCATGTCACCTTATAAGCTGACAGATGTGATCAGGTTGATAGCCGTTGATTTTTATATGTTCAATCGTACTGTCATTAGCTGACTTAGTTGGTTACAGTGATTCACGTCCCATGTCATTTGATCCCATCATGTCACCTTATAAGCTGACAGATGTGATCAGGTTGATAGCCGTTGATTTCTGAAAGTTCAATCGTACTGTCATTAGCGGCATACCGGAAAACAAGGACCCAGGACCTTAAGGCAGGACCCAGGACCGAGGACCAGGACCGAGGACCAGGACCCAGGACCGAGGACCAGAACCAGGACCGAGGACCAGGACCAGGACCAGGACCCAGGACCGAGGACCAGGACCGAGGACCAGGACCGAGGACCAGGATCCAGGACCAGGACCCAGGACTAGGACCCAGGACTAGGACCGAGGACCAGGACCCAGGACCAGGACCGAGGACCAGGACCCAGGACCCAGGACCCAGGACCGTATATGTTTTCGACGATGCACGCGCTGTTTCCTTTATAAGAATACCAAGTTATAACATTGCATACCATGAACAATTGTCCATGCAAACCTGACGTGGTTGTTTTAGCATAGATGGCTAGCACAGAAATTTATATTCTGATGCACACTGCAAACCTTATAACTTTAGTAAGCCCACATCATTAAAAAGCCACCAAAGCATAAGTAGTCTTTATATGTTTAAATAGCAAGACATTAGAACGGTCGATCGCGACACAGAATTCAACCGCGATCTCCCCATTCTGTGATCCTGGCGAGTGATTTTGCTTGTCTACAATTGGCACTGCGCATCTCGACAAATCATGTCTGTCGCGTGACAGATCATGCGTGTACCTCTAATGGCACTCATTTGCTGTCTAGGTGATCAGGAACTTTGCCAAGTCATTGCTGCTATAAGTGCTCAAAAGTGAAATTAGGTGGATTGTCGCCACTTTTCTCTTTCAGAGCAGAAACGCTTTCCGGAATACAAAATTTTTAAAACTTTTTTAAATCAAGATCATGACTTCTGATGCATGTTACAGCCGGTAATTACAAGCAAGCAAAAAAGAAGCCATTCCTACTTCTAGAGCACAGAAAGCAAAGAAACGTTTTGCTGACAAACCATTTCTGTCTTTGACATCTTTAATGTCTAAACACTTTTTAAATATATAAAGACTATTTAGGCTTTGATGGCTTGTTAATGATGTGGGCTTACTAAAAATATAAGGTTTGCTGTGTGAATCAAAGATACCCCCATCCTACTATAGAATAGTAATTGCTGTGCTAGCTAACTATGCTAAAACAACCACGTCAGGTTCGCACGGCTAATAAGAGTATTTTGAGTGTGAGTAAACGTTGCAAGCAGTAGTGTAGAGCTAAAAAAAGGGAGACGGGGCCATAAAGCTTTCTCAATATTGTATACAAAATGAACGTTTCAGTTGTTTTCGTTTGCATGGCTATTCGATATCAATTTTTTTACCTTTCCACTTTTTCTAGGGTTAGAAAATTTTCAAATGTTTTCAAAATTTTCAGGAAAATTTTTTGCACGATGCAGGTTGTTTGGTCATTTTAGTTCCTAGGCATGCCTTAGGTTCTGAGTCCTGGGTTATGAGTCCTTGGTCTCCTCTTCCGTCACTTGAAAAATGGCACTCCTTTCTTGGCAAACATTGGCTGTCTGGGTCATCAGAAACCTTGCCAAGTCATTATGTACTGCAAATGTTCAATAGAAGATTCAGATTAGACGAACTGTCTCGGGACACCGCTTTGTGGGTGTCACGATAAGATTCCAAAGAAATTTCCTTTCTGCTCTTTTTCAGATGCATTAGTTTCTTTTTATTAAAAAGGAGCCCGCTTTTAGAAAGATTTAGTGGTATTTTTCAGAGTAGAAACATTTTATGGAATAGTAAACCTTTTTCAAATCCAGATCAGGACTTTTGACACAATGGTTCAATCTGAAATGATAAACATACTGGCACCGCGGAAGGGGGCTGTTCTTAAAACCATACAAAGTCGCCTTGTTCTTGATTATTAGCATGCTTAGCGCCCCCATCCCATAAAAACGTTTTAGCCCCCTCACTCTTTAATATGCTCCGCGGTTCATGAAAAACATACCAAAGGGAGTGCAGCCATTCCTGCTTCTAGAGCATAGAAACGTTCTAATGTCTTGCTATTTAAACATATTAAGACTACTTATGCTTTGGTGGCTTTTTTATGATCTGGGCTTACTAAAGGTTTGCAGTATGCATAAAATCCTCGATCCTACTAAAGAATAGCAATAGCCATCTATGCTAAAACAACCACGTCAGGTTTGCATGGCCAATAAGAGTATTTCACATTTGAAGGCGTTGCTTTCGTTTAATCGTATATTTACATATTCCCGAGCTACCCGAGTTTTCGTTTTTCACACAAAGTCGGAATAAAATCAGATTCATTTCCCCCTTCTGTCTTTTGTGCAGTCTTTTGTTCGATGTGCAGTTTTGGATTTTGGATTTTATGGAAAATTGTTCATGGTATGCAATGTTATAACTTGGTATTCTTATAAAGGAAACTGCGAGTGCATCGTCGAAAACATATACGGTCCTGGTCCTGGGTCCTGGTCCTTGGTCCTGGTCCTCGGTCCTGGTCCTGGTCCTCGGTCCTGGGTCCTTGTTTTCCGGTATGCCGTCATTAGCTGACTTAGTTGGTTACGGTGATTCACGTCCCATGTCATTTGATCCCATCATGTCACCTTATAAGCTGACAGATGTGATCAGGTTGATAGCCGTTGATTTGTGAAAGTTCAATCGTACTGTCATTAGCTGACTTAGTTGGTCAAAAGTGATTCACGTCCCATGACATTTGATCCCATCATGTCACCTTATAAGCTGACAGATGTGATCAGGTTGATAGCCGTTGATTTGTGAAAGTTCAATCGTACTGTCATTAGCTGACTTAGTTGGTCAAAAGTGATTCACGTCCCATGACATTTGACCCCATCATGTCACCTTATAAGCTGACAGATGTGATCAGGTTGATAGCCGTTGATTTGTGAAAGTTCAATCGTACTGTCATTAGCTGACTTAGTTGGTTACAGTGATTCACGTCCCATGTCATTTGATCCCATCATGTCACCTTATAAGCTGACAGATGTGATCAGGTTGATAGAACTTGATTTATGTCCCTGCTTCATATATTTGTTCACTTTAAGCAGTGGAATACAGTGACAAAGCTGTAATAATTAAACTTGACAATTTTTTTTTCTTTTTTAAGTTTGCAAGAGGTGGATGACTGTGTCCTGTCAAACATGGAAGTCGCTTAAACGTTTGGATTTCAAAGGAATGTTCACTTCGTTTCGAGGTACAGATGTTCAGCGAATAAGTTTTAATATTTACGAACGCATTTTGGTTTGGTCTTTTGCGTTAACCAGTTAAGCATCTCAGATATCTTATCCTCCGCATTTTATCCTCAACATTTTGTCCTTTTTGGCATTTATTTCGTGCTTTTTCTCAAGGTGTAGTGATTTGCCCCATTTTTATCTTCCAGGTGTTACAGACAAGATTTTGTATTCCATTCTGAAACGAGGCTGCAATAATCTGCAAGAATTGGATCTATCAGGTTCTCCATATTTCCTCACACCAGTTGGCGTCTATTCGATAAGTATGTCAAAGCACTGTCTTTGGTTTGGAAGCGTATTTATTTCGAAACACTATGCCAACACACCAAATATTTTGCCGACCTGTAACATTAGTATGGTAACTTATCCACATATTGCCGAAATAGTACTTATGATTGGGTATACGGCAAACCAGTATGATTTTAAGAACTTTTTTCAACTTTTTAATTTAGTAAAATATCATATAACAAGGAAATATCTTTGCCATTGCATGTTAGTAATGTGGAGCTTTTCCTGCTAGGCAAGATATGCACAGTTTTGAAAGTTTTGAACCTGTCTAACGTGGGAGTAGATAATCAAAACTTGAAGGACATCGCACAGAAATGCAGCCAATTAGAGGTGCGTAGTAACTTAGATGTCCGGGCCTAGTTACAATTGATCCACTTTGTGGTTTGTGTTTCTTCTGAAGGAATATCATTCCGAGAAACGCCCTCAAGAGTTTACATCTAGCCGTATTTCAATCTGCCTGTATTCGAATGTCAAAAATTAAATCTGGCTGTATTTCATCCTCCTGTATTCGAATTTTTTAAAAAATTCACCATATGTTCTTTCTTTGGCATCGTAGTGAATCGACGTGTAGTGCTTATGTCTCTCCTCACTGGCAATAAGAAAAGGAATATCCTAAAAGCAAATCAATGTGATTTTTTTTGGATAAATTTGTTTTTTAATGCCAGTAAATGTTACCTACAACTGAAAACTGTGACTTTTCAAAGAAATGAAATAGCATTAGATTATACCATATATCTATCATGAAATGATCTGATTCTTGCTCAAACTTGTACCAGTATAAAACTCTCATGGTGATCCTCCGGATGTGAAAGCTGCGCAAACTGAAGATGCTGATTCAATGACATGTAATAAAAGCATCTTTTCTATGTATCTGCATAATTACTAATGCTTCTTAACTCTATTTTACATTGATGCTAGATTGCTGATTCACTCTTTTGCTTTGAATAGCCAAATACCGTTTTCGTCCAATTCTCTTCGTGTTTCAGGTACTTATTCTAAGAAGGAGTAGGAATTTTGGTGAAAAGGGGTATGTGCCTTCTTTCCTCTTTTTAGTTTTACATTTTCAAACATTTATTGATGGTGGCAAAGAATTTCCAGAATGAGCGATAAAAACGATAAATTTGTCTCCTTTTTGTTTAACTTAATTCATTTTATTATAGGTTGTGGTGGTTTTTGAAAGAAGCAAAGAATATCAAACACCTTGAAGTAACGGAAAATTTGCGAGTGACTGGGCGAGTAAGTCAGAGAACAGACATTTTGGCTTATAAGGTCTCTTTCAATTAACCAGAATTTATGTAGCTTAATTCTCTGTTTTAGACTTTATGTTGTTTTTACATTTTGTGTCATTTCTTTTTAGTGTTTTTGGATGCTTTCTCCAACATTTCAAATATTAAACATCAGTGGATGTGTAAAGGTTTGTTTTGTTCCCCTATCTTTGTATCAAAACCCGGAAGCTGATTAACAGAATCTTTATGTCTTTTTGTTTTGCTCCACTATCTTTGTATCAAAACCCGGAAGCTAATCAGCAGATTCCTTATGTCTTGATGTTTTGTTTCTCAAAAGAGATTTCTCATGAACATTTATGAGTATCAAGCCACACATTTGAGTATCATTGTTTACTATCAGGTTGATGATGTAGGCATGGAGCACCTCAGCTCTAAAGCTCCAAATCTGCTGGCCTTGGACATCAGCAATTGTCTTCTCATTTCGGACAACGGATTAACCAAAATATGTACAGTTGAGTCTCTATTTGTTTCTTGTCAGTTCTCAGTCAAAGTAGCATACGTTCCAAATCTTTGACTGGCTGAGCGACCAAAATTCTGCATACCCCATAAAACAATCAGAATTCATGAATATGACAACAAACGTGCAACAAACGATCGTTAGTTACGGACTGTAATTTTTCTGTTCTCCCTCCCCCCTAATTATTATAAGGATTTGAAAGAGACAGTTTCAAGCCTTCGTACGTTTTTTTCGTAAATCCATTAAAGATTCAATTTTTAAAAGAAAATTTAGGTTATCTTTCAGCACATTTTACACGTTTATTTTTTGTGGGTAGTAGTAAAAACGTCCAAAATAGGCCTAAATTTAGTTGCGAGGCACTTTTGTTGTCATATTCTTGAATTCTGATTGGCTAATGGGATATGCAGAATTTTGGTCGCTCAGCCAATCAAAGATTTGAAACCTATGCTCGCCTATGCTAGTCAAAGTATTAATTCCAATTACTCAGTGTATTTTCTTGTTTTCTCATTTACTTCCTCAACTGCTTTTGCACAAACCGAAACTTGGCCGATCCGTTCAGTGCCAATTTACACACTTCCTGTCCAACTTTCCACAACTCGTTATTTTCTCGTGGTTATTCCCGAAAAGATAACACCACCAAATTCTCCATGTTCCTTTTAAGTCAAGCTAAACGACACTAACCGCTATTCTCTCGACCCACATGTTGTACATTCTATCTCTGTTACATAGCTTTATCCATCAGGTATATTTCTCATTGCAGCCTCTGTCCCTTAGCATTTCCTACCAGACAAGCCACAGCCCCGTATGATCTGATTACATTTTGTATTCTCGAGCAACATTTAAAAACGTTCTATAAATTTATACTTGAGCTTTATACGACTTGATTATTTGCATGACCTATCATTCTAGATGTTTGCCATTTATTTTCCAAAATCTAGTGACACTTTCCAAAATTTAACCGTGATTTACTGGTTTGCTCTCCTTCATTCCATCGTTGTGTTCGATCCATAACCTGAACATCTTTATCCGTAGAGCAACAGGCAACTACGAAAGCTTGTTTTCTCTGAATCAGGCAATGCTGGTATGTTCGCATTCTGCTTTTTTCAATAATGGCAATTGTGGTATCTAAACTCTAAATTTGACTTAGGTAAAAGGCGAAGAATGTTGATATGGAAAATTACCACCTGATGCCTTGTTCATATTATTTGATAGATATATTAATTGCTAATGGTTGCTTGTAGTAATTATTGATTGTACGCACGTGTTAATGCTTGTTTAGTGTCGCTATGAATATTTTTGGTAAAATAGTATTCCCCCCTCAATGTCTGCTCCTGCGCATTCTGTTCATTTGTGTTCATTTGTGAATCATCGATCAAATCGACATTGATTAACCTTCACTACGATCATTTTTTATTGATGATTTTTAATCTGTTTCAGTAACTCCAAATGGGATGGTGGCTGTCGGAATGCTCACAGAGTTAGTAAGTGGACCAATGTTATTTTCATTCAATTCTTAAGGCATTTGAAGGATTTGAAGCTAGTCAGTCTTCCTGTGTTTGCGGTGACAAGCTATTCAAGGCAATGAGGTTTGCCTTGCGGGAGGTTTGGGCTCTGTATACGTCACCTCAACAGTCCCGATCGATACACGCTGGCTTCTTGTGAACCGTATGTCAGAACTCACGTACGGTCATTACCTTTTGAATTCCTTCGCTAGCTAATGACCTCTACTGTGAATCAAGTCATCGAATGCAATTTCTCAGCTAGGATGTCGTACCCTGGCTAGAAAGCTGCATACAAGCGGACAAGTATCACGTAATTTTTGAATCTCAGAATCAATACCTTGTGACGTGGAGTCAATAAAAGCTCTTTTAAAGAAGCAATTTTTAATGTCATCATTTTGTCATCAAAATCATTTCTTTCCTTTTCTTTCTTTCCGCTTTCTTTTCTTGGTGGCTTTCTCGTACGAAGCCGTACTAGTAACTATATTTTTAAGTTTGGGTCAATAATGGGCATCATCGTACGCCTGTACGTCTGTTTTTTGAGCCCTGACACATTAAGCTCGCCCTTCTTCCTTTTGATATGATGTCCTTTGCTAAGATATCTTCATCCCTTGAATATTTGTTTTTATCAGTGAGAAATTTGGTCACTTTAATCATAGCAAGAGCGAATTAAAAGTTTGAAACATAAAAAAATTTAACCTATACACCAAAAGTATAGATGACATTTACATGATTTTATAATATCTAAACAATATAACAAAAAGTTAAAGCCAAGAATTATCTCAACTATGTTTTGAACTACAGGGCGGTGAATAATTCATATTTGAAGTGTGATGCTTTTTTGGTTATATCCAAGTTTAAATCTTGAGCTAGAATTCCTTTCAAGCATATATTTTAAAATATCATAGAGTAATTGTTTTGTGGCTTACTTGTAATTTACTTTAATATACTCTATTTAGGAATGAAAAGCATTTTATGCCTTGCAGTAACAACATTCCTTCCGTTACTTTATTTATATGAAAAATGTTTTCTTCTGGGTACTTAACAAATGTCCAAATGAGATTGCTGACACAAACTAGTTTTCAATAGAAGTGTCTTTTGAACTGTATAGGGTATCTTCATACCTTCCTTCCGTCACTCCATTGTGCTTTTTCCTTCCGTTACTTTATTTTCTTTGAATATTTGTAGCTGTTTCAGAATAATTCACTCTTCAATTTCTAAAAAATGCTGTCATTCAATATAAGAGAGCCCTTTTTCCAAGAACTGTGGAATGCAACAATGATTTGATTGCTCGGTACCATCTGGCCCTGGCCTTTTAAAGTTTATGTGCATGATTTCCCAAAGGCAGTTATTTCAAAATGAGTTAACGTTCCAAAAATTTTGATAGAAAAACAAGATAACTTGTGATACTTGGGTGATACTTGTGACATATGGTATTGTAATAAACTGATCAAGATATTGTTTTGAAGGCTTCAGTACATGTTTTGCAAATATTAACACTATAATGGTTTCAAGTGCTCTCAAATATTTCAGCCAATCTTTGAATTGCTATTTAAAGGCTCTTGACAACCCTGAAAAACTGTATTGTTTAACAAAGGCTTGCACAGATTGTTGAGGGATTTCAACTTTTCCTATAATAAAGCTGCTTATCCATTTCCAGTGCCATTGACCATTTTGCAAGGTTTTGTTGTTATTCCTTGCTTAACAACATTTTTATGACATTAAACATCTATCAAATTCCTTCTGTTACTTTATTTAGCCTTTTGAAATAACCTCATTACTGAAAACCTCAAAATTTCTTTTTTCCAGCAAACCTTGGATTTGTCTCAGAGTCAGGCTGTGAATGACAGCGTCCTTAATCGAATTGTAGCTGGATGCACGAAACTAAGGTACTAAACCGACCTTTCGATCCTCAATTACTCCTCTTGTAGCCTTTTATACATTTGAAAATGTCATAGGAAATTCCTTTCAGATACCCTAGCATATCCTCAAATGCTCGTAAAAACGTTTTGAAATATGATTAGCAGTTAGGTCTAATTTCGTGCTTTCATTTCCCTTAGACATTTGAATTTGCAAGCGTGTCACCACGGAGTCACAGACTCTGGGGTCAAGGCATTGTCTACATTGGTTCATTTACAGGACCTGGACATCAGTTATCTGTCAGAGGTTTGTATGTACCTAAATGTTTACTTCGATTTGTTGGTTTTCACAATAATATTTAACAAAGCATATGTAAAAAATGTTTTCGCGAGGTACAAGCTAATGTGCTACGCTAAAAATGTCGTTGTTTTAGAATCGCTTATTTTTCTCGTACAAATTAATTTAAGTAATTAAAGTTATATTGTTATATTACATTGTACGACACGCAAGCTAGTATATTTATGGAATGAAACTTTTTTTGGAAAACGTGACAGCATCCCTTGACTTAAACACCGGCTACCTAGTAACTCGTACAATATATTCAAATATCACCAATGAACTTTAAGAGTTGCTGAAGCTAGCTGGAATGATTTGCTAAGGTAGTCTTTCTCGAAAATCTATAGTGATAATCTCGAAAACAAGGGTAAACGTTTCTAACACTTGAAACTAGGATCAATGAACTAGATCGCGGGCTGTCTCTCTACTCTCTAACTTAATGTTTGTAAGTTGAAAAAAGTTGTCACCGATATGTTCTGCTCTAGGTCACTGATGCCAGTTTGGAGCACCTCGCAGCAACCTCTCGGATACAATCATTGACCTGCAAGGCATGCAGCTTGATTTCAAATGACGGTACGTCGTGTATTTCCATCTTAATGATAAAGTCCATTAGTGTATTTGCCTCGCTATCTGGATGAAAACCCATTTTAAACTCTTCTATATGTTATGTTAAACCTTGTAGTTTCCCGATCCGGAAACACGAATTCTCGTGACCGGATGAGTTTACGTTTGTAGATTTATACTTTTGAGAAAATTTGGGCGAGCGACACGGCCAGGGCAGGAATAGAATCCGGATCAACGACCAACTGAGCTATGTTAAGTGAAATGTTGAGTAAAATGTTTAGTGAAATAGTTAGAAGAATGTTTAGTAAAAATTTTTAGACGTTTTGCCAGGGCTTCTAAAAACAAGTTCAACAAAGCTTTTCTCATTACTAATTAAAAATAAAAATAGCTTCGAAGAAAGCAAACATTTTAGAACATACTTAAGGTTTTCGTCTGACACTCTTTAGGGTATAAAACATCGGAATGTAGATCAAAACACTACGATTGGAAATAAATATACCCAGTTAGCCAGTGTGATTCTGGCTAAGTAGGATGCACAACCCAAAGATTTGAGGATAGAATGAAACATGTCCCTTCTAGCATTAGAAACAAAACTCTCCCCCAAAGAGAACACCCACCTCGGTCTTCCAGATGTAAAACTACAACTCTAAATCCAGGTCTAAAACCAGATCTAAAACCAGGAATCTAATAAAACAATGGGACGGACCGAATTTCAAATGCAAGGCCTGTCAGCTTTTGCCAGTAAATGCAATTTAATCTTTAACTTCGTATCTATAATTACTTTAATGTACTAATTGGTAGCTATGTTCGATTGTGGTTAGTTAACATTGTATATATATGTATATGTATATATTGTTAGCTCTTGTTTTTTATGTCTTATAAAATAAATTTACAACAACAACAACAACACTAAAACATGCGATTCTGCTATCGGGCAGCATTTACTGGAAAACCCAGATTGTGCAAAAAACTATAATGGCGACATGTTTCGGATTATTGGTAAAGCCCGATCGCCGTTCCATCTAGCAGTTTTGGAATCTATCTACATAAGCACGAAAAAACCGCTATTGTGCAGACAGTAGGGGTTCGTTTTCATCTTATGACTCCATTGGTAACATTCTCAATAGGCAAACGGCACTGATTGGTCAACCTCAACAGTCATGTGCTCGTCTTTCTGATTGGCCTATTTCGATCCGTAACTGGGTATATTTATTTCTATCGTAGTGTTTTGATCTATGTTCTGACGTTTTATACTCTGATGAGTGTCAGACGAAAATCTTAAATATGTTCTAGAACGTTTGCTTTTTTCAAAGCCATTTTTATGTTTTGTAACACAAAAGATTAATTAAGAATAAATTGTTTCTTGACATTATAATTTTAGGTTACCTTTTGATCGATCATCATCTCTGATCGTGGTTTTAAGCGAGAATTGTTTTTCTAGGCATAATTTCATCAGTTCTTTTTGGTGGCACGTCATTGGAATACATGGATGTGAGTGGCTGCTTTGCCGTCAGTGATAACATACTGAACAATTCACATCTAGCAGAGAGAGACGAGGACTTGCCAAAGATAACCATAAATGTCGGAGGTATTGTGCATTAGTTGAATTGACGGAACTACATGGGGTGTTTTGAAACAAGTGATGACGTCACTAATGTCAGTAATTTGAAAATGCCCAAATATTTCTGGAATCGTTTGGTGAAAAGTTGAGATGTATGCATGTGGCATAGTGATCCTCTAGTGCATGACGTCATAATATTCTTTTTTGCAGATATTTAATTTGTTTATTCGCTGGAGCGTTTTTTGTTTTGTTTTCTGTTACACATTGTTCATCGTTATGCACTAGGCACATCAATGACACAGGAAGGAGCTTTAGCTCTTCAGGAAAAGATCGGTAACTGCAAGGTGCTGTTTGAGAAGAGGTACAATAGTGCGCTGCGAAATGATTATGATCCAACGTCATATGGTGAGATTCATCATTTTTTTTATTTTTACCCATATTACCGACGTCTGTCCATGTCAGCTACAACAACAGGATTAGCTAAAAAATTGCCATTCTTAACCAAACTGAATTTACACACTGGCCTCGCAACATGCATGGTAAAGATCCTCACTTTCCTGTGTGCTGCTAATTCAAACAATTGTTCTCAGCAAAAAGTAGCAGGATTTACTGCCCCAATTAGATTTTTCCATTAATTGTTATTGGAGCCGTTCGTAGAAAATACCTTTCTTAAGTTTTCAACCAATTAACTTGCTTGAAATTCTTCTTATTGCTTCCGGTGCAAGTTTTCTATCGGTTTCCATTTCATATAGCTTTTTAATTACAGGTTAAGTTGTCTGGATTGATTTAGTTGTAATTAATATCAAACGCATCTGAATCTATGGAATCGTGGGAGTTTACGGAAAGAGCTTTCTATGCGACCTAAGGAACGACAAATCAATAAGAATTTATTCCCGATCATTTAAAAATCAATAATTTTGATTTTTACGTTTCTTTCTTTCTCAATTTTATCATTCCTAATTTCTAATTGTAAACACAGGGGAACGCACAAAAAAGAGCCATGTGCGTTTTCACGGGGCCGCTCAAGTGACCTAATTCTTATGGCTTGCGAAATTAGTCAAAATCTTGGCGCCAAAAATCATTGTAAACAAAGAGCTAACAAAACAACTTTTCTCATTCTCTGTTTTCGTGTGCTATCTTCGCAAAGTTCTGTTTAAAAAGAATTGCTATAACTGCTATCAAAGATTGAACATTTCCGATGTTTGCCATGCCTTTTAGTTTCTAATTTCAAAATGAATCTTTCGACAAAAGTCGTTCATATTTTCAGCGAAGCGCAAGCTAAAAGCATAAGCTACAAACGGAAAATATAACCAGTGACTCTAACCAACAACAATGCATTCATTTTCGGCCCCAAAACTTCCATTTTCTATTTTGTGTTTGCCTCCGTAGCACGGATCGACACCCTCTTTTTGGTACCGTGCAAATATTTGGCCAGCCATAACCATTTACCCGTTTACACGAGGTCGCTCGCGAATTCGGCCGGCCAAGTTTTAAGAAGGACGCTTTCCTAGGTGGCCGAATATTTGCACGCCTAAGTGACGTCATTTCCCGTAATTTGCGGTCGTTTAGCCGGCCCCGTGTAAACGCAAGGCCTAAGTGACCAAAAATTTGACCGACCAAATATTCGGCTGGCCCCGTGTAAACGCAGCCTTTGTTGGTGGATATGCTTTATTTCTGGCTCCATTTGAGTCATGTATACCTCCATTTGAATCAATTTAGTTGCTCCATTTGAATTACCTGTAGCTACATTTTAATCGCTCTTACCTAACTTTAAATCGCTCCATTCAAATTCATTTTAGCTCCATTCGAATCAAGTGAAGATGAAGATAATGAGGAACAAGATAGAGGCTTCCATCCCTTCAGCGCAAAAGGTTATACAGTACGTTCCAGTGACCTAGATGACGTAACGCTGTCTCGTCGTACTATGAGTTATGAACAGGCTGAAGATTTCTTGGCAGCCGATGATCCTGCGTTGCTCGATGAAATGGAGGAGCAGTTCATGTTTGACTGAATATCATGACTTTTCAATGTTGTACTTTAATTTTGAAATGCCTGTGAGTGTTCATTACCAGAAAAGTAGTAAGATTGTTATTGACACGAAATATACTCCTTAAAGTATCGCATCCAAAAGTTTCATTTTTATGCGAACGTAGCGGAGGAATGATTTCATTTGTACAAAAAAAATGTGCATATAAGTTGCCTTTGGAGTTGAGGTTTGTTTTGTTATCTTATGTAGTTTTAGGATTACGTTTTTAAGGATAGGCCATTTTTGTGTTTCGTGATAGTATTCCATATTTCTAATCCGCCATTACTGCTTGGCCAGTTGCATATTTGACCTGTGTTTTCTTTGTGTGTCAAGTTCGTATTTCGCTTTCTAACTGACTTCTTGCTGCCTTTTTTAATTTTGCACGCAAATATTTACACAAAAGTGGATTGATTTTTAAAGTTTTATGCTTAATTTTTTTCAAAAAAGAGCTGCATGATACAAGCAAAATAATTACATAAACTAGAACATCCAGATTGTGTCAAAAACTATAGTGGCGACAATCGATATGTTTCGGATTATTGGTAGGATTCGGTCACCGTCCCATCTAGCAGTTTTAGTGTTAATATCAATCGACATAAAAATTGAAGACCGCTAATTTGTGTAGACAAAGGAATATCGTTGTACCCTTGAACTCCTTTAATGGTTTAAACACATACGTGGCACTGATTGGGCAACCTTTTCATCGATCATTTTTCTGACGTTTCATACTTTAAAGTATGTCAGACAAAAAGCTTTAGTATTTTCCAAAATGTTTGCTTTTGTCAAAGTCATTTTAAAAAGTAAGTTATCTGGCAATAGTTGAAATAGACAGGGAATTTGCATAACAATCTAGCAAACTGAGTAACCGAAGTTTTTAAAGTATAAATCATAAGAGTAAAGGCCACTGATCATTTTAAGCCCTGGGAACATTCTGGCAAATGACCGGAAGTTGCGTTTCCGGAAGCATGAGTACTATCGGAAATCTGATGATTCTATCGGAAAGAACATGCAAAACTATGCCCCGCCATATGGGACAAAAGTCTATTATACAAATATATGATGTCATTGTAAATATATTGTTTAAATCTATTATAAATCTGTTGTACAATTCATATCGACGTTATTTCCTCTAATTTAATGCGTGTCCACTTGACATTTATAAATTGTTGTCGGAAATTTCAGATATATAAGGTCTGAATTTGTTTGCAAATATATAAGGTCTGAATTTGTTTGCAAATATATAAGGTCTGAATTTGTTTGCAAATATATAAGGTCTGAATTCGCTTGCAAATATGTAAGGTCTAAGCGCGAACAATGTGCGCAGTGACATTTCCCGCCAATTATGAGCACCAGAGGCAAAAGACTGGCCTAAGCAATACCAACGAATATTAATTATGTCTTTCGAAGTTGACTTTCAACAGTTTCTGGTTGATCTTCCTGGACAACTATCTCAGACTCGACGACAAGCTTTCACTAGTAATTTGAATATGCTCGAATTTTGGAATAGACGTTTGCAAGAATTTTTACATGTTTTAAGCGTTTTCATAAGGAGGTGTGAATGTGCGACAGAAACACCTGAAAGTTTGTGTGTGTATCTAAGAGAGCTTTTTGTAGAAATTTGTAATCTACACAATTTAGTTGAGAGTAACATCTTTACTGATGAAAGCTACATACCAAAAATGACTGCACACTCTGTTAGGTGCCCTGAAGAGCACAATGAAGATGCCTGTGGCAGACCTAGAAAATTATTAAAGAAGGAAGAAATTGCGAACCTGTTTGAGATACACAATTCATGGCATACTGTAGCTCAACTATTGGAAACTTGTGACTTCCTTCACACGGAATTTACTTCTACCGTTGCCATTCTGGGAGCTTGCGCGACGACTTCCCCGAGAAGTTGGGCGAGTGTATGGGGTTGCGGGCACAGAACTAGGCCGTCTGATGCTAGTACTATAAGCATTGCGCCCAAAATTTCTCCCACGGGGAAATCTTTGGCGGCTGTCTAAAGAGTTTCCTCGTCGAAAAATCGAGGAAAATTCTTCTTGCGCGTTATTAAATTGCTGCCGGTCATTCAATATGGGTCTCGTCGGAGCTGTTGAGCTCCAGCACGAGCCGTTGCTACTTCAGCAGTGGAAGGCAAAGCCCTAAATACATTATTTAAAGTTTTCTGAAAAGAAGGATGGGAAATAATATTCCCAACCAAATCGTCACTGTTCCTCGCAGCCATTTTGTGCAATGTAAAATGTGTTAACTGTAAAGCGAGACGGATTTGGCGGGAAATGTCACTGCGCACATTGTTCGCGCTTAGACCTTATATATTTGCAAACAAATTCAGACCTTATATACTTGCAAACAAATTCAGACCTTATATATTTGCAAACAAATTCAGACCTTATATATCTGAAATTTCCGACAACAATTTATAAATTTCAAGTGGACATGCATTAAGTTAGAGGAAATAACGTCGATATGAATTGTACAACAGATTTATAATAGATTTAAACAATATATTTACAATGACATCTTATATTTTGTATAATAGACTTTTGTCCCATATGGCGGGGCATACAAAACTGAGCAAAAGATTTAAAAAGAGCAATGTGATCTGACCTATAAGCCAAAAGTTATGGCTGTGGAAACTTTTCGTTTTGTCAAACAACTTGCTTTCTCGAGTTTCCTGATCGTGCAGACGCATAGCAGTAGAATTGTGCATGTTATGATAATAGCACGAAGTTTGGTACAAGTATACAATCCGATATGCTGAATAAGATGAAGTTCATATCAAGCTTAAAAAAAGCCCCCAAAATTTTTTTTTGGACTGGGGGTACTGGTACCCAGTCCTCTTTCTGGTATAGCACTACAACGTTCTTAACAATGCAAGTTATAAAGCTGAAACTTTTTTCTGGCGCTATTTGACGTGCTGGGTAAAATGGGATGCAAAAAAGCTTTAAAAATTTCACAAAAGCAATTTTTAAACTATGGCTCTTGTGCCCAGTCCTATATTGGGTCTTGCACTGTAACTTTGTAACTATTTTAACTGAAACTTGATTTCCTGACGTAATCTGAAGTGCTAGATAAAGTGAAATGTAGCCCTAGTTTTAAAACTTCATCAAAGGCTTTATTTAGACTAAGATACCTAGTCCATTGCTGGCTATCGCACAAAAACTCTATGATTACGTAAGTTGTACAACTGAAACTTTGTTTTCTGGCGAAATCTGACGTGCTTAGTTAGATAGAGTATATGTCCAGTCTGCGAAACAAAGTAATAAACTACCTAAACACCTAAAAATATATATTTTGATATGACTTGGTGAGCAAATACTTTATAAGACCTTTTTGCTTGATTTTTGCCAGTTGAGCAGGGGCATTGCTAGCGGGGGTGTAACCCCCCCCCCCCAATACTTCATGAATTCGTCGGTAAATCTTCGGTTTGTTTATAAAATCTTTAGTTCGTCTGTAAAATCATCTAGCAGTAAGTGAAATAGCACCTAAATTCTTCTCCATCTATGTCTTCGTTGGTAAATTTTTCTATTGATGACCCCCCCCCCCCCCCCCCTAGTCTTGAATGTCAAGCTCATAATTCATGAAAATTGGAAAGAAATGTTAAAGAAATTGCTGAACATCAACACATAAATTCTGCAAGGGACTATGATAAGTTTTCAGAAATAAATAATACTTCATTCTACAAGTTTTGCTGTCTTCAAATTGCGGAGAAAGAAACTGAAGATGAATTGACGCATATTGAGGAAGTAGCAAATAGCGTATTGTCCCTAAATGAACATGGTAAAATGTATTTTGCTATTTGCAAATCCTCAAATGGGAATGCCAATGACCAATTTTTGGTTACTAAAAAGGCAAGACCAAAATCATAGGATTACATCACAAAAATACGTTGCCAAAATATTACCACTCCCCTAACATTTACTTATCGAATATGTCCTTGAACTTGTAATTGAACTCATAGTTTTGGCTTGAACTTTTCATGACGTTTGAAAGGTCTTAGAATAAACCTTAAAGCGCAAAAATTTGAACACAGTTTAACAATAAAATATCAACATAAAAAAGATTAGGAAGCTTTATAAAGTTTTTTTTAATTTGCAAAATCAAGTGGTAGAATGTTTTCTTAATTCGACCTTATTGAAGTAAAACGAGTCAGCCCATTCAATCCTTCTCTTCCATAACCACGCCCAACCCTACTCACTCCCATCCTAACCATGTAGCAAACGTCATACATAATCGTGGGACCCCACGCCACTCCCTTCTCCAAACTCCTCGGACCCTTCCCTCCCATAGCGATGTCCGACCATGTCCATCCTGTTCCTTCAAACTTGATCTTCTATACACATAACAATGGTGCAATGAGTACCCTGTGTCAATGGGTTCATTTTGAAAAAAAGATCAATTTCATTTTTTGCTATTTCTGTTAGCAGCCGTGATCCTTGATGAAGAAGTATGTAAGATACCCACAAGAAAGGGGACATGCCAAATTAAAGCCTCGAAATGTCCCCTCGGGGTTTCTGGCTGATGAGCTGCTTCTTTCTATACTCCCTCATGTTTTTCTTTCAGTTGTACAACTTGCCTAGCCATGAAGTTTTTGTGCGATAGCCAGCAATGGACTAGGTATCTTAGTCTAAATAAAGCCGTTGGTGAAGTTTTAGAACTAGGGCTACATTTCACTTTATCTGGCACTTCAGATTACGTCAGGAAATCAAGTTTCAGTTAAAATAGTTACAAAGTTACAGTGCAAGACCCAATATCGGACTGGGCACAAGAACCATAGTTTAAAAATTGCTTTTGTGAAATTTTTAAAGCTTTTTTGCATCCCATTTTATCCAGCACGTCAAATAACGCCAGAGAAAAGTTTCAGCTTTATAACTTGCAATGTTAAGAACGTTGTAGTGCTATACCAGAAAGAGGACTGGGTACCAGTACCCCAATCCAAAAACGAAAAGTTTCCACAGCCATAACCTTTTGCTTATAGGTCAGATCACATTGCTCTTTTAAAATCTTTTGCTCAGTTTTGCATGTTCTTTCCGATAGTATCATCAGATTTGAAAAATTCGAAAGTTGAAATTTTGCTGAACGTGCATTTTTCACGCTCCCGGAAAGGCAACTTCCGGTCATTTGCCAGAAAGTTCCCAGGGCTTTAAATGATCAGTGGCCTTCACTCTTATGATTTATACTTAAAAACTTCGGTTGCCCAGTTTGCTAGATTGTTATGCAAAAATTCCCTGCCTAAAAGATGCACCCGGTCTATTTGGAAGTAAATATAAAGGAAAACTGGAAATCTGAAAAAATTATCATGCACAAAGGCAACAAATGACTCTAATTATCTTATATTCATAAGGGTTTTGTGGAATCTGTTTTTCGGGTTTGCTGATTAGACATTCGACATTTTATCTTGTTGTTATGCATCGCTGAGAAGCAACCCTATCGCTATGGAACTAACTAATTTGGCCACCTTTACCGAGCCACCTTAAGATTTTGCTGAGAACGTGAGACAAAATGGAGTGACTATGTTGAGGAGAAAGCTTTACAAAACCCCGATGATAACGGTGCTCGTAGCGATAAGGTATGGAAATGACAGCCCAGGCTTGAACATTATCCATTAAATAGACACCCTTTTTGAAATAATTTTAAATTCAAAGTGACTTGCTAAGGTTTTTGAAAAGGGCTTTTTAAAGTGATATGCGTGCTTCAACTTACTAAATGTTGAAAATCTTTATAAAACCGAAACAACAAGACTTGTTCCAAGGTAATGTGGAAAATAATAATATGTCTCTCTCAAAGGAATTCATTTAGGTAAATAAGCTACATTTAGGTAAATAAACATTACATTACATTGTTCTTGTTGAGTAGGCATTCAAAGGTGGATTCATAATCACAAAACAGGGCACATTTATGTACTCGATTTATCCCCTTTACATTGCTTTCCACAGAAAGTCCAAATGAGAGGACAGTTACTAAAAACCGTTCTAAAACATGATAGAAATGTAAGAGCAACGGCTCATTCGCCTCATCAAGATTTGCTCATGTCAAAGGTGGTCTCGTTTCGGACAACAGAGTCGGTTCCACCGAAAATCGGGATGGGAAAAGGGAGGTAAATCGAGGGGTTTTAGTTAGACTATCTTAGTTCCTTATTTTATCTTGTGTTTATCCAGGAAGTTAGCCATCCTAGAAAATGCTTTCACATTTTTGTTTACCTTTTGGCAAAGGGTTTTGATGCATATCTTGCAACCTGTAGAGAAGGAAAAGCGGGAGACATCACAAGGGAAAAATTAGAGCTGGGGTCTGGGGAGCGCTCTGACCCCCCCAGCAGGTCCAGGGGGCGAAGCCCCTGGAAGCTCTTGACATTTGACCTTAGGAAAGTTTTGACAATCAAAAGAATTTGTTAGGAAAAGCATTGAGCAATAAAATTCCACAGTTTGGCGTCTGACTTTATCCAATGTCGTAACTATTATAATGTTGTGAATACATTGAATTGTTTCGTTCGTTATGAAAAGGTTGCACTGTTAACAGTGATCTTGATTCTTCTTTATTTTATACCAGCTTTTTTTTTTAATTATAAGGTTTTTTTCAAAAATCGGGAGGATTTTTTAATTGTCGGGAGGTCAGGAGATGACCTCTGAAATCAGGAGTCTCCCGGTCATATCGGGAGGGTTGGAACATATGTTGATGTGTTGGTCAATTTCAAGGCCAGCATCAATTATGATGCCTAGAATTTTAACGCTGTATGATGAGTATAAAGTAATTGTATTTATTTTAATGCAAATTTGTTTCATCAAGTTTGGTTCCAAGGAGCATAATCTTAAACTTAGATGGATTAACCACCATTCTCTTTGATTTGAACCATTTTAGAGCTTGACATAGATCTTCCTTTGTGTTACTAATAATTCCATCCAAATCACTACCGCCAGTAAATGGTATTGTTTTTTTGATGAAACAAATCAAATCATTGAGCAATAAAGGACCCAAGACAGAACCTTGGGGTACACCTGATACGATATCGAGTCAGTAAGTGAAAGTCGACTCAATTTTCACCCTTTATTTTTTGCTAGAGAGATAGCTATATGTAAATCTGAGCCAATTCATGCTGAAGCCATAAGCCTCAGGCTTTGCTATCAGGAGGTCATAGGGTAGGCAATCAAAAGCTATAGACAGGTCCATGAGTACCATACCGACAACACCTCCATCATCCTGGCATATGCGACATTTTTCAATTATCTAAAGAGGGCATGTTGAGCACTGTGCCCCATAGGCCCTGAAATGAGAGCCGCTTGATTGAGCGCTAGTGCCTCCACACTCGCCTTAAAAAATTTGCTTGCTCGATTGTTCGGGCACCTAGCTGATCATTACATAACTTCTCTCGTTGATTTGTGAATTTGCAATTTTTTTTAATATAAATACCAAGCAAATATCTTCCTTGTATTCATGTGAACAATAAAAAATTCATTCAAACTCTTTGTTGAAATCTTAATGTTTTCATGGGCCTCCCAAATCCCAAGTACCATTCAGATATGCCAGAAAGAAATGGTATTCCTGTTTATTTCTTTACCTCTTTCTTGGAAATGATTAAGATGGAGAAAATGCCAACTCCATCAAAACAGCCATTGACAAAGTGTTTTGTGAAAAGATGCACCTAGATGAGGATGTTTACCTAAAGTCAATGGTTGCAGCCACAGCTGATGGTGCCAGTGTAAATTTTGGAATTTATCAAGGGGTGTTGACTCAGCTCAAAACAGCTAGACCTTGGCTACTTACTGTGCATTGTGTAAGCCACAGAGTTGAGCTTGTAGTCAAGGATGCGATGAAAATGAAGCCATTTGAAGAGGTTGATCAGTTTTACCAAGCAAATAAAGCTCTTTTGGAAAGGTCCAGTGACCTTAGAGCCTCACTTTTACATGCTGCAGCTGTAATGAACATCACATGCTATAGCCTTCCCAAAAATAACAGGGACAAGATTTGTAAGTTACAGAAGAAAAGGGTTGCAAAGGTTGCTGCACGTGTGACCTATCTTCATTACGGCATATGAAAATATCATTGCAGAAAATAAAAAGAAAGCTGAGACAATTACAAAACTTGGAGGCCTCTTGTTAAAGTTCAGAAGCGTCAAGATTGTTTACAATTATCTCTAGCCCAATATATCTAGTTTTTGAAGGGATTTGTCATGTGATATTCAACCTAGTCTTCTCCTTACTTTGGAGGTGCTTGACGAGTTAGCTGAAGCCAAAGAAATTGGTGATGTGCCAATTGATAGTAACTTGAAGTACTTTTCAATTGAAGTAAATGATGGAGATGCAACTGTATCTATCTCAAGAGTATCAGCAAGCTGGGCATGAAAAAATGAAGGGAAGAAATAGTGAATTTACAACTGTCACTGTTGGCAGGATGCAAATTGCTGGGGCTGAGTTTTTTTATTTCAGACACAACTACTGATGTTGCAACCAAGCTAAAAGAAATTCTGACTGAAAGATTCAGTGAGTTTTCATCGCAATTATGCCAAAATATGAAATGGCTTGATCCCAAGAACTGGCTGTATGATGGTAAAGAGCCACTTGAAGGCAAAGGATTCCTCCTAAAAGATGCCCTTTCAGAATGGAAGTGTATAAAGAGGATTGTTTCAAAGTATTATTCACCAGAGACATTTGCCTATTCTATCTGGAGAAGTATGATTTGTAAATAGAAGGAAGAATTCCCCAACATGTGTTTGCTGGCAAAACTGTTATTGACCATTTCTTGATCAAACAGCTCTGTTGAAATGGGCTTTTCTATTCTAACCCTGATGTTGTCAAACCATAGGCTATCCACTTCCAAAGAAGTACTTGAAGACAGGATTGTCATTTCAGCAAATGATAAAAATTGGTTAGACACTGAAGGGCAAGAGATAACTGAAGTTGCCATTGATGCCTACATGAAGAAGAGATGTGTCAAACAGACTGAAGTATCAGAGCCACAAGATTAAAACAATTAAAAAAGTTACTTGTGACCGCAGGAGTGATCGTGACCATTTATCTGATATCGGTAGCTTGTTTGAGAGTGAGAATGAGATGGATGTATGACACCATAAACTTTAGATAAAGGCAACTTTTAAGGGAAAATCTTTTATATTTTTGTTGTTATTTTGAAATCTTTGTTGTTAACTCATAAAATTTTGTTTTAGTTGTGTTATACTTTTAGTGAGAACATTTTGAAATTTACTTGTTTGCGTTAATCTAAAAAAAAATTGCAATTTTGATTTTTGGACATTACTGTTTTTGCTTATTCTGTTTCATTTTTCATTTTTTGAGAAATACAATAAACATACCTAATTTTCCAGGCAAATGAGAACTCACCAGCAAAGGACTAAAATAATCTACTAGGAGCTTGATCAAGCGCCTTCCTAAGCACCTAACTTTTACTCATTTCAGGGCCTGGTGCCCCAACCTGAAGCCACGGAGTAGCCTAGAAATGTTTGTTTTTTGCAAAAAAAGGATTCATCTATTGTGAGACTTGCCTCTTGAATAATTTTGAGAGTGTAGAATGTACATTAATTGGCCTGTAGTTCTTTTCGTTTGTTCCATTATCATTTTTAAAGATAAGCGAGGCATCAGCCCTTTTTAATTTGTCTGGAAGTTCACAGTTCTTCATTGATCTGTTCATATGTTGGGTGATTTCCTGATAGCAAAGATTGAGACCATTTTAAGCGAGCTGATCAGTACTTTACTGCTGGTCTTTTTTGCACCATTAAATGATTGATTTCATTCCAAAAATTCAAATTTATCCTCCACTGCAAGTTGGTTTACATTTTGTTTGATCATTTGAATGCTAGGATGGTTCTTGTATTATCTTATCGCTTGTAACACTGGATTGCCCCAAATCACGTCCCCTTGGGCACTGATTGTTTCTTTGGGGAGATCTAGACAAATTTAGCCCTCTGGGATTCCTTCAAAAGGATCAACATCACTATTTTTCTGACTTCTAAGGCGCACAAATAAAACTTGACAAGATCTGTATTTCATGCAAACGATTGTCTCATCATCACACCCAACAAGAGACCCTCTCAATGTGCCTGTCCTCTACTGATTTTGATGTGACTTAGGCAGAATAAAACTCTTTTGAAAAGATAATGAAAGTTCACCTCACAAGAGATATTTCAACTACCTATGACATTTAACTGCATTGAAACTCAACAACTACAACTCATCTACCCTTAATGAATTATTTTATATCAAACTATCAAAAATTTCAATTATCCTAAAATTTTGGGTTTTTTAGATTTCTATTGATTTTCTAATTAACTTTTTTTTAACCTTGTCATAATCCTAATGCACATCAACATGCAAACTGCAATCTTATAATTCTTTTCAAAACACATCACAGGGGCACATGACTTAGTAGCTCATTTAGAGTTTTCATCATGTATCCTCAGCATTTATATATCAAGTCCAGAGTAGTGGTTTTTTAGAAAACTTACTTGTAATTAGCTTATAATATTGAAAATATGATTTGAGCTGATTTTGAGTTAAAATGTAATGCTAAAAAGGTCATTCTCCTATATTTTTGTGATGTTTTTTTGGAAAATTTTGCTGATTTTGCAAAACCTGATTAAGTGAAATATTCATTTTTTAGTGTGTTGTTATTTGTGGATGAAAAGAACAAAAGAGAATGCTGAAGTTGCAATAAGGGTTAAACAAATTTGAAGAATATGGATGCAATTATGTCATACAACCTTATTCCAACACGAAATGCATTTAGAGCAATTCAATCTGCCTCAATAAAGCAGTTATCACAATTGACAAAGCAGGAGCTTCGAACAATTCTACCATGCTTGTCAAGAGCTGCACTTTGCTCAACATTAGATATCAGTGATAAATTTCGATTGGTAATGAAAGAAATCAGAAGGATTATGGCAGGAATAGATGCTGTTACATCTATAGTGTCTTTGCTCTCTATTGATTTTTCAACTGTCAGAGAGGATGCCATTAAAGAGCAACAACTGAGGAGGAAAATGGGAGGCAACTCTCTGACTGAGAGCTATTTGACAGACCCTGTTGATAATACTGGCATTCTTGCTGAATTTGAAAGAAGTGAGGCTTCAAGAAGGATCAGATTAGTTTTGAGTCAACTCTTAAAACTCTGCACATTGGTATGTGTTTACTTATTTATGTTTCTATCAGAATTTAAGTCCGTCAGTTTTGCAAATCAACATTCATTTTTGACACATGACTTCTTGGAAAAATATTTCTTCATTTCTTAACAAACTAAAGTAAGGTACTTGCTTAATCAAGCTCCATTCCTTTTGGTTCTTGATCAAACTCAGATTTACTCTGTATAACTTTTTTCTTTTGTTGAAAAGTTAATAAGGCTCCTTACTATTTTTTTCAGAATTTACAGTTTGAGTTTAATCTATTCATTGAAACAAAATAGCATGAAAAGAACAAGCAGCAAATAGCCAACTGCGTTTTTGTTAACTTTTTTTTCAAAATTTACTCACAAACTGTGACCAAATATTTCTCACCATTTAAATAGGCTTGTCAGTAAATCAACAAATAATGTACAAGATTTGTGTGCCCTAAAATTTCCATTTGTCTTTTCTAGTGTTCACAGTATCATAATATTTATCTCATTCTCACTCTCAGACATGACAAGACTACTTCTGTTGACATCATTGTCACTGCCACTTCTGCTGTCTTTGTCACTTCTGTGACAAGTAGCTTTCTTTTATATATTTCTTGTGGCTCTGATACTTAGTACTCTCTTTTCTTGGTCTGTTTAGATGCCCATTCATCCTCTTGCAAAGCTCTCTTCTCCAGATTGAAAACATATATGTCTCTGTTGAAAAATGCTTGGAACATTTATTGTTATGTTCTTCTTTTCTAGAAAGGCCTGTTTTTTGAAGAAACGCCTTGCTTCCCAGTCACAATTGAAAATTGTAGCTGATATCAACAATTTGTTTGTTACTTTGATCTTTATCATCATCCAGCCTGTCCTAGGGATCAAGCCACTTTATACCTTGCTATGCTTTTGATAGAATCCACTGGATCTATCAGTCAGCTTTTCTCTAAGCTTGGTTGCAATAGTTGCAATGGTAACTGAAATAAAAACATCAGCTAAAACCATTTGCATCCTATCAACAGTTACAGTAGTGAATTTGTCTCCTTTCTTTTTTCTCCAGCTTGTTCTAATCTCTTGACAAAGACACAGCTCTACCCCACTATTCAAATCAATATTGCCATAGTTGGCTTTAGAACACTCATAACTTTCCTTCAAAAACTGGAACTCTGTGGTTTATACAATGCACAGTATATGGTCAAGATCTAATTGTTTGAATTGAGTCAACAATGCTGCTTAAATTCCAGAATTCATACTTGGCATTATCAGCTTGGCAACTATTGACTAAAGATAAAATCCTTATCTAGGTGCATCTTCTCACAAAACACTTTGTCTATGACTCTTATGCATTGTACTACAATCCACCATTTCCAAGTAGAAGAAATTAAAATGAGTAGAAATTTCTTCCTGGCAGCATTTTTGATTTAAGTTATGATCTTGGTTGTAATCTTTTGATAGCCTCTGTTCAGATTTTGTTCAGTTCAACTTTTCTTGTTATGCCTAAATTGCAATAGAATGTGCCTTTGATTTTGTGATAGATTTGCAACATACAATGTTTTGTCTGTAAAGGCCAGCATCGCCTTCTGAGCTGGGTCTTTGCAAGTTGGGTGAAACTGGATAGCCTTTTAGTGACCTGTGCAAAGTTTGCACCAGGCGTTTGTTATGATTAGCTGTTTTTTAATGATTTTAACTTTGTGACCAACCGCATTACCCTTTACATAATATTGAAAGTAGACAAGTCAAGAGCTGAGGTTGCTCTGACAGAGCTTGCATGCATTTTGTTTTTAGCAGAAATGACGAAAAGACAGCAAATTTGAAAAAATTAATTGCTTTATCATTTTGACTGTTTTTTATAGCCCCATTTAAACTAAATCTTTCATACTGAATGCTTTGTTTTCAAAATTGTTTCTTTGCTTGCTCTCACACATCTATTATTCAGAATGCCAGAGAGTCTTTCCAATCTTTTTCTGTTTGAAATCGTAGGTTACTGAGTCTCAATATGTTAAGGAAGATGCAATAGAATTATTCAACTGTGTTGTGTACTTGCAAGAAGTATCAGATATTCTTTGCATATGCTTTTCAGGTGATTTTTATATCTAATGTTTTTACACTTCTATAGCGATCTCTTTTTTGCCACTGATTAAGTATGTTGTAATTCTAGAAAATTTTCTGTAAAAGTCTTTTAAAGCAAGCACCAACTAAAGTGACATTTCTTTAAAAGAAATGCTATTTTTGTTTCCATGACATTGCAAGGCATTACTCCCTTATTATTTAGCACAGTACCTTTTTTGTTTTGGTTCTTGGTGATTGTGTTAAATAATTCTCTGCAGACATTTATTTACATTACTGGTGCAGTTGTGCCATTAAAGTTCATGACTTTTTACTTTTTTCTTTAAAGAAAGTTTAGAGGGATTAGTTTTTGTTTCAGAGCTTTCAGATTTGCTACCTGTAAAGGAAGTAGCAGAGGCTTTGTTGAGAGTCAGATTTGGGCCACTATTATTGTGCCGACTTGTTGGAAATGCACCAGACTGTTTTGAACAAGGTTTGATAATCTGTTTTATTATATTTACATTTATTGTAAATTGTCTTTTGCAATGATTGTAAAGTTTGGCATTTTGCATTTTTTTGTAAAAGCCTGTATTGTAGCTTTTGAAACAAGTGCCTTTGTATTATAGAGTCTTTTTATGCCAAAAGATTCGTGCAATGAAAGTTATTTTTAGACACTGTAGTTTTGTTTATTGCAGTTTGCTTGTGTATTTTATCAAACTCATCAACATCCGATGAAAGCAATCATGATACCAAAGTTCGTACAAAAACACTCAAGATGTTGTGCAGTATGAACCCGTTGTATGTAAGGACCCTCAGATCAGAAGCCATATCAAAATGCAAGCTTCCAGGACTTGCAATTGAGTTATCTGTTTCCTCTGAAGGTAAGCCCACCCTATTCAGTTGATTGTTGATGATGACTGAAATCCCATAACCCATTGATCAAAGAATGGATGCCTATTTTGACCAAGTTTTGCCTTTTGATATCTGGTGCCCCCTTCTCTACCTGTGGCTATAGAAGTACCTTCTTATGTCTTCTTCCTTTACAAGGAGCCTCTCTTTGAAACAATGTAAACAGTTCTACTGCAAAACATTTCTTGTTTTGTAATTGAACAAACAGGTAGCAGCACAAAGGCATCGCTAGAATCAACCTTAAATGTGATTTTTGTCTTTTATTTTCGTAAAAGATTTGGAATAATATATCTTTGAAATTCAAAACCTGTCAAGAACAAGCCAAGAATTTTATGTAGATTCTGGACTAGCCAAGAATATTATGTAGATTCTTTGACAAATGAATTATTTCATGTTGTTTTTCATGATTACTCTATCCACAGCAACTTTGATGACATGATAGATCTTAACAGAAAATGTCATATGAGTTTTAAAGTTATAAGCTATTTGGTATCAAAATCCTGTTAAGCCTGCTCCAGAAAACCCTTGGCATATATTTCTCTAGTTTGCTTTGAAACACAAGTAATTTATGCTAAATTTAAATGGATACTATGAAATAAACTCCTTAATAAACTATTTATACAATTGAATTATACAATCAAATTTTGCTAAGATTAAAATACTCACTGTGACATTGATAAGTGCTTGTTTGTTGGAACAGAATTTATTCCTACATTTTGAATTTTTCTTATGTTGATCTGTTAACTTTACAGAGACGCAATCAGACTTAGTGCCATTTCTGTCTGGTCTGCTGTTGACAAGTGACTTGAGAGTAAAGGAGTGGCTTGCAGAGTACATCAAAAATGCCCAAAAGGTGTATTTTTTAGATTTTTCTTTTTCAGATATTTTTAAATAAATATCCAAACTAAAGGTTTAGCTGAAATAGACAAAAAATATGACTTTTTGGCCCACCATCTCTTTATCTTTTCTGTTTTTATTGACAAATCTAACAGAGTAGTGAATGATGACATAAAAAAACTAATTTAAAATTTTTTTAGAATTCTGACCTCAAATCCTCAAAGGTCACCATCAGATACCTCTAGATTTGTAAAATCAGTTGAATCTGTTGCAAATCCACTGAGATATTGCCACATAAGAAATGGGTTTTTCCATTAAATCACTGTAATTTACCCTGGTTCTAACTATCTTGGTTCTATCTTGGTATTCTTTCAGGTTATGGTGTCAAAATTCCAAAATTCTAGAAATAGACTTTTTATGACGTCTCACTCCATTACTCTATTCTAACTTTCTTTTGATAGAAATTTGCATTCACATCCAAGATGTGCAATTATGTACATAAAGTTCTCAAATCACTTCTCGGAAAAGCCTCCAACCTCAATTAAAACTTGTTCTCAAGTCCTGCCCTCAAATAAGCCCTACCCTCAATTAAGCCCACACTCTAAATTTCGATTTTAATTGTCCATAATTTTCACCCATGATAGGTCACATATTCAAAGGAAATGGGGAACTTTTTATGAAATCATACGTAGCCTTTTCCCAATGTTTTTGTAAAAAATTAAAACCCTTTAGAAGCTAGACATTTATGTTATGAATTTCAGATAATGTTCAAAGTATCCCTCGCATTTTCCCCCTTCCAAGAAAGTATCCAAAATTAACAGGTCTCAGGAACTAGCTCGATGATTTTCGGTAGGTCTACAGTTAATCCCATCGTTTTTTTAACGTTTATCTAGTTAGAACTGTGGTTTCTAAAGCGAATTTTAGTGCTAGATTTAAACTGACGCTCGATTTAAATCTATTAACTGGCTAATTTTTCGAAGGATGCCCCAAATTCATCCATACACGTGCTTCGCAATCAGCTGATGAAAGAAACATTAGATGTTGTCAAGAGCTTCTCCCGTTCTGAAGAGGAACAGGATGATGAAAGTAAGGGTTTTGTTTGCCATCCCTGCTGCTTAACAGCGATTCCTTCAAACATGATAAAAAATAGACAATTATGCAAGAGCTTTTGTTTTGTTTTGCTGTCAATCAATGCTGTCTAATTCTTTGCTATCAAAGAAGCATATGCTTTGATTTTCCTGCTTTATCATTTTTCAGATATGGACGTTGATGCCCAGGTCATAGGTGGTGATATCCCGAAAGGCATTGCGCTGATGCGCCTGTACTGCGCCCTCAAAGGCATGGTGGGCTACAAAATTTCAAACGAAGAATCAGAAGCATTTTTAAAGCTGATTACATGTCATCCCCCTGGTACGGCTGGCGGTGTGCGATTTGTTTGCGCAGGCCTTTCCTCTCTCCTTGCCTGTACTTTCATTATCAGGTACTTTCATTTTTTTTCAAGTTGTAGCCTTCACAGACAACATTAATGGGTAACAGGAATCGTTGCCTACTTTGTAAAACAAGATGATCTTACTCTTTTCAATCACAAGTAAAACGTTGTTAATTTAAGATCTTGTAAAAAATGTTGGAAAATTGTAGGTAGAAACACTGTTTCCACAATACGAGCTATCGCCAATGGCAATAAAATGCTATGATAGACCTTTTTTTTCGGGAACCATCACAATTTCAAATCACACAGTCATTTTAGTTGCAATTAGAATTATGAATTATTATTTGCAATTAGAATTCCAATATTATTCTTTTTCAAATAAAACCATCAAGCAAAAGATCTTCGAAGTTGCTCACAATAGAAATTTTATCTTCCAATATTAGCTGATTCGTATTGGGAAATCTAGCATTACCTTTCATTATTTTTAATATTTGAAGCTAAAATGAAATATTAGCACAGTAAAACTAAAATGAAATTCAAAAGCAAACATTTGTTGGTAAAATTGTCAATTCTGCCATGAAGGCTCACGACATTAGCCAATATTTAATAAATAAAACTTTTAATTATTTTTCAAATTAGGCCTTTTTTCATGGCTGCTTTATTAGTGCCTTCTTTCAATATCTCCATCGGGGATCGTTGAAATCCTTTAGAAACATTTGATGTAATGTGAAACAGTATTAATTGTGAAATCTTTCTATCAAATTTTATGGAGGAAAGTAATGCCTTATATTTAAATACTTGTTTTGATATTGTTTTAAATATATACTTGTTTTGAATGGCCCTCAATGTATTGCTCTGAAATCGAGTAAATTTCTTTGTTGCTAGTTATCCCGAAAGGGAAGAGAAAGCAACGCAATGGATTGAATGGTTGTGCGCCCATCAGGCAGAATTTGGACACTCTGCAGCTGTCAGTTCGTCGTTCGGTGAAATGCTGCTCTTAATTGCAATTCATTTTCATAGCAACAACTTGGAGGCCATTGTTGACCTCGTAACTTCGACACTAAGCATGAAACTGAGGCCAGGATCCTTGACAAAGATGAAAATTCTATTCACTCAGCAGCTCTTTCCCGAAAAGGTGTGTTGCTTTGTAGATCAATCTTGTTTTAAGATATGTACTTTTTCTTAAGATTTCATCTTATAATATTCTAATAAGAGTGCAAACGTTATTTCCAACCTACCATTTGTAAGATTTCGTTAACTTAACTAAGGAACTAAAAACATCAAATCTTGAAGTCAGCGTGCCTGAATTATGTACAAACTCATTGTACACGCAAACTGAATATTGAGGTGACCCCAATAACGTTGCACTTTAAGTCCTGGTGTTATCTATAAATCTATTTGAAAGCTCAGCTTTAGTCATTAGTGCAAATTTCCTATTGATCATTTCCAGGTTGCTGCCGAGCACGTTTTGACAGTGCCTGTTACAAAGAATTTAAACGCACATCTTTCCGGATTTCTTCCAGTTCATTGTGTTCACCAGCTGTTGAAATCGAGAGTTTTTAGTAAACATAAAGTTGATGTCAAGGTTTGTTTATTCTTAAGATAGATGATTTCATCCGTTGATTTTTCGAAAGATCGTTCAACTTGGAGACAGAATTTGCTCACAGCTGTCTCTTGTAGAGTTTCCCAGTCTTTATACAAGATGAAAATAATTATTTGCTCGACCTCGATATCATGCCAGACGCAGCTAGCAATTTATTAAAGGAAACTAAGGTAAAACTGTGCAAAAAGGTTGTTGAATAAAATTGTTTCTGTGAGTTATTTATAGCTAAATTTCACCAGCGTTAATTGGATAATTTTCTATTAATTGTGCTAAATTTTTCATCTCCAAAAAGTACTTGTTCCTTTTTTTCTAGGATTGGGTTTATTCCCAGATTTGCACTGCTTCGGCTCCTCTACATCCTTTGATGGTGCCATTAATTGAAGCTTTCGTTCATGCAATCATCCAGCCGATCCAAATTGGCAAAACTGGTAAACACCACAAAACAGCAAATCTCGATCGGTTCTCAGAAGAAAGTCTGTTTAACATATTCGCAAAAGTTAGTTTTTATTTAAGATTCTCTATGTAGTTCCATAAATCAGCCAATTTTTAAATGCGTAATTTTTGGGGCAAGTTTATTTCTTGCTTTGTAATTGTGTATTGCTTTTTGTTTAATGTTTGTGCTAAAATCACAATATTTTCATGGATACAAAAGCTAATTCTAATAAAGATCCTATCAGTTCATGTAGACCTCTTTGGTCAGCTATATTTTCTTGTTCAAAAGAAAATTGCTCAAATTGCTGCTGATTGTGGCGGTGAAGTTTCGCTCGGTCTTTTCTAAAAAAACATTTTTCTATAATAGTCGATTTTCAAGTAAGATCGGTGGGTGTACCTCTCTTTCCAAACTGCAAACTGCAAAATTTTTTTTAGCACCTTGGCACTTTTATTGATGTTACGGGGGTTTTTCTCGAAAACAGAACGATTTTTGCCAAAGTTGTAAGAGTTTTTGCGGAGTGATATGACCCTGGAGTCAGAGCACCTATATCCATATCTGTTTTGAGACGGTAACAAACTATCTTTTTTAAAGGACCGCAGTGATCTAAGTCTTACTTGTGAAACGTCCAGCTTCCTGTTGATGCTGTTCTACACAATGTTATATCAAGACTGCCTCCTTACCAATATGGCCACTCTACGTGAGTTCTTTGTTGACTTTGTTTATTGACTTTGTTTATTGACTTTGTTTATTGACTTTGTTTATTGACTTTGTTTATTGACTTTGTTTATTGACTTTGTTTATTGACTTTGTTTATTGACTTTGTTTATTGACTTTGTTTATTGACTTTGTTTATTGAGTTTTGAGTATTGATTGAAAATGAAAAGTTTCCATTTTCCTCTTAAGAAACGTAATTTTTGTTACAATGCCCTAGTTTGTAACATTGAACTAGTATGTCCATTGTTGTCTTCTGATTTTAGTCAACGACCCAAAGAGGCCAATGGAGTATTCAGCAGCACTTTATAATCTCATGCCAATAAAGCAGCTATTGTTAACAGCTAGGGAAAACCAGCATAATTATGAAGACCTGTACCCGCCATTACTGAGACTCGTTTCCAAAAGTTATCCTCATCTCTGTCTTGTTGAAGACTACATGTTCGAAGAGGAAGTGAAGGAGGAGAAATCCGTATTTCTCGCCGAGCACAAAAGTCAACTGTCGCTGTTCAATGCACAAGTTTGCTGCAACGATCAGCTACGAAGTGGTAGATACTTTTTCCTTTCCAGATATGCTTGAAATTAAGTTTTCCTCATCTGCGTGCAATGGCTATTTTATTTTAAATGGGACAAATTATGTTTCAGCTTCTATCCAGCTGAGATTGTTGCTGCATTTTGACAATATTGATCTAAACAAACCAATTTAGTTGATATTGCCAACTCAAATAAAATCTTATTAAATCACGGTAAACAAGGTTTTCTATTTTGTTTTGTTATATTCCATATTCAAATTAGAAGCATTCCTTTAATTTTTGCTTTTTGTTTGCAAGTTAGTATGTGCATGTAGAAATAACATCTTAGGTATTCTTGAGATGGCTTTCTCCGAAAGGATGGAACAATTTCTGACGATTATTAAAAACTCTTTATGAACGGTAAACAAGGTTTTCTATTTTGTTTTGTTATATTCCATATTCAAATTAGAAGCATTCCTTTAATTTTTGCTTTTTTTTTGCAAGTTAGTATGTGCATGTAGAAATAACATCTTAGGTATTCTTGAGATGGCTTTCTCCGAAAGGATGGAACAATTTCTGACGATTCGAGTTAAAAACTCTTTATGAACGATAGAATTAAACTAGATTTTCTGTTGTAGTGCTGAAAGATGCAGACACGGCATGGCCTAAAACTGTTTTGGTGTTATCGAAACTTGTGTTGCTCCGGCCCAATCAACTAGTGGAGTATGCGGATGCCCTGGTAGATAGTTTTCCGTTCTTGCTTAAGTCGTCAGTTCCAAGAAAGGTTCAGTCCCTCTGTAGTGCTATTTGGTATAAGCTCAACACAGTTATTCCCAGAAGGTTCGTTTCTCTGTATTTCCACTATTTCTGACAATGCTCCGCTTTACTGCAAGCTTAAAGTATAAGAGAAGGCGAACGCTGTTCTTCTTGGAGCCATTGTAACCTAACTAGAATTAAAGTTTTCTCATTGTGTATAAGAAATAAAATGTTGCCAACAGTCTAATGGAATTACAAAATTATAAGGAATGCTATGGCTATTCTAGTACAAAGGAAAACCATAACATAGCCGATTATGTTTCTGGATATAGATCTGCTCTATTTATAGTGCGAATTTCACCGATAACGCATCAAGAGCGGTGTTGTATGAACTTGACAGCTGTGGGAATTCTCGAAGTCCAGTTCAAATCAGCGTATCCACGTATATGATGATCGTTGCCTATTTACATTGAAGCAGTATGTCAGCTCACTAAGGACTGAACTGCAAACTTCTCGTTTATTGTCTTTTTTTTAGTTATGCCAATTTTTCGCGCGTGTTTCAATCTTCCTCATTTTTCCCGGCTAACCTTTTTCCAACATATCCTCTTCAGACTGCTCGTATCTTCGTCTTTTAACTTTCTATATCATCCAAAGTGTTCAGCCTAATCTCTTGCAGAACTCCTACACATTATCTTTCTATCAAGTTATCGGTCTTTCTCTTCCTCCTTATCAAGCCATGTTCGTAACCTTCTTTAGCGGCTGATCGCTCTTTGCACATACCCATGGTTCCATTTGTAACAAAGGCTATCGTGAAAGCATGACATGTGGATTGTTGGAATGATGGAATTATGGAATGTTAGAATGCTTGAATTTTAGAATGCTGGGAGTTTGAAATGGTGGATTGCTGGAATGGTGGATTGCTGGAATGCTACAATTTTGGAATGCTGCAATTTTGGAATGATGTTTTATTGGAATGGTGGATTGTTGGAATGGTGAAATGCTGAAATTTTGGAATGTCTTTTCAATCTTTAGGTCAATCTTTGCCATGAAAAAAGCAATATATATACCCAGTTGCGGATCGAAATAGGCCAATTGGGAGCACACGACTGTTGAGGTTGGCCAATCAGTGCCGGTTGCCTTAATAAGTGTGCTGATATTTTTCGTCAGCTAGAGGAGAGTATGCAAGTTCTAGATAGAGAAAATTAAGAATTTATCCTCTTATGGGATACTAAATGTGTTATCTTTCCTAATTGCGCGGATGGGGGCAGCCTGAATGGAGTTCTTCTAGCCCACTCGATGCGTATTCTAGATTTTTTAACTTTTTGGTTTTCAGCAGCTGATCAAACAAGGGACCAGGGAGACCTTAGAATCTACCACCTTAATTGATCACATTGCCACTACTATCAAGTCGAACATAGTAACCTCAGTGATCGCTACATGGTATACTGTGTAAGAAAGTTCTGTCGGGCTTCGAAAAGACAGCATAAAATCATTACTACAAGGCAACTCAAACACTTTGATCAATCAGAATTTATAAATGATTTACTTCTCGTTAACTTGAAAGGTATTGTCTCGAATGACGATGACATTAACCTTATCGTTGAACAGTGGACCAAGATGTTTTCATTGATACTTGAAAAGCATGCACCAGTACGTAATAGGCGGGTTTCAGAAAAGTTTACTCCCTAGTTGACAAAAGACCTGAAGCAATTGTCCGCAACTAGAGACAGGTTGAAAAACAAAGCCGTGCGCTCCAAATCCAATATCCTGATGTAAGCTTACAGGCAGATGCGGAATAAACTTAATGAGCTGAATACAGATTTGAAGCGAGAGTTTTTCACTTATAATATTGCTTCGCACAATGGTGATTTAAAAAACACTTGGAAGACTATCAATACAGTCCTTAACAAGAAATCTAAAACCACCCAGCTCGCAGCACTTCAGGTTGATGGGAGGCAAATTTGTGATAATGAAAGTATTGCTGAATCAATAAATGAATTTTTTGGTAGTATTGGCAATACCCTTAGCGGCAAGATACCTTAAACATCTAATCCACTTCTAGAGAATGAGTACTCGGTAAACCAACAAAATCTACGCTTTGAATTCGAGGCTATCAATATGTTTTAGTTAGAAAGGGTTTTCGGCAAATTCAAAACATCTAAGGGATCTGGTGCTGATGGTATTGCTAATTATTTTATGAAGATAGTCCTACCCGTTATTACTGAATCACTTTGTGACATTTTTAATCTTTTAATCGCAACAAAATTGCATGAGTGGCCCCTATTTTTAAAACTGGTCAAACAAATGATCGTTCCAATTACAGACCGATCTCAATGCTGCCGTTTCTGTCCAGGGTTTTCGAAAAGTTGATTTACAGTCAGCTCTACGGCTACCTTGACAGAAACAGGCTTCTTTTTTCCAAACAGTCTGTGTTTAGATCGCTGCATTCTGTTTTCACATGTCGGCTTAACTGTACGAATGATTGATATATTAATATGGATAAGGGTCTGTATACAGCGATGGTATTCATAGACCCCAAAAAAGCTTTTGACGCCGTCGAACATGAAATTCTTCTTAAATAGCTGAGGAAGTTACCTGATTTGCATCTTATCTGGATAACGGAATGCAATTCTGCAGAGTTAATGGGGTTTCCCTAAAGCTTGAAAATATAAATTGTAGGGTGCCACAAGGCTCGTGTCTTGGTTCTCTTTTGTTTTTTTATATTTATTAATGATCTGCCATTTCCTCTTCAAAATAGTCAGGTTACTGTGTATGCGGACGATATCACCATATCATATTCTTCCAATAACATCGATGATCTCAACGATAACCTAAATAGAGTCTTGAACTGCCTGAAGCAGTGGCTTCGAGGAAATAATCTATCTTTAAATGTTATTGAGACTCCAGCTATGGTTGTAGGATCTCGAGCTAATCTTTAAACGATCTCTGAAGGGAAAGTTCAGTCCCCCTCCTTTGCTATAGGTGACTCACAGATTGAGATTGTTGAGAAAATTTAGTACTTGGGAATTCAGCTAGATCAACATCTTGTTTGGGATGAGCACACGAGATTCTTGCGTGCTAAGGCCTCTCGAAGTCTGCTAAGAAAATACTTCTCCAAGAAATTCTTAGCCAAATACATAGTGGTATCGTAAAACCGCATTTCCGCTGATGTTTCTTTGTGTGGGGGAGCTGTGGGGAATCCAGAAGACTTACACTGCAGAAGTTACCAAATCGCTTGCCAGAGTTGTAACAGGCAGTAGCTATGAAGCACCTGCTGATGCATTTACACAAAGGTTAAAGTGACCAAATATCGCTGAAATCATAAAACGAGAGACAGCGACGATCGTTTACAAATCCTTCAATGGTCTTGCACCAACATATCTCTCAAATATCTTTTCAAAGAACTCATCACGGGGCAGTGTCAAGTTGAGAAACTCCGAAACAAAATCATTCTCACATTCTGGTTTACATATGTGGAACTGCCTTGATCCTGAGGTTAAGCAAGCGCCCTCTTTAAATGCTTTTTAAAAAAAACTTTAAAGCTTGTATGATAATTATGTTTTGACTTAAACTTTACTTTAGCATTGTGATGAAATTATTTATTTTCGTTTGTAGATTATTTCACTTGTAAATTGTAGATTTTAAATTTTTTTCACTGTCCTCTGTAAGGCGGCCTCTGCCGACGGGGCTACCTTGAAAAAAAGAGTGAAAAATGAAATGAAATGAAATAAATAATGTTACCAATGGAGTCCTAAGGTGAAAACGAACTCCTTTTGTCTACACAATAGCGATTTTTTCATGCTTATGTAGATGGATTCCAAAGCTGCTAGATGGAACGACAATCGAGCTTTGACAATAATCCGAAACATGCCGCCATTATGGCTTTTTGCACAATCTGGGTTTTCCAGTAAATGCTGCCCGATAGCAGAATCACATGTTTTAGATGTAGTTTTAGGGATAAGTTTGGTTCTAATACTAGACGGCATATGCCGGAATGTGTGTTTTCTAAAGTCTAAATAAAAACTAGTGCAACCGTAATTTTTTTGAGGTATTGTTATAAAAGGAATGACGTTACAAGACCCTATTTTCTTCTCATCTATGTCTTGGTGAAAGGTCTAGGATTATACATATCTTTGGGTGGGCGTTAGTTGAATCATCAATGTCAAGCATGTCAATCCGAGGCTTTGCCTGGTAGCCTGTAAATGAACTCGTGTTTCTTCTTATGGGCAATCACGGTCCGTAAAATTGATATGTATCAGCTACGTTGAAATGGTGTTTATGCAGACAATTCCTTTGTTGTATACAATACTATTACTATATTGTAAACATTACTGGGGGCTACAGTACCCCCAAGTCTTTTAGCTGCTACATCCCTGTAGAACAGATGAATTTCTGTACAATTCACGGGTTATCTTTTTCAAACCTTAGCAAAACTATAAGCGGTGCATTAAAGTGCAGGGACTGCGAAACCTGGGAGGTTTAGCCCCAAAAAAAATCAAAATGTAATGTAATGTAAACCTTTCCAAGAAGCCCTTGCTGTTGGCTTTTAGCATGTTCAGCCCGTTTAGGCAGGTTTAGCCCCAAAAAAAGCTGTCCTTGTTATTGTGTAGGTGCATGCCTACCGTTTTAAAATCTATTCACCCAAAAGTCCGATAAATTTCTTTTTTTTTAATTTTTAATTTTTCTTATTTCTGTTTTCTTAATTTTTCCAAAGCTTTGAGGCTTTGTTGTTCTTGATTTTTTTTAAGTTATTAGGATTTAAGTTCTAACTACGAGAACAGTTTTTATTTCCCAACGGTCTTTTTTGATTGGTTGGGGGAAGTTTTAAATGAAAAAAAAGGGATTAAGATTTGGTTCATCTTGGAATATCCGGTCTTGTTGGTTTTGAACGCGTTTAACGGTTCTTTATTGCTTTATCACAATTCGCAGAATCTTTATTGCTTTAATTCTTACGGGATATTATGTTTATTGAAGTAGACAACTTATCAAACAAAACAAATTTTGCTCTTTCAGAAAAAGGTGTCCAATTTTTTTATTGTGGTTTGGTTTGATTGGATAGTTTTGTTTAATTTATAGTACATCTCGGGAATAGCCGATTTTTGGGATTGATCACAGAACAATTTCTTTATATTTTTAACAGATTATGGCTGCGCACTGTCAATGCTCTCTCTCAGGCTCAGGCGACTGGTTCAAAAGCTCAACCTTACACCGATGAAGAAATCACCAAAGACCCTTTGGTCATTTTACGATGCGATCGTCGCTTATTCAGGTAACGTATATAGTTATTCGTCATTGCTGACGCCAGTCTTTCTCACACATCCAGGTAGATCCACAGTAGCAGCTTTCTTTACCGTTTGCGCAACGTTGTTTGTTTGCTATACGTGCGTGTGATAGAGGCTGTTGTCCTTTGACAGTGGATGCAACAGTAGAATCTTCTCATAGAATTAATCTAAAGTTGAAGTGACATATTGCAAATTAGCAACGTCATAAATTAGCAAATGACGGCTTCAGCAGCAGAACCTTTCGTGCCATTTTGGTTGTTTGGATTTATTACATTGGAGTTCTCTGTTCCACCCATTTTGTTGCAACACGCAAACCAATATCAGCAATGCCATCGCAATGCCATGGCCATGGAAAAAATTACAAGTTGAAAGGCCTACTTTTTCCAAATATAGGATTAAAGAGCAATTTATTATATTTCGAAAAAAAGGTAAAGAAAAATGTAATTGACTGTCATTATTCGAATAAAGCCATGCGAGTATTACTTGAACAATTTATCTTGCTAACAGGGTGGAAAATTTCAATCTACAACCAATCGCAAATTGGAGACAGTGTGAGCGAGAGATCTTGCTGATAAAATCAACGTAACGGTGGGCATCATCACGCGCGAGTAGATGAGATTCGCTTGCTAATGTCGTCCTGCTCCGTGCAATTCTTTTAATCCTGTAGTTTTTTCAACGATGTAATGGCCACCTGTAATTGCTAACGATCTTTTCAGATACACTTTGACGTCGGATCTATTAAAGAAGAGAGCTTTCAGTCACTTTTTGTATAATTTTTAAATTACTAAAATAGTTTTGGCGTGATGGCTGCTATAGAAATTGCGCTATGAATCATGAGCAAATTGCCAGTTCATCCAAGAAAAGTGTCTGTTCCTATTGATTGTGTTTTCATATTGATTGTGTTGTTTTAGAATAAATGTCTAAGTCAGAGACAATTCCTTTTACTGGTAACTTGAATCAACAGTGGAATGCTTCTCTCGTCACACTGTCTTCATCCTCAATTGAAAACGTGGCGATCACAATCAAATCGGTCGTTTTTTAATACAAAAGAAAAGCATAGGAAGCAAACAGCTTCTAGAGCTCTTAATAATTGTCCAGACACTACTTTTTTATAGCAAAAACCTCGCGAATATGCCGTCTCGAAAATGCATACTTTGGCTGAACACAGACTGTCGTCATTTGTGTCCGTTTGATACCGTTTTGTGATGTAATTTGTCACATCACATTGATGAAATATATTTCGTCAAAAAGTTTTCTCAATCGCCATTGACTATAAACCTTTTCTCCTTTATCGTGATCTGTGCAAAAGCCCCTTCTAGTTTTTTCATTTCATGATTTTTTGATAATCGAAGAAGCGCTATATCAGGCTTTACGAAATTGGGGGCTGTAAAACAATCATGTGATCAGGGCGTGGTACGCATAACGTGGTACGCAAGTTAATGTTTTCTAGAAATCATAAATGTATAAGATGACAACCTTTTGTATGTAGTTGGTTTTTGCTTTGCTACAAAGAACATTGACTTTAGCGTAAAGGGTTTCTTCCATTTTCAGGTGTACACCTTTGTTTGACGTTGTCCTGCGAATTTTGTCTGCTTACATGGATGCATCTCGAGCTTTTCTCGCGCATCATCTGCAGTCCATCCGCTCCCTCCTGTCAATAGGACTATCCAGTCATCCAGCAACTCAGAAATTGAAAGAGAGGAACTGAAAAGTGCTCTAATCTCCGCACAGGAAAGTGCTATAGTGCAAATTTTGTTGGAAATGTGTTTGCTTACCGAAGAAGAAAGGAAGGTACCAAATTTTTAATACCGTCCATGCTTCTTAACTTCTAAAATAATTCAAATATGATTGTTCTTAAAATCTTTAAGATGGGACGGATGTATTACTTGGAGTGCTAGATGGCTGAATTTTCCGAAAACAAATTTTCTTCCCCTGCTTTGGATAGGAGATACATCTCATAGAAGTTTTTATTGAGCGTAGATAGATTTTCCATTGCCTACGTCACCCATTTCAGTCTTTGTTCGCTAAAACGCGCTAGAAATACTTTATAACCATATACCCACAACTAGATATATAATAAATATTATAGCTCTGAAATTTTCGATCTTATATCCTGCCATTTTATAATCTGAAAGATGTCTGACGAAAAGCTTTAGTATGCTTCAAGATGTTCACTTTTTTTAAAGGCGTTTTAAATATGTGCCACAAAATAATTGCTCGAGAATCGAATATTTTTTAATAACTGTAAGCAGAAGATTTCTTGACGCAAGAAGTCAATCGAAGACGTGACGCAGGAAGCAGTTTGAGTTTAGTTGTGTTTGCACCTTGAAAAAATTAAGGAAGGAGAGGACAGAGCAGAATCAGATGGAAGCCAAGGCAAGCTGTAAAACTGGACATGCAGTTGCTTTCAAAGAACAAAGAGATGAGGCAAAATTTGTGGAACTTGTCAACAAGAAATCAACAGAGTAATGAAACCAAGAGAGGCCAAATCTTGGAAATCAAAATTTTTACCAAAAAGTGCTGAACGAATTAATGAACGCATCCAAGGAAGTTGTTTCTTAGGTAGTTACTATGGCAATAAAGCAGTGGGACTGAAACCTTGATAGATTTTGCATTAATGAAACAGTGCACATTTAGAAGGTAAAGTAGCTGAATACTAAGTAAGTGCTATGCAGCACCGGAGCATCTGGAGCCAACAGGTTAGTGATAAGGAGAATCTAAAAAGGATTAAGCCGTAACTTATGTACACGAAAATAAGAAATATATTCAACGGCTGCATGAAAATTAGCATTTCAAGCTGCATTGAAGGAGAGAAGCGGCAAATTTGTTGATACAAGCAAAATACTGAAAAGATGGAAAGAGTGTGCTGCTGATTGTGCACTTTCGACGATAAATGGGGTGAAAATCCTAATATCACCTGAACTTAAAGCTTAACTATTCTATAGGTTAGGAAGATATAGCGAAAACAATAAAAGGAGGGGCAAGGTTTTCTAGAAAAAGGTATATCTCTAGAAAAAGCTGCTATGTCACTTTTGAGTGAAACAAGTCACTACTGCTGCAGTCACATGATGACGGAAATGTCCTGCTACGTTTCTTGTGGCTCAGTTGATTAGCAGCGAAGGAAGGACGGGAACTTCAGAAATGAAATGCTATTCAGGTTGGAAGCAGCGGGAATATGGTTTCTGTGACAGATGCTAAAAGTTTCCTAGACCGGTAAGATGACGAACCAATATGTAAAGTCCGTACATGGAGGAGTCCAAGGAGCAAATGAATCCAAGGAGCAAATGAATGAATCCAAGGAGAAAATAAAAATGGGAAGCTTTATCTATTATTGCAATAACTGAAGGAAAAGATCACGAGGAGTCAGCGTACCATGCTCTTAGATTGGCTGGAAAAATATAATGCGGTTACGAGAGGAGTGTGCAAACGATAAAAAGGATGTGCCAAAGAAGAGAGGAAAACCGTCTGGTAGCCAACGTCAGTTTTCCTAGAGGGCACCTTGACTGATTTAACTAAATCAGAATATAATTCTTGTCGTGCTTGCGATGGGTGCCACTTTTTAGCACCTTTCATACATTATTCTCTTAAGTTTCTCTTTTTAAATTTCTTTCAGCTATCAAGCACAGGGATTATGTGTACAATCCGAGAAATTCAGTGTCGCGTATGTTGTTTTCTGCACCAAGTCTTCATTACGGATCCAAACATGGTGAAACTGGTACATTTTCAGGTGAGCATGCAATCCCCGTACCTGCCATTCTCTTGATAAAAGAACAGTGCACTTCCTGGTCCTGTCCCTTATTTATCACAGTCATATTTGACATAGTCAAGACTTGAAATGTTCTTCCATCTTTGAAGAAAGCCTTTAAAAATGCCTATTATGTTATTGATTTTAAATAACATAAAACATACATGTTCTTGAATGACATCAACTAACCATCTCCACCCATTTCCTTTCTTCAGATGTTTATAACTTTGCCTTTTTGTAAAGCGGCGTGTTTTTATAAGTCATGTTCATTTGTAACCGAATAACTGAACATCAAACTGTTTTGGACAAAAGAAAATGCATGTTTTTTGCTTATTGGAAAACAATAAAACAAAAATATGAGGGCGGAGGCAGTAGCCTTCGATCGCTGTAAAGGATCCATTTTCTTTCTCACTTCTGAAGTTGAGTAATTGCCGCCGAAATTTCGCTTTTGGAGTACGCACACAAATCCGCACATCTTAGATCCATACAGATCCGATCCCGTGTAAATGCAAATCCAAATGGATCCGATACTGTCTGGATCTGGTCCTTTGTAATTAGGGAAAAAAGAACCAGCCACGCTGCAAGGATATTATGTTGTGCGTGACGTGGTTCTTGCTTCAAATCTTGCTTTTTGATCTTTGTCTTTAATTTTTGTTCTTCTGTTTTTATAGGGATACCCACCCGACCTGCTTTCGGTAACTGTTGCTGGTGTCCCATCTATGCACATATGCCTCGACTTTATTCCTGAACTCCTTAACATGCCTCAGTTGGAAAAACAGGTGAAACTCGTTAAACCTCTAGTCACTCATTAAACCTTATAGAATTATTTCATTCATTCCTCGTAGGTATAGAGCACGACTTTAAATAGGTATTAGCTTCAAGCAGAACGTTAAGTTACTGAACGCTTGTGTTACCCAAGATGTGACGGGTGTATCAAAGATCTTTAAAAGAACAACAAGTCTTTTCATTGAAATAGGGAGTCAGTTGCTCTAATGTTAGTCTCTTCAAGCTGCTATATCGTCGTTCTGTCTATTTTTTAAACCCAGGTCCAAATCCCAATCAGAATAGTTTCGTGTTTTTTCAGACTGCTTTGGTGAATGCTAAAAAGATGTGATAAATGCATTGTTTTTATCGAAGTTCTTGCCAATCCACTTTTATTATTTCGCTGAGAACGACATATTAAAAAGACGGTGTCATTTGCGGTATTGAGAACCGTACCAAACGGAAGAATCTTTTTAAAAATAGATTTTCGCTGCAATTTAATTTTCCACTGCCGCAGAATCCACACAGATTATGGTCAATTTACTCTAGCCTTCATCACTTTGTTTACACACGACGGTATCATAATTTTCAGCCTGTTTTAGAACGTCGTGTTATGCGTTCTCATCCTTCTTTAGAAATAGCTAACATTGCTGCATTCGTATTTATTTCGGTCTCGATTTATACACATCCAAGCGTGGTGACATTTCGGCTTAGGTTATCTAATTAGTGCCCAAGGGAAAAAGCAGTCTTTTATAGAACTATTTTTAGACAACCACGGTTTGAACACGGATTGAGCCTCGCTTCCAGCTTAAGCTACGTGTTCAATTTCCTGTTCAGAGACGGGGTTACAAGCAACATTTTCGAAGCAAAGTCAAATAGCCTCTCTTTTGGTGCAATAACCAGTATGTTCAAGCTTATTGGGATAGCTGTTTTTGTTTGCTCTTACATGTCTTGACCTTTCATTTGACGTGTTGTTGTTGTCCGTCTGTTTCAAATCAGTGTAATTTCTGCCCAAATTGTTCCATTAAGTTTAGGAAATGTACCTAGCTTTCTGTCTTATGTTTGCTTGAATTAGGCAGTCGTGCTTTAATACGTTTTAGACGTATTTTTGCTCCCTATCATGTCCACTGCTTTGTATCATTGATTGATTTGGCCCTTTTCACTGTTTTTTTCGTCTCCAATATGCTTTCTTCATTTTTTATTTAATAGTTTATTCTATTTTTTTTATTTTGCTTGAATCTTTAAAAGTGTTTTCATTTTAAGCCCCCTACCAGAACTTGCTGCCTTTTATTTAGCCGGTTAAGGACAACAGGAACGGGTGTTGTGTTTTTGAAGTATTGCGAATACTTCCTTATACAACGTATTTTTGATAAAAGCGGATATTTATTTAAATCCGTTATTGGCATGCACAAATGCATACAAACTGACATAGATATCTACTGGAAATGTGCAGCCTTTTGTCTGGTGAACGACTAGTTTTATCAACGATACGCCAATTCTTTTATTCTTCTTGTTGTACAGTCAAGTAATTACTGTGCTTAAGCAGTTATTTCGATTGCTTATTTCACAAAGCGATTGTAGCCCTTTAAGTAAAGTGAATGCTGTTCTTGAGACGGCAAGGAATCTAGATTAGCGTCGTAAGTCCTAATCCTGTATCTAAAAAATTGCTAATACGGTTGTTAGTTTATCAAAATTCCTTCGGTTTTCCTATTGAATTATGATTTTGACATGATCCTATGGAGGCCTGTAACACACGTTGATGATGAGAGATTTATCTGGGAGGGTCATGCTGAACGCAGCCGTAGACCAGAGCAGACCCTCTTTTTTTTGTAACTAAAACTATAATCAATGCATCGTTCCCTTTAACTGGGCCTAGCTCGTGTTGTCAGGCTTTTCACTGTTTTTAAAGCTTAAAACCATTTTGTAAATATTTGAAGCCATCGATTATACTTTTTCTGCAGCTGTTTGCCGTGCAACTGCTTTCTTTCCTGGCGTTGCAGTACCCAATCCCAAAGTGCCTCAGTGTTGCCAAACATGCTGTTAACAGACTCACTTCACTTTGTGCTGCTCTGCCTGCCAGAACGAGGCGGCGCTTTTTCTTGCCCGTCTTGCCTTGCTTAGTGCGGTTTTCCAATGCCTTTCCGCCGTTGCGACAAGATGCGACCGAGCTGCTGATCATTCTTGGTAACCTCGCATACACTCAACTTAATAAAGACACTTCCGCTAGTCTCCGTAAGTTTTATTTACTATACTTCGCAATCAAATATTTTTATTGTATTAGCAGCTGCCACCGGTATTCCCAACTTCCTTGCTCTATTCTGACTTTAATAGCAATTATTTTGTATGCTTATTTTTTATGCAAGGGATTTTGACGTAAAAGATCGTACAATGCCGTCTAATCTCAAAATCACCAGCTTCCGATGCTATAACGGTTTCTGGACCGGTCACGACAGAGTTTAGCGCAGTATTTAATCATATCTCGCATAGTATTTAAGTCAAATAAAAACTATTTCCCGCATTAATTCAAAGTTATTGCTCACTTGCCGCTTGCTAGCCGTTCTGTGTACAAACACAATTTTTACCGTAGAATACATGACGTGCTCTGAACAAGACACGTGACTGAAATTCAAGTAATTGTCCCCCCTGCAATTTTGCTTTAATACCGTCGTCGTAAGAGAAACTCGACTAGCAGAATTAACACTAATTCAATTGTGGTAGAATATTATAATTACCGGAGCATAGTTTTTGGCACAGATTTTCTCAATTGCTGCATTGTGTCTATGATCTTGATGTACATTGTTGGGGATTTTTCAATTTCCACTGGTTCCTTGATTCTAAATGGTAAACTGGCGGTTGAAAACATTTATTGTATCAAAGAGACTATTAAACACATTTCTAATATTAGCAAATTAACGTCAACAAAGGTGAAGGCTGTGAAACTCTCATAAACAAAGCTTGTTTTTTGCCCCAAGTCTCATCAATTTCTTTCAGCTCAACTCTTTCTCTCCTTTGAATTCGTGCCTCGAACTTAACCTGTTATTGTTTAGGGATAACCGTAAGATACTTTGTGGTTTGTTCGTCTGGGTGTTGTTAACCAGACTTATAAATGTATTTTCACTGTTTTTCATTCAATGGGTATTTTTTCATTGTCATATGAGTTGACCAGGGCTTTTAAAAACATTCGAACCAAAGACGAGATTTATTTGCTAAACACATAAGAGAGAGTTTCTTACATACTCAGGATTTTCTGCTTGAAGCAAGGTGGCCTATTGTACGAGACTTGTCTATGAGATTCACTTTCCGCAAAGTCTGTTGCAAATTGCAATCTTTTTTAAATTTTTAAGTTATTGTTTAAATATTTTCTCCATTTGCTGGAACCGTTGATACAAGTATTTTTCTGATACTCATTTCTTTTTCAACAGGAATCCGAAGATTGTTTGGAAATCCGTCGGTTCCCTGTGACGAAGGTGTCGAAGACGTAGCCTTGCAGAATGATGAACTAGATTCGTATTCGGAAACGAACGCAACGGGTCTGTTAGCAGATGATAGGTTAGAAGATCTGGGCCTGAGATGTGACGAGAAGATGTTTCTGCAAATTGAGAAGACATTCAGAGAGATTGCAGGGGCAAGTATAATAAGCACAATGTTTTTCGACGAGCAGAGACGTTCATGAGAGATTGCTGCTGATTTTCGTCATTTTTAAGATAACCACTCGATCTGCTCCGTGAAGACGAAGATTGTAATAGAGACATCCGATGTAGCAGGACCTGTGCTTCCGCCTTTGTACCCAAGTTTCTTCTATTTTCTGCGGAAAATACCTTCATCCCTCGGTTTTATCAGCAAATACCCATAAAAACAATCTGGATCCATGGTGAGGCAGACTGTGAAACTGAAAAGGAATGGCGCATGATGGACCCTATGAACAGGGAATCATTTAATATTGTGTTTGAATTATTTCTTGTTGAAAGTGGCTTCATGTGAGCATGCATGTCTTTGATTTTATTCAAGCTGCAGGCAAGGTGGGTGTTTAAAATGTGTTCCTGGCCAGTTTTTCCAGTCATATAGTCACGAACGTAGCAGGTGAAGTGACATATGACACACCTGTGTAACGGATACTGGCAATCCCTGTCTTACCTGTCATATGCGATTAGGCTTAAATCAGAGGCCTTGACGATCATTTGGATGTCGATTGTTGTCTTATGTAAATTTCCATGACACCAGTTGCTATGCTTGTAGTTTGAAGAAACATTTAAAAATAGACTGCGATTGATTCTATTAACATCAAAACGCGATTAACTCTACGGCTCTCTGATTCTATAGACATTGTAATTTTCAAAGAATATCTAGGTCAGCGTGATCTATATTTTTCAGTGAGATTAATGTTGTCCGATAACTATCTGTGGCACCTAATGGCTTCGACCTCGAGTTTTATCAAGAATACTTGTGCTTTTTTAAAGTATCATATTGTAGGAAATGGTAGTTTAGATATCATGTTTCCGTGCAGCTGCTGCGTTTTACACCAGTAGAAAAGGGGATTAGAAATGGGAATAACAATGTGACTCCACTTCACTCTACTTTACCTATCATTCGATAACAAAACCCGGTTGGTTGGTTTAGTCTAGTCGTTTTCAATGACTGGACTTTTTATTTTTCCAGATATTGTTTGCTGTAGACAATTCCTATTCTAGTTATAAGTAAGACGTTTGAAGTGAATTCAACTGGGATTTGAGTTTTAATCAAATTTTAGTTGGTTAGTTTTTTGATAAGTTTTCCATAATCTTGAATTTCTACCTTTGGTTATGCACCAGACTCGTGCCTGTCACTGAATCAAGTTCTTGAAAACCTCGAACGAGACAATCTACCCCTGAAAGAGGCAGCCTGCCTAACCGTTGTATAATCCAAGATTTCTTCGAACTTTTTGCAATGTCTCGAACTCTTGCAAATTGTTGTTATACTTGGCCATGATATCTGCCAGCAGTTGTTCCCAACATTTATTTGTAATTTTGGTCTTTCAGCTCAATTCATCCTTCGAAATGGCAAATGAGAAGGGCTTACACCCACTTTTGATGAATCCCTTTGTTGATCTCATTTGTATCTCTGCAGACCATTCTGATCTTCCCGCTTACCCCAGCCTATTTCTTTTTGCATTGCATTATTTGCTGTAGAAAAATGATCTGCATATTACGTGCTTAATGTCTCGCTTGCTTGTATATTGTTTTGAAGATATGTTCTTTCTTCTGAATTTTCTCTTCGCACTATAAGTTGGCGAACAAACAAATAACAAATATCCCTGTAGTTGTTATGAGGTTTGAAATATAGCGATTTGCGTCTTGGCACTGGATCAATAGCACCATAACTTGTTTCCTAAGGAGCCCTTTACATGAGACCCGAAATGAAGTCATGCCCGTGTCATAGGCGTTTCGGTATCCTTATGCATTTCTATCCGGGTACACAACGCGTGACAATTTTGTTTATACAAAAATGTACCCAAGCCTTTAAAAAAAGGGAACTGAAACGAATGGCGGAATTTAGCTTGTGAACCGGTCCCGGTACACAAACGCATGGCAATTTTGTTTATACAAAAATGTACACAAGCCTTTAAAAAATAGGGAACCGAAACGAATGGTGGAATTTAGCATGCAAAACGGTCCGGGTACACAAAGGCGTGACAATTTTGGCGACTCCAAAGTTTGCTTGATTGACAAGTGTGAAATGTTAAACTTGAAAAGCATTTTGGTCAATTTGTTACACATGACGTGTCAAAATTGCACTACGATGAAATCATATGATTGTCCGATATGAACAGTAATCCGATCCGTGAGTAATCCGGCATCGTGTAAAGCAACCCCTTTCCGATATAATCAGTAATCCGCATCCCTTTCCGATATAAACAGTAATCCGATCTGTGAGTGACCCGGTATTGTGTAAACGCAACCTGAAGCTGAAGACTGTTCTTGGAATTTTTTCTTGGTAGAGCAACTGAAGACTGTTCTAAAACAGTTTCAAGAGCAGTTTGCTAAAAATACCCTGGAAACTCCCTGCTCATTGAAACGCTGATGCAAAGATTGTTGTCGGTTTTATTTGTCCATGCTTCTCTGTAATAGTCATACAGACAATAATGGGATGAATCATTTTATGTGACAGCACCGGGGGGGGGGCAGGTTAGGGAGGGGCGACTGGATTAGGATATGACATATTTTGTCGCTTACCAATAAACGTAGGGGCCCAATGGCTATGTATGCAGAAGAAGTCCGGCAAGTATAATGTGCTAGCATTGTTACAAGTTTTGGTCAACAGAAAATTTTTGAGGTAATTTAAGCATCTACGGCGGCGATGTAGCTTTAGACGGCAGATTGCGGCTTTTAGCATTCTATAGTTGCATTCATCTCAAAAGACGAATTTAATGTTTATTTTGGATTCGAGAGTTCATTTCAATTTGAAAAAGAAATCCATAGAAACTGTAATAATCAAAGAATAATCTGTAACAGCAAATTTTGTTATTTTAGATCCAACACTTTTGCTATAATATATAAATAAAGGGTATTTCGCCGAAGGTGTTCCAAAATTGACTCCAAGAAAGTAATTTCTTGAGAGATTCATTTTGCAATACAGGTTCTTGCAAATGCCCTTGAAAATCAACATTGATTTTGGTAAAAAAGATGTTGGCTAAGATAATTTTAAAAACTTCATATTAGTGACCTGTATTGCGTTGACCTCTTATAACAACGGGTAACGAAGGTGCAGCGAAACGATTCTAGGAGTTTCTCAACATCATGGATAGTTGACATAACGTCTATCTAGCCACTAGTTCATTGACAACAAAACAGCTAATTGCAGTCCAACCAATGAGAGAGAAGGTGGGTGGAAATTGTCAGGGTTATCGGGCCTCAATCCATTGAATAGTAAACCTTTATTCCACAATGGCCGTTTTTTCCACTGTACAAGGACACAACCAATAAATTGTTGGTGCTGCAGCTGTGCCAACTTCTCTTTTGGCATGTCAACATCATTTCGTAGCCGCAACTAATAGAAAGTGGGGCGCTAGTTACAGGAAAATGGGGATTCTTCGCATAAAATTCCGTTACGGAAATCGTGGAAAACGGTTTCTTACTTACTTACTTACTTACTTACTTACTTACTTACTTACTTACTTACTTACTTACTTACTTACTTACCTACTTACTTACTTACTTACTTACTTACTTACTTACTTACTTTCTAACTTAAGGATCCCCCACAACTCCTATATGTACTCATTCTTCGTACATAATAAGGTAGGTATCCCTTCGCTGTGTACGAAGAATACAGGTACTGTTTAGATGCTGTTGTAGACAGACAGTTATGGTGTACACATCAAGCTAAACAGCTGTTGCCAGTTATAGATGATCTTTCTCTGCATGCTTTGTATTTGTCTCAGGCATTGGCTATGTCTCAGGGCACTCAGGCAAAACCCCCCAGCCAGGGAAGTTGAAGCCTTGCAAAGCGTACATCCCTTGACGTTTCATGTGCTATAGTCAGCGTTCTTTTGATTAATCAATTTTCTGCTGGTTATTTGTCAGTTGGTTAAGCTATTAGCCCGAGTTCCAGACTAGATACAATGGCTGTGAAACTCTGTGAAGTCAAAATCATAAAAGTTGGATAATCTGGCTTTATTTTAGTGTTATTTAGACTTTTACGGTATTGCCTGGACGCCCTCGGGAAGGTAGGAGCACAGGGCCCTGATATGCGAAGAAAAACAATGGCATTATTTACAATAGCAATACATTTTTACCAATCATTATTTTTATTGCCGCTATATCCGTGTTAAAAATTACACGATGCTACAAAGGGTCGATTGTTTTTGCTAAAAGCTGTCCCAACTTCCCTTCTGGCAATGAGACAATAGTTTCTTGGATCGCTGGCTTGCTGATGACGTTGAGTCATCATCATTTTGTGGCCGCAAGCAATAGAAATCAGCACACTAATCAAAGTGAAACGACAAGCCTTGCATAGCAAAAAAGGTACGGAAAAGCGTCTATATATATATGTATGCGTTCCCCTCGACCCATCACGTAGTGTACTCGTACGCAAAAAGTAATGCGTTTAGATCGGTGTATCGTACACAAATTGATGTCAAAATTGATCTATATTTGGCGGAGCAAATGTCTGCTTCTTTTGAATTGCTGGTTTGTGTCAACATCAGATTGTGTCTTCACTTAAAAGCAAGGCCTCTGGTCATTAATGCACGTGGCCAATTCTCAGTTTTGTTAAATGAAAGTGCAGAAGTGTTTACTTTTCATTGTAAAAATATATTAGTTTTCAAGTGTGCATCTGTATTTCTGCTAATGTCACACCTCCAATTATTCTGAATAAAAGAAATGTATGAGGTAATTTATATCTTGTCGCTTGCTGGTAGCAAGAAACCATTTAATTACGATGTTTTCAAGTCGTTTGTTTTGCGCGGAGTCTTAGTCAAAACGGGTACGTACATTAATTTTTATTCAGAACTCTTCTACGTGCTATCAATAATTATTCAGACTGGCCTTTGAATGGCCTCAATAAAAATTTGTTAAAACATGGTTTGAATACCTGAGCGAGGAATGGGATTGGAAAACGTTTTCGCATCAAAGCAATAAAGAGAAATGGTGCCGTATTGAGGTTGTCTGTTCGCCAACCAGAGTTGTCTTTTGCGTTCATTCAGCCATTTGCCAGCAAGAAGAACCTTCTTACTGTATTTCGCAATTTTCAAACTGTATTTGCCTTGCTTTTTTACCAAAATCTTAAAATATAATCTACCAGATAGCATTTAGTCTCTGTTTTTACATGAATTACAGTACTCCTTTTTCACCATGACAATGAGTATCTTCCTTAACTTGAAAACGACTCCAGCTGTCTTTTGGGTAGGATTTCTTTATCTCAAGGAACAAGCTACATGCGAAAGACCTTCGAAAATAAGCTTTCTTTGATCCATTGACCGTGAAAATGTTATCTTTGAGGAAACACAGGGGTAAATAAGGCCTGCAGCAGTGCACATGCTTTTGGCTAAAAGAAACGGTATACATTTAGTAAAGAACATCTAATTGAGCCTAGTTTTTGTTCTAAACAAGACACGTCACCATTCAAGACGTGACGGGGGTTAAACCAAGCATTATGCATGCAAAGGGGGTTGAACCCAAGCATTTAGATCAGGCGCCGCGGAGTAGGGGAGACTGGGGGCTATAGCCACCCCCCTTTTTGCCAAAAATGCAAAAAATTTACCAATGAATCACCAGTGAAGCCACTAATCACCAGACATATATCTTATTTCAACCCGACATGGGAACGGTTCATGATAGACACGTGGAACAAGAAATTGCATTCAATCTTGATTCAGGGCTTCAAACATGAGGCACTTTTATGAATTGTGCACCCTCGAATTTGTTCCGATTAAGCATAATCGATATAAATGAGCTGTGTGACAAACAACCCATATGACAAATGCAGCTAAGAGAAAAGTCAACAATTACCTGAAATGACAGCTTAAACTGGATTAAAGTAAGGAACATTTGAAAGACCTTAATTATTGTTAAATACTGAAGACGATACAAATAAAACATGAAAAACAGACTCACAAAATTTTGTCACAGCTTTGATTGAGCCAATGCATCTGAATTTCTAATAACAACCCCGACCCGATTCGAATGTTGATATCGCTGATACCAAATTGCAAATTCACCAACTTTGAATATAATGTTACTTGCAATAAATAATCTTTAAAAAAGATCGAACTGGAATTAAATTTAACACTCGTGGAAAGAAGAGAAGCTCGAGATTTTGTAAAAATGCCAATTATGACTAACTCCTTTTTGATAATTGTTAAATGAAGCTTTTCAACAAATTTCTAATATCAACACCGACCGATTTCAATGTGTGTGCGTAAAGTTCAATTTTCGCCTGTAGGCCACAATAGAGGAAAGTAGTTCGACTTTTTGGTGAGGTTCAAAATGTAGACCCTATTGATATAAACAAAACAACATACAGTACAGCTAATAAAATAAATTTAATGATCGACATCTTAAGATAAAACAATTACCTCTTTTAAAGAATATTTGTCTCATTTGATGAACAAGATGTAATAAAAAGGATTAATTAGACATAAATGATGATGAGGATAAACCTTTAATGAGTGTTCCGGATTATCTGCTTTGTCTCTCGTTCCATTGAATAGCCTTCGCTATTTCGGATATCTTAAATGCCAAATACATTAAAAAATTAAACCCTTTTCATTCAATTCTTGTACTAGTTGCATCTGTTATTGAAATGGTAGCCAAAAAACAATCTAAAATGCCAAAAAGAATTCCCTTTTGGCGGAATTTCTTTTCAGGTCTTTAGAAACCGAAGAAATTTGATAATGGATAATAACTGTACGATGACTGCACTAAGCATTATGAATTCACTTAAATGACTTGATAACTAACTATAAACCGAGCTTTAAGAGAAGATGAAGGCTAGAATACCATCGCTAGAATATCTATCATTCAAATACTAATTTAGAAGTAGTCACTCTTCTTTATTTCTTTGTATTTTGAAACAATGTGTGAAAATGCTTTCAAGTTTCCCAAAGCTTTTTGGACTGACCAGAATTTTTGTGTTATGGGATGAAAAACTGTAGATGACAGTATGCTTTTGTCACTTTTTTATCAACTGGTTTAGACCTATTTCAAGCTTTGGAATAGCAATTAGGGAATTGATAAAACGCCATACACTGTATCCTTGACAACGTGGTGTTTTCGCACTTGCTCGACACTTTGATTGATACGCAAACCGGTAAATAAACTTGGTGACGCAATACAGCAGGTGCGTGTAGGTCATTGACATTGCTGTTACACGAAAGTTCCTTTCAAAAGTACTTTTGAACTGCCAATATCTTTATACCTGCAAAGGTAGACTGAAGTTAGACGCGTATTGATAAAAAGATTAACCGGATTAAAGAATTGGCAATGAATATTTAATGAAAATTTGCCTCGAAAAATTATTAGCTCCAAGATAAGTCGTCGGATAGAGACAGGAAATTAGTCTTTGCAATGCTATGTAATCATGCATGAGATCATCAAGATAGTTGCCAGTTGTCATTCATGCTTCATTGCAGTTTGGTGACTACAGAGAAGAGAGCCTTGCGCTTAAAGGTGACATCGGTTGGTTGAAATTTTACACTTATGCATAGTTTTCTATTAACTTTTTTTAGGGTAGGACTGGTAAGGTTCATTCTCAGGGTACTCTAGTTCAGTTTTTCTCAACAAGTGTACTAACAAGTCTTCAGGAACATATCCAGCTTTTATTTGAAATGTTAAAAGTAAATCGAGGATAAACAATAGATATTTTTGTAGAATTCCATTTTTGTCAGCTGTAATGAGACTTTAGTGAGAGAATGACAATCTTGTGCGTCAAATTTGTACATGATATTCAATGAATTTATTCAAGAGGTCGAAAATATGGGATGGGTAAAATATTTTGTAACTCTTTTATCAAAGGTAAAATATTTTGTAACTTAAACGATATTGCTCAAGTGCATGACGACCAATAAAAGGTGAAATAGCCAACAAATATAAGGTTGGTCTTCACTAGCGAGATAAGAACAAACGTTATCGAATGTCCTATGCACAATTGGAGAGGGTCTAGACAAGGCTTAACGTAATTTTCTAGATAATTTGAGCTTGTGCTTTCAATGTCTGCAAACAAGCACATGTGTTTGGAGAACGGAAGGTTTCGATATTTTTATGCTGTGCTTGTGCTTCTGCTCGTGTTGTTGGTCGTGTTTCTGCTTGTGTCAAGCCCTGATTTATTAGCTCAAGATGCTTGCCTTCGTGTTTCTGTCGCTAGTAAGGACCAGTCTTTGGTGATCGTAAGCGATGGAAAAATTTTAACATTCGAATAAAACAGTGAGATTTTTTTAATTTGATACCAGCTCGTTGGTTTTTACATAGTTAACTTTTACATGAACTTAATTGGCTTTTGCTTTTAAGCGGACCAACCAACATCAAGTCAAAGTATAAAATATCTTTCAAGTCTGAGGATCAATAGATTGAGAAACAAAGTTTGATAGTTGAGATATTCGAAGGATCAAGTGAGGAAAGAATTGTCACTTGAACGTCTACCAATCATTCTTGAAATAATAATTTGAAAGCCATTCTCTTAGATGCCTACTGACAGCAAGAAGCAATAAAAGTAAAAAATCTAAAACACATTTGAAGTCGCGGGCCGAACAGGATAGACATTTATTGAATATACTATATAAACACAATAATACCAATGATCTCGCGGGCCAGATATGAATACACGCCGGGGCAGATGTGCCCCGCGGGCCTTGAGTTTGGCACATAAGGCATAGGGGAAGGAGACTTTGCCAGATAGAGTTTATGTGGCCATGGCAGTTGTCCGCCAACTAACGAAGTCTTTCGCCTGACTGAAAACTGGTTCCACACAATGTTACAAAGGAGCTGGAGTCCTCAAGGGGCATAGAATTCCAAAAAATGTGTCAGCTTGATGGTTTCAGATAGTTTTAAGAGGACAGTTCAATGGGCAAACAAGGGGAGAATCTTTTCAAGGCAAAGCGTACCTTGATAGAGTTTAACATATGAATCTGTATAAGCAAAAATATCTAGAAGACAAATGTTCAGGTTGGGGTTGTTAAGGTATTTTAGGCCTTCTAGAGCACCTTATCAGGAGAACATATCTGTTATCAGAGGGTCTCGTACTTTCAACAAAGAATTGTGTCGCAAGATCAGCTTTCTTATTTCACAGAGGCAGTAAGCGATCTACATCAAAGCAAAAAGACTTAGCACCCTTTTCTACGTAGATAAGAAACGAACAAAACTTCAGTTTCCATCCGGATCGGATCTTTCTTTCTTTCATTCATGTTATCGGACGGTTAAAGAAAGATGATGTCTTTGAATGTTATATATTCGGTTCAGAATTCATCAAGTATCTTGAAAATACAGACCTTGTAGCCCCTTGTATCCTAATTACCTGGCATCCTTTGGCATTTACGATATTTTACGATTAAAAAGCAGAATTTCATTAAACCCTTTTCACCTTTTGAGGGGGTTAAGCTATGATGAAAGAACAGAAGCAAGGAGAATAAAATACGAGACATTTGTGTAATGTTCTTGGCCATATTTCAAGCAATAATTAATCCTTTTATGCTAAAGGCTGAATGTTCATTAGATGTTGGTTATTAAAATTTTGATGAATTTTCTGAGGGATATTTCTGTTATTTGACTTGGTTTGAAAATATATTATTAAAAAGACCTTTGGTACCGCAAAATTTTGCTAACTTTTAGCCATTATTCGACATTCATACTGTGAAAAAGTACGTAATTATACTACCTTTCCGCTTTATTGTTCTATATCTTGAAAGACATTGCTTTTAGGGGATACTTAGAGAGGGTCAAATTGAGATGGATGCTGTTGGTGCTGCATTAGGCCAATTCCTGAAAAAGGTTCAGATGAAAACAGAAGAGAATTTTCCCGAGGTTGAATAGGCCCAATAATAGGTTTTTTGTGCTGAAGCATCAGGCGCATTTTTGGCTCCATCTGGCACTGTGCGTAGTATTTAAAAAGTGATTGAATGTTAAAGAGAAGCAGCATCCACAGAAGAGGTTATCCATTTTTACGTTTAAAACATTTTCATCTATTTCAAATGCTTCTCACCTTTTGAAATCGCACATTCGTAGCAAGTGCGGAAAAACCCAGGCTAGGCCCTGGTTAGTTGCTACCTGGATAAGGCCAGAGCTAGTGTGTACACAGAGAATCTGGGTATGGTCTGGGCTAGTTTGGCCCAAGTTCTGAGATTGACTAAGGCAGCCTTTCCACTAGCCTGGGTTAAAACATACCCGGGTTAAAAGTTATCCGTTTGAAAGTGAGTCAATGGAAACGGCACTTTTCTTTGACCCGTTTTTAATCCGTTTTTGATCGTTCCCACTAAGCCGGGTTAAAATGTATCCAGGGTGAAAAGTTGTAAGAGAAATCAGTATTTGCATCAAAAATCTTTCAATTTTTATCGTTGTAGGCCAATGGAAGCAACATCGACATCCAGGATTTTGTTTTTTTATTTTTGGCGCCGTCTCAATTTTTAAACGTTGCTGTTGTTGCAGGTGAGTCAAAAGATACCCGGGTAAAAACTGACCCACTTTGAGACCCGTTTTCAAACTTATCCGTTTTTCAAGTGGGTAAGTGGGAACGCGACGTAGAAACGGATAACTTTTAACCTGGATATGTTTTAACCCAGGCTAGTGGAAAGGCTGCCTAAGCCCATGCCTAGACTGGGCCTTGTCAATGGAAATTTGGTAAGAACTTATCTTGGACCGGGTTTTGGTTTTTATCTCTTTCAGCGGACTTTTCTTTCTTTTTGAAAGATGTTGCCCACAAAGACCAGCGCAGGTTGCGATTTTTCCTTCTTAATCTTTATTCTAGAACGTTTTGCACGTCTAAAAACGTTTTGAAAACTCTAACCTTTTTTATTCATATCATTCGGCAGAAAGCTAGCCGATTACCCTTACTGCGCCTGCTTAAAAGCAGACAAGAGCCCGGCCCGGGTTTATATGCAAACTGTGGCTCAGTCTCTACTTTATTGGCCAAGCTTGGGCTAGTTGTTATCCTAGACGAGCTAGATGTTTGCAATGTGTCAACGGGGCTAGACGGTTTTCAGAATTGATGCTTTCAATCCGTTTCTTGTTGAAGTTGAGGGTAACATGAAATTAGCAGTTAATCCGTTGTAAAAACGTTTGTTTTGGAAAGTCTGACTTCTTGATTGTGTCATGATAATTGCAATCTGGTAAATCTAAAGGCACGGATTAGCAGACACGAAGTTCAACGAAATTATTCATTACTTTGCGTCAGTCAATGACAATTGATTCGCCAATATAGAAATTGGCTTGCGGTGCTTCCATTTATCGTCAGGACAAAACACCTTTCATAACCAACTAACTCACCTCATCCTGCAGCTTCTGTTCTCTTTGAAGATTTACTTCTTTCACTGCTTTCATGTGATAAAGCGAAAGTATTTGTTGCTCCATAGAACCCTGGAAATATAACCTGCAAATATATACGTAATTTTGATTTTAATTTGAAAGTTTAAAAATTGATCGTATGTGATATTATTGGTGCATTTTAAAATTTAGAACACTGAGTGAGCTGCTTCGATTGGTAGAATTGGGTGCATCCTAATTGTGTGTCTTATAACTTGATCCAGAGATGTTGGTTGAGTTATGGGCTTGATACTCAAAATAAAGTCTATGTCATTAATATTTCACAACTTCAGTTTAAAACTTGCATTTACAGAATTTGAGGAAAATATAATATTGAATTAGGACGTGGCCGGACCAACTATTATGGGCTAGCTTCGCCACTGCGTAGCTTTTCAAAAAATATGCACTTGAGATCATGATATTTCTTATAATATCATGTCAATTGAACCGGAAGCTCTATTTTTTTATCGACAAAGTCATTTCTATGCCACCTTTAGAACTATCATTTTCGACCAGTCCCCTAAGGCTTTGTGCGATCAGCACTATAGTTTTTAACTTTGTGGCCATCATAGGGTTCGGTTTCTTATAGAAGCCGGCACGTAAGCATCAGGGGTGAGGGAACTGTCACGCGCCCCCTTAAGTTCTTTGAATTAGTCGGAAAATTTGAGAGTAATCGAAAAAGCCAAGACGTAATTTCATTGCTAATTTACCAGAGAATGATATTGCACGACGCTCTTCAAGGCCGTAGGTACGTTGGGGGTGCGGCAAATCCCCCTGGCAAAACCTCAGTCGGCAAATCAAGTAAAAAGCTACATTCAGTCGGCAAATTGAGGAACAGCCTGAAGTTGACAAAAGAACAGTATTCCTAAGTTATGTTAACTTTTGCTAACTGTTAACTGAAGCTGAGCATGTTCTAGCCTCGTTCTTATTTTTGGGCAAATCGAGCCTCAGTGTTCTTATAAAAAAAGTGTATAGCTTGACATCTCTAGCGACGGCCCTGCAGTCGCAGCATACCCTAGGTAACAGAACCACATTAAAACCCTCAGAGGTACAATACAACCGTACCTTTATCAATAGCAATATTTTCGTTTGAACAATTGCCCTTTTTCATCGAAAACTACGCTCCATTAAGGCAGACACTCCATTAACTAATCAAAAATTATGGAGAATGCTTTGGATGGTTGTTGTCATGAAGGATGCCTATGCCATGCGTACTTAAGACGCTGTAGATGGAAAATAGGACGAAAAGATCATGAGAACAATTAATTGCATGCACTGTACTCTCTTTTGAAGCAAAGTTAGTCTAAAACTTGCAGGACAACTCAGTTCCCGCGCTCATGGGATGATATCTATTAGGCAACCTTAAAATTAACACTTACGCAAATATTAAATTCTGGAAATTTACGGAGCATCAACACAAACTTTTGAGAAGGAGGAAGTCAGTTTTGCATCCGGTTAAATCGGAAATACACTTGATAAAGGAACCCCTGCACAAAATTATTTGATCAGGGCCATTGAAAGAGGGGAGTTTTCCTTCGGGTGGGGCTGGACTGTAGCTCCTATCAATAGCTTAACTGTATGCAGTTTTCTTTATAGCAGAATAGTAAATGAGAAGCAACTGATTAGGCAGCTCTAGCCACCTCCCCCTAGTATATAAATTTCGCTGTGATTACACTAGCATCCCGCTCTCTTATCTCAGGCAGTCAACATAAATTATCTCTTCATTGCCAAAGATGTTCTAAATTTGGAATATTTTTGTCTGAAATTCACATGTAACATTGTTATTCTGAACCCTATTGAAGTTATTTACACCACTGTAATCTTGTTTTATTCGAAGAATGTCTCCGTCCTTTGTGTGGGTTTACCAAGTTAACCACAGTTGTCGATTGTCCCTACATTACACCCCTCTTCCTCTAAAGTTGTTTGAAAATGAGGCTTATTTCAATTAACCAATTGCGTCCCCCGTCTATTAAAAATAATTGGTTGACTGCTCTGTAATTGTCTGTAGTTATATGTACGATATCTTCCGTTTAGATTCATCGAAGCTTTCTGAAACAACGTCAAGCAACAAATGTCGGATTGATCGCGCAACAAAATTTGGTGATTAAATTGAAACTGCAATCCAGTCAGAAACTTGCAAGTTGTAAAGGAAAAGTTCTGCCAAGGAAGCAGTTTGATTCTTCCCTTTTCAACAAAGCATTGATTGCAGCGGCACCATAGAGACTTGAGTCATTTGTCAGAAAGGGTTGGAATAAGTCTCCGAGGAAGCAATGGAAGAAAGACTTTCTAAAGAGTTTGTTCTTGTATTTGTGGTCTTATTTCTAAACGGTGAGTGTTGTACTTTTTGTGGTGTAATTATGATACTCCGAGGCAAAACGTCATTAATTCTGAATGATAATCATTGCTGGTTTTATTTGGAGGCTATAACAGCAAGAACAACTGCATAAAACGCTCGAAAGTTTGAATTCGCTGACTTTGAAAAATGCCATTGTTGCATTTGAAGGATGCAGTCAGGCCACATTTAATTTGGTCAGCTCTGGCGGCAATAGCCAATTTAACAACAGTCATTGTTTACTTGAGCGCATGTGGGAAGCTGGACAAGGGACATCGACAGCAATTTCTTTCCTGTTTTGCAAGCTATGGGCAACTTTTCTGAGTCTGATCTACATTTCGCAATCACTTGCTTTGAGGAAGAAAAAATGAATTTTGTTTATGTGCGCGTATCGAAAAGACAGTCATTGTCATTATAATTTGGCTGCAGTATTTTGTCCATCTATTGTGCATATAACCGTACGTTGCACGCGTGGCTCATTTACAAATTTAACAGCGCCTTGTTGGCGTCAACAAATTTCATAAGAAAGCATGAAACAGGAAACGCTTGATTTGAAAATTGTAAATGGCAGTCTGTCCCCTCCGTGATTGGCTAATTCTAAGTTAAAGCCTCGCCTTTAGAGGGGCTTCATTTGCCTTTTTAGCGTCCGATTTTAGGGATTTTTAGCGTCCGAAGTTATTGTAGGTGAGCACGACAAAAAAGTGGTCTAACCTTTGTAACATCGAAACTGACTTGGACGATTGACACTAAAACAAAATTCACAACTCAGAGAGAGAGTTACGCTATGGTGGTTCTTCATTCAGATGGGTTATTTTTGCATTAAACCAACGATGCATGAATATCGTGGCCATGAAGAGAAATTCTGAGAACAATTGGGGACAGACTGCCTTTGTAGAAATGCTGAAAATCATGACCAAATTACCATGAAATTGATTTGAAGTTGTTTTCTGGGAATGGCAAGCACTCAAATCGTCAGCAGCGTCTTTTAAGTATTTTGTTGTTTGTTCTTCATAGGAGTGGCATTATCCTTTAGAAGTAACAACCGGAAATATTATTTCGAGATCAATCAAAAAAGCTAGCACCACTTGAAACCACAAAAACGGATGTGGAATTATTACTTTCCTGGATAATATTACTAAACAAGCTGCAACTTCCATGCCAAGCTATCGCTGCGTGTACATTTCATGAAAATTTTCAAAGTAAAATGCGCGAGTGATCAGATGACATGTTTATCTCTCTACCAAAACGTGCTTAAAATCATACAATGAATCATCTTGCTCTTGGCTTTTAGCATTTTGACCCCAAAACTTTTTAGCCAACACATTCCCAGTCATCCTCCATCCTCTTTTATAGCAAAGGCGAGGAAGGAGCATTGGGACCATTAATACTGTATTTAACCATCAAGAATTATTCTTACTATCGAATTTTGGAATTCCTTAGGAGCTGAGCTGCTTAATTCCTGAATCGATTGATTGAATCCAGCGTCCGTACTTGCTCCATTTCTTTGTTCCAGCTAACAGACTACTGACTGGCCCATTTAAGAAAGATGACATCTTGCACTCAATATGCGTTTGGAATCAGTTCATTTTATCCAGGTTTTTGTGTCCTCCGAATAGTAGTGATCCAACCAATTTGGCCTGATAAAATTCCATTTCCATTCAACTACTCCTTAATGAAATCGAATGAAAAGATGCGTTTTAGTTTTAGCTATAAACAGTCCACTTAAATATACTTGAAAGTTTTATTGTTATTACCAAAAAACCTTTGGTATATTGATTTATTGACAAGACAAATTTTTAAATACCTTTAATATTCTGTCGGACAAATTTTCAAAACATGCTGTTTGTTTCGTGTAATATTGACATTGCAAGACAACTTATTCTGGTGACAACCTTACCTTTCGGTGAATTTCGGATTTTAACAATCTTATTCATTTAGAAGTCACACTTGATATTATACTAAGGATAAAACCTTTCTTAACACATTTTACTTTTACGTAAAGCCTTTCATGTTTTTCTATAACGAACAACCTTTACACAATGTTTACATTTAAAATCTCTAGAATCGTCCTTATCTCAGGGTACAGTTGTATTTGCTAAAAGAAAGCGAAATAACTTTAAATCCTGGATTGGTGGCAAAGTTTTGCACAGTAAATTGCGATAAGAACTTTTGAAGCTCGGATTTTTTCCATCACACTACTAATTTTATGTTGCAGCACACTGCCAGAAAATAAATTCATAATTCAATCAGATTTTTATGCATATATTTGACAAATGAACATCTGTGTTTATTGCCAATTCTACTTACCATCTCTGCTCTGAAACAAAGCAACAGCAATTTACCAGCTTGGTAACCAGCCAATTATTCTATAGGGTTAAGAATTGGAAGAATGTGCTGTTTACAAAGCTACAACTCTTCATGCTACTAAGACTAACGCACAAATAGGCAGGGACCGCGCACCAGTCTAGTAAGAGGGGCTGAAATGGGTTTACCCGAAAGAACGCCGGAAATTACCCCTTCTAGAGAATACTTGCTTATTTCTACTGAATTTTTAAAAACAATCTGGTTCAGAGAAGATATCAATAACTTTAAAAAGGGTAATAAAACACCAAGCTAACCAAGTTAGAAAATACATCATACCATTAAACAAGATAAAACATCTAGAAAATGAACAAAAAAGGTTCACTGTCAAAAAGAACTGCTTCTACATAGAGTTAACTGTCCAAAAATGCGTTAGCGTGAACCTTGATGGAGAAAAAAAATTTCCTGCCTATTATTGCAGAAAAGTGGGGGGGGGGGGCTATAGTCCCTGCGAGCACAATGGCTGCGCGGTGCCTGGAAATAGGCACTGACACTAAAAGTAGACATGACAGTAAAACGGTTCAAAATTGCTCTTACTAGTGCTGCCAATTAATCATCAAAACCCTGATTTTACATATGAAGTGTCTTTAAAGAAAATGGAACATAGGTTCGAGAAATAACCATTATCTGGTATCTCATATGCAACTTGTAGACTGGAGTTGGATTCTGTGTAGGCCTAATTTTTTTGCCTTTAGCTGTTGGTTTTTGAGAGAAATATTTTCGACGAGCAGCATAAGGATCAGCTTTGCTTTGCACTTATTTTGCGATATACAAGTTAACAAAGTGAAAATAAGTATTCAACACTTCTCATACTGAGAGGATACGGTCTCATTGATGCATAGTGCATAGAAACCGTCCAAAGTTCAAGCCCAGCGAATGATCATTATTAAGATCAGGGATGGCTCTGTCCGAAAGCTCCCGACAGTAATGGTTGATAAAGTTTGAAAAGGCCTTCAATTGCTTCCTGTGTCCCTGTAACCCTCAATCACTGTGCTTCAGTCATGTAATCCTTCGATATATCATTCTTCTGAATCAACAATAAGAATTTCGTCATTGGCAGGAGGAGCATTATATGATTCATTCACACACGATTAAATTGAATATAAGCGGCGGGGTTATTTATTTACAAGCTTCCTACGCTTTTTACGTCATATAAACTTCGAGACGAAATGCTTGCATTTTACTAGTTAGAAACGCTTGGGCATCACAATCAATTCAATTTTTGAAGGGCTCGCTTTTAGCTAGGTTCCATGAAGTCCAGTTTCATGGTTGATCCCTGAAATTTTTTGACTAGGACTATAGTGTAATAATCTACTATTCGCATGAGCGTGATACTCGTGTGGCCTCAACAGATTGTTTTTATAGGGCTTTATTTTTCGGTTTTTATGTTGATTGACCTATGGAGATGAGAATATCCTCGAGTATCCTGTTTTGTCTCTAACCATGCTTTGTTTTGCCTTCTTCATATCGTAACTTATGTTATCCCTTAGTGAACCGAATGAAGCAGTTTACTTGTCTTCAGATTTCCGAGCTAAGTCTGAAGCCAAAGGTATTTCATTACACGGCGGTCGCTTCTTTCAATATCGATAACGTCGTAATAAATATCTGCCCTTTAATGATGTCACTGAATCACGTGTTCATTCTTTTCCAATCAACTTGTTTCAAGAATCACCAATGAAAGTACTTGATATTTCCTGTGCTGCTTGTTCTACAGGGCCGATATAATGCTAGTGCTGGTGATATTGATTTCATGACGTCATTAAGTTAAAAAGGTATTCTAGAGTCATCAGCGATCAAGGTTGAAAAGTTTCAAATCCCTGATATATAAGTTTCAACCTTTTATAAAGTCATAAAATCTACAATTCAAGCTGAAGAATTATGTAAGAATTGTATCTGTACTTATAGTTTGTTGGTACATCCAAACCGGAGCGCATAAAAATGCTATCAGTAAATTTTGAATTTTTGCAAACGAGACCATAAATAAAGGCCAGTAGGTCTGAAAATTATAGCTTCACTACCTTTATGTCTACAAAGAAATTAAAACTGCATGGAAGTTCATGATGTTGAACTGCGTAGAAGCAAAAAAAGCCCTCGGTTAATCAAAATTCCAATCAGTTTGTTTCTTTTTTAAGTATTAATTTCTTTGATGAGAATGAAAAATGCAAATATGCCTCTACCGAAGTGGTGATAACTCCCTGCCTATGTCCAGCTCTTTTAGTTTGGTTGAAACTGATAAAAAGTATCAGACAGATTTTGGTGTAGAACGATAGCGACTTAGTCGTGGGTCAATGATATAAGGCGCATGATTACCGCATTTGATGAATAAAACATTCGAGGTTGGGTTTAATAGCTTCGGTTACATTTTGCAATTTCAGTCAACAAATGCCCGGATAATTGAGTTAGCGATCAACCCAAGTTCTCCTGCTTTGGTAAACTCCAGCCTCCTGATATTTTATAATAATTTTTGAATACCACCCTTTTAAATCTCCTACCACCATCAGCTTCCGACGAAGCAGTTAGGCCATTCTTCTTCCTTTGAGCATTCTT